GACGAGTGAGTAGACAAAGTAGAGAAAGGAGGAGAGAACAGGAGGAGTAGAGAGAGGAAGAGGAAGGAGGATGACATTGAGAGAAGGAGGAGGGATGATGTTGGCGATGTTGTCGAGGAGGAGGAGGAGTCAGGAGGAGGGATGATGTTGGCGATGTTGTCGAGGAGGAGGAGGAGGAGGAGTCAGCATGGACCAGACCAGAGCATGCCTCGACGGAGCTCGGCTCTTAAGAGGGGGGTAGTGTCATGGGCCTGGATGCTCAAGAAGCAGGAGGGTCATGGGTTCATATGGAAGGAGCACAGGTATCGAAGACCTAGTCGATACCAGTAGAGAGCATGGTCGTAGTGCAGTCTCCATGGAGACCATGGACTCCTATGGACTCACATGCAAAGGAGAACCGAGCCACAAGCGAGGAGGACCAGGCACAGCCACAAGGAGGACCAAGCTCAAGGAGCAGGCACAGCCACGAAGAGGACCAAGCTCAGATGGTTACCACTCAGGGGCTCGAGAGACAAGAGTCCTAGGACACTGGCAAGCAGGTCCTGAGGAAGAGGAGCAGTGTCGAGGGAGTCGACACCAGGTCATGAGGAGGAGGAGCAGTGTCGAAGGAGTCGACACAGCTCAAGAGGCACAGGGGTGCCAAGCAGGAGAGGCCCCTGAGCAGTACTCGATGAAGAGGGTACTCTCTGGAGAGAGAGCAGGAGCAGCATCGCTGGCGATGTTGTGAAGAGGTATATAACCATGCTTTCTCATCATCATAGGTCGAGTGGATCCTCATCCACTCTACTCACCATATAACTAGTTATCACTTCAGCATAAGTATACATTAGTTTCAGTCAGCATAGCAGCAATCTATCATGGTTGCTCCTCAACATAGTGTGTGTGTTGTATCACCACTACCTGATGTCCGAAGGCGCCCATAGCAGGTTAGCAGTCCAGATCAAGATAGAACCAAAGGCAGTAGTCCACTGCAGTCCGGGGATCACTTCAAGCATCAAGTCAACACACTGGACACTCGTGTTGACGCCACCAACCTTATCACCAACACCATCAACCTCATTATCATTGACATCACCAATCTCATCACCAACACCATCAACCTCATCATCATCAACACTCACACCAGACCTTGGTGTCATCATAACATTGATATTGATCATGCCAAGCTACCCCTGAACGGAGTGTCCACAGAGGTCAGCTGAAACCTACGATAGTATATACAACGAATGCCACCTGCTGTCACTGCACAACTTGATAGTCACTGATACCAAGACAATAGCTGTCGCACAGTTTGATAGTCACCGAGTATCTCAACAGACCGACCTGGGTATCAGGCGCGAGACCTCTGACAATTGCTTCCATTGTAGCATGTGTGTTGTATCACCACTCACTGACATCTGAAGGTGGTTCTTAGTGACCAGTTGTCTGGATAATGATAGAACTGAAGGCAGTCATCCACTGTGGTCTGGGGATCACCTCAAGCACTCAGTCAACACACTGGGCACTCATGTCAGCACCACCAATCATCTCATTCACACCAGACCTTTGGTGTCAGTACAAGCTCATATAAGTTATTGATCATGCCAAGCTACCTCTGGATGGAGTGTCCACAGTGGTCAGTCAAAACCTGTGATAGCAAAACCACTATTACATCTTTGGGTGAGAAAAGTCATAGAGGCTTCTCTATGACATACCTCAATAGAAATAGTAATACACAGCACATTGTAAGCGGTCGCACACCAGAGACTTAGTTTTGGGGGTGCTATTGAGTTTGATTGAGTAAGGTCTACTTGATATGTTTCACCTAAACATAACCAAGCATCACTGCCTGGTAAGTCTTGACTGACCACCTTGAACACTCCATTCAGAGGTTGTGCAGCACAAACATTGTTTGTTGGTGAGTGGGTGATACACCCTCTCCTACAGTATGAGTGTTTGTAGTACTGTTGATAATGCTCTTGGATGTCATCTGGACCATGATATGCTAATTGCCTACAGAGGATGGGAGTTACTGGACCACAGGTGTGAATCACTGCCTACAATAACCAACTGGACTGCTGGTGTTGAGCAACACTGCCTACAGCAAGGGACTGGACTGCAGGTGTTGAAGAACACCGCCTACAGTAAGGAACTGGACCACTAGTGTGAAGAACACCACCTACAGTTGTTGACTAATGGTGATACAACACACATGTTAAGAGTCATTGCAAGAGCACTGCTATTGTGATGGTATGTAACTGAGTAAGTAAGAAGTAATAAGTAAAGTATAAATAATAGAGTGGATGGGGATCCACTTGTATGCTATGGTAGAATGAGAGTATTTATGTGTTTGGTTGGCATAGCCCACAAAGTTGAAGTCATTCGTCAGTGCGTTGGAGTTGAGGCGTCTTGTTGATGATGATGGTAAGAGACAGAGAGTGAGAGAGCGAGGAGTCTATATATATACAAAAGAAGAGCGGCAGAGAGCCGCATTGACTGCGGAACATAACAAAGCATTTGCCTTGAGTAGGTTGTGACACATGTGGTCCATGCTAAGATGTTCAGGCCTTTTACTCGGCCGTAAGCACTACCTTCACTGTCTCTATGCTTTGTGTGGCTTTATCTACTTCAACTCACAACACCTATCCTGCTCCTCTTGAGGGGCCTTTGTCCCCTGTTCAGCACTGTCTTGTCCTGCTGGCATCAATCCCATTGATACTGTGTGTCATGGGCCTGGATGCTCAAGAAGCAGGAGGGTCACTGGTTCATATGGGAGGAGCACAGGTATTGAAGATCTAGTCGATACCAGTAGAGAGCATGGTCATAGTGCAGTCTCCATGGAGACCATGGACTCCTATGGACTCACATGCAAAGGAGAACCGAGCCACCTGCGAGGAGGGCCAGGCACAGCCACAAAGAGGACCAAGCTCAGATGGTTACCACTCAGGGGCTTGAGAGACAAGAGTCATAGGACACTGGCAAGTAGGTCCTGAGGAAGAGGAGCAGTGTTGAGGGAGTCGACACCAGGTCATGAGGAGGAGGAGCAGTGTCGAGGGAGTCGACACCAGGTCATGAGGAGGAGGAGCAGTGTCGAGGGAGTCGACACCAGGTCATGAGGAGGAGGAGCAGTGTCAAAGGAGTCGACACAAGGTCATGAGGAGGAGGAGCAGTGTCAAAGGAGTCAACACCACTCAAGAGGCACAGGGGCGCCAAGCAGGAGAGGCCCCTGAGCAGTACTCGATGAAGAAGGTACTCTCTGGAGAGAGAGCAGGAGCAGCATCGCTGGCGATGCTGTGAAGAGGTATATAACCATGCTTTCTCATCATCATAGGTCAAGTGGATCCTCATCCACTCTACTCACCATAACTAGTTATCACTTCAGCATAAGTATATTTTAGTTTCAGTCAGCATAGCAGCAATCTATCAAGGTTGCTCCTCATCGTAGTGTGTGTGTTGTATCACCACTACCTGATGTCCAAAGGTGCCCATAGCAGGTTAGCGGTCCAGATCAAGATAGAACCAAAGGCAGTAGTCCACTGCAGTCCGGGGATCACTTCAAGCATCAAAGTCAACACACTGGACACTTGTGTTGATGCCACCAACCTTATCACCAACACCATCAACCTCATTATCACCAACACTCACCAACCTTATCACCAACATCATCAACCTCATCATCATCAACACTCACACCAGACCTTGGTGTCATCATAACCAAAGCATTGATATTGATCGTGCTGAGCTACCCCTGAATGGAGTGTCCACAGAGGTCAGCCGAAACCTACGATAGTATATACAATGAATGCCACCTGTTGTCACTGTGCAACTTGATAGTCACTGATACTGAGACAATAGCTGTCACACAGTTTGATAGTCACTGAGTATCTCGACAGACCAACCTGGGTTTCAGGCGCGAGACCCCTGACACTGTGCTCCTACCATTTTCATGGTGTAAGGGTTATGCAACACTGCCCTCTCACCTTCATGCTCTCCTTCTGCCTGTTGATGTGTGATGCCCCCTTTCGACACAGCTCCTTCTCAACTTTATCTTGTGAATCCTTTTAGCCACTTGTTGAACCTCATGACCAAACCCCTTGGTCATGTGGTCACATCAGCACAGCTCTGTCTCGACTTTGTCTTGTGAATCCCTTTAGTCACTTGTTGAACCTTGTGACCCAACCCCTTGGTCATGTGGTTGTGTCAGCACAGCTCCAAGTACTTGCTCATATCAGCTGACTAGTTGAGGCGTGCTGATCCAACTGATCCCAACCAATCCCATGAGATTGATCTGGATTCCTGGAGTTTGATTGAACTCGTAATTCATATGTGCTGCCAACCCAATTAATCTCATTGATCCCCAATGGTTATTGGCTCTGATCAATCTGGCACACCCTTCATATATTGATCTTCTGCACACCCTTCATATACTGCTCTGTTACACAACATTACCATGACTGCTGCTTGATCAATTGGTGCACTCTCTTGCGCTGGCCAGCCGACCCTGTGACACACATTACCACATATCTCGACTGGATTCATAATAGATGCGTTTCTATTACAGATATCAGGTTTTAGGCATGAGACCTCTAACAGGAGCCTCGAGCTCCCCGCTAGATATATATACAAAGATGCGGCACATACCAAAGGTGGGAGCATTCCCCTTAATGACCAAGTATGACAACGAGGGGGATGTAGTTGTACCCGATCTCTGGTCAGATCGGTCCTCTGACCAGATCGGCTCTGCCTGATCTCCAATCAGATCGGCTCTGCGTCATCCTTTAGCGTCTCACTGGATCGTAATCTTCAGCAGATGTGGCTCCAAGGACAGCGTATCGTATTTTATAATCTTCAATTCCGCTAGTCCACACTGTCATTCGCAGAAACGTTACGCTGTTCATCAAACCCTTCATGGCGACAATCTTCCAGTATTAGCATTGAAACAAAGTGAATGTGATGGTGCGAAAGGACTGTGAGAAGGTCTAAGAGCGGACAATGGTATATGGGATCGTTGCACGATATTTTCAGAAACCTGCGCGACGGCTGCCAGCGCCACCGAGCGCTGGACGTTGCGGCAAGCCAAGGCCAAGACCAGCTTGCGAGCGCGAGTCGCTTGAGGATGCCTGGATGGTAGGGACATTCCTTGGTGATACAGACAGATCCTGGGATGCTGTGCCGCGAGCTGCTGCTTTGTTGAGGGCAGCAATGGACGGTGTCTGTCGTAAAGTAGGTCCTCCGGGGCTGGTAGAGGCGGAGCTCGGTTGTATCGGCGCACCCGAGCCGACTACACCACCACTCAAGAAGGACAGGACCTTCTCGGAGCGGCTAAAGATGGAGCTAGCCACACCGCCTGCAATGCCGCTTGCGCCAGGCGTGAGACTTCCGGACTTCTCTGAAGCAACAGACGGCGAGGCATTACCGTCAGCGCTGCGTTTGTCTTGTTCATGGTCTGAAGTCGGTACAGTCGCCGCTGCGCTGGGTGCCGAATGCAAAGAGAGGGTGGCAGGCGTGATGATACGCGAAATCGGCGAGGGTCGGATCCTATTCGCAGCTGGCGAAACTGGTCCTGCGCCAACGCCATCCATACGATCTATGAAGGTGCTTCGAACCGAACTGTCGCTGAGTCCTCTTGGCCGCAGCGTACGCTCGAGCAGATTGCCGCTTCCGTTCATCTCATCATCGGAGCCATCTTCGTCGCTGTCGTCAAAGACTTGTTGACGAATCGCTCGCCCTCGATGGATACTAATTTCATCATCATCGACGATCCTCGACAAAGGCCGCTGCCATGGTTTGTTCATTCTCGAACCATCTCCCCTGGGTCTGAGAGTACTCGTTTGTGCTAGCCCACCGCTCTGATCCGAAAGCCGCCCTCGAGCAGGATCAAAGCCCGTATAGGACGGTGCCATGCTGCCAGCGAAGAGTCCGGAGAGGTTTCGAGACTGCACTCGGGTGAGCGAGGTGGTGGAGCGACCACGCTGTGGACGTGGGCCGGCTCTGAGCCCGCCGCCGGCAAGAGTTTGGGGCGACGGCGAAAAACGAGACTGCGGAGTCTCGGTAGCGGACGCGTGCGTACCTTTGACTTCTACGGCGAGGGTCGATGAAACGACGGCTGGCGAAGCCCGAGGAGCCAGATGTCCAGCGTGGCTGCCAGAGATGGTTCTGCCCGTGAGAATACGGCCTCCCTTGCTGCCATTTGTGCCTGATGCATCTGGCACTGCTAGTGTCGCCCCTGGGCTTGCCGATGGGTGAGATGGTGTAGATGGGCCGGCACTGGGTCCGCCAAGCAGCATCTTGCCAAGCCAGTTGACTGCCGAAGGAATCGGAATGAGCGACCTATCTTCGGTCGTGTTGGCGCCAAGGTGTTCATGGAGCAGCTTGGCCGCTTGGCCCGGATTGAGATGAATGTCATTGATGCAGAGCCGGAGCTTGGCGAGCTCGCAAAGGATATCGCGGAAAGCCTTGAGAAGTGCGAAGAACTCTTTCCTGGCGACAAGACTCTCGTTGGCAAAGTCCTTGGAATGTGAAGAGTTGTCATCTCTCGTATGGGTGCGCGCTTCAGCCTCGACAAGCTTTCGGAAGTGATCGCGAAGACCGTCCACATCTCGCAGAATGGAATGCACCGTTGTACGAGCAAGGTGTCCCGCGTCTCCGGCAAGGTTTTGTCTTTGAAGGCGTTTGGTGAGGGTGTCGACGTCGGCCGTGGAGAGACGCGTGAAGAGACGGTTGACGTAGTCAAGAAGATTGCCCAACTGTGCAGTGCGGCTTTCACGGCGCGAAGGATCGAACTGCAAGAAGTCAGAAGCTTGCTTTTCGGTGTCGCGACTTGTCTCACTGGATCGGGAGCTAGGTGCAAAGGACAGCGACTCCGGCGCCTGGCTTGCGGCGCTGCTATCTGCCGTGTAGGCGAGAGATGCACTGCGGGCGATAGGTGCACTGAAGCCGTCTTGCTCCATGGTAGGTGACATGGGCGGGAAGGCGAACGAGCTGGCCGAGGATGCTTGCGAAGGTAAAGGCGGACGGGACGTGAGGTCTTGCGCGCCTGCGTTGACTGCGTCTCTCTCCACACGCGACTTCTGAGCTCCTTCGCTTTGTGATTTACCTTGCGTTGCATTCGCTAATGACATCGGTATCGCATCCAAGCTGGGCTTGGTGGCGGATTGTGAGGCGATATATGAGGAGGCATGGTCATCAAAGTTGGCGAGATCGGGTACCGGGGAAGCGACGATGGTGATCGCATTCGAGACCGAGTTTCGGAGAGTCTCGAGCTCTTCGTTGTAGGTATCGACAAGAGATCTGAGCTTGTCGTTGTCGCTGCGCAGCGCTTCGTTATCACGGACAAGATGGTCTAGCGCCTGCACCTGCTCGGCATCGTTGTCGGCGGACGGCATGTCGGGTCCAAGCGGCGAGGTGCGTGAATGGCGAAGACCACGTTTAAGTCGATCTCTGGCTGACTGTATAGCATCGTCATCGAAGAGAGCGCGATTGCTAATTGTAGAGTCGAGGCTTTCACCAGCATCCTTGCGAGCTTTGTGCAAAGCATCCTTTAGCTGTGTCGACTTGAGTTCGAGCTTCTTGGATCTTGCCTCGGCAGCTTGAGAGCGTTTGCGTTCTGCGGCAAGCTCCTGCTTGAGATCGTCGAGCTCACGCTGCAATGATTTGGCCCTTTCGTCTGCTCCGCTTAGCCGTGTCTGACTGACCTTGAGCTTGTTGAGCTGGTTACGGGCATCGTCTAGCTCGTGGAGGAGGGCGCGGTTGCTGCTATCGCCGGCCTCCAAGTTCAAGTTGGACTGAGCAAGTTCGCGCTCGAGAGTGGATGTTTCCTTGTAGCTTTTGGTGAGGCGACTCATGAGACCATCGCGCTGCTGCATGTACTCCTCAGCCTGTTTCTGTAGCTTTGCCTGCATAGCATCATGGCGTCGGAGCAAAGCCTGACCAATCTCTGCACTCAGGCGAAGATCGGCTTCAAGGTCGCGCCACTCCTGACGAGCTCTCAACGCGCGATGGCAGTCGTCTTTGCTGCAGCAACATGTGCATCGGGTGATTTGGCCTGCCTCGCTGCGTTGATCCAGACTGTGATGGCTGGCGCTGGCGGGCATGGAGTTGGGTTCCTGTGCGAGCGAGTCGGCGAGCGAGTCAGGATAGAGGGTATGACGGTTCATGCGGAACTCGCTGATGATGTTGGTAAAGTCCTCGATGGTCTTAGACTGGCGAACGCTGTTTTCGATTTCGTCCATGTTTGCAGGGTCGACAACAGATAGCATGGATGTCGACATGCTTTGATCTGCATTACTATTGTAGATGGAGCCGGCGTCGGAACGAGATCCAAAGCGCGAGTGTTGAGGGGATTCGGAAGGATTGGAAGTTGGCATGACTGCCGTGGATGTACGAAAGCGTTGATGCCGCGGACTGGACGAGGAAGATTCGACCTCCTCTAAGGTCTCAGTGGAAGGCAGTCGAGAAGCGGAAACACGAGAGGCAAAGCTAGCAGCGGATTGTGAAGAGTAGGTGCGCATATGATGCACAGCCTTCTTTGCACGATGGAGCTTGATATCGTGCGAGCCAGCTGCTGCCGGACCGTCCGTGCCATGGGAAGAGCGCCTCTCAAAAGAGGTTGGCGAATCCGAAGCGGGCGAACGGCTGGAAGCGGCTGGTGAGTTAGTTTGAACGCTGTCGGATTGGGTTGCCGGGGAGAAAAGATCACTTGTTTCTGTGTCGCGCAACGTCAGAGACGAAGACAAAGTCGGGGAGCACAAAGAAAGACGCTTGAGATGGCGTGGGCCGGGAATGGTGACGATGGGGACGCCTGAAGCGGCGATGCGTAGACGAATGTATGTCTAAAAAGCTGCTAGAGTTCGGTGAGGTATTATTGCAGTTCGTAGGCCGGAGAAAGCCTTATGAAGTGCGTTCGGAGTGTTAGGAAGCGTATCGAGGTGTGTCAATGAATCCTGTCCAAGCGAAGTATGCAGTGATTGGCAATCTGATATATGTATTATTGTTCCTGAGTTTTGCGCTCTTTCCCGTGTGCAGCGGTGATGATGAGGAAAGAGGTGTTGGTGACGAGCCAAGATGTGAACTTTGCTGAGCAATGATTGATATGAACGGAACACGGTGTTTGACTCGGCAGTGTGAGTGTGTGTTGTGAACAGCACGTGTGAACTTCAATTGTGTGTGTTCGCTGCTGCTCCTGCTGCATTGCACCCTTTTCTTTTGTTTTTCTTTGTTTTTCTTTTTTTTTTTTTTTTTTTCTGTTTTTTTCTCCTCGCTGGCTGTAAGCTCGGATGTCGGAGTATTCTTTGCAGGAATTCCGATTTTATTTTAGTTTTTATTTTATTATTATTATCTTGAGCACAGACTTGCCAGCGCGACTTTCCTGTGCGTTTGATTCGTGTATGTGACTTCTATCCCGATCTCACACTGACGCCAGCTTCGCTCACTCGATTCCATACTATGTTGCCCCGATCGACCGTCGCGACAGGCATCGGCATACCGCGCATCAGATATTCGACATAGTTTTGTTAAAATAAAGGAGCCACTCGGCGACGATGATCGGGAGATATCAGCCAAAGTACGGTGTTCAAGCTAAAGAGCAAAATACTATACTATATTGACATGCTAGTGTTGAAGATTACGATCCAGTGACGACGCTAAGAGGTGACGCAAGACGACGAGATCGGAGATCGGGGATAACCGATTCTGTTAAGGATCGGGTACAACCAAGTCCCGCTCGTTGTCAGGCTGGGTCATTAACTATAGAGACTCCCACATTCGGCATGTGCCACACTTTTGTATATATATCGAGCAGAGAGCGCTAGGCTCTCGCCATGTCCATTTAGTCAATTGAGTATATTTGTTTCTGTCTATAAGCTAGCAGTGACATCGTACTTAGACTCTCCCCGATCGCCAGTATCGGGACCGAAACGACTTCAGTTTCCAACAGCTAGAAGTGAATGTGGCGGGAGCCTCGAGCTCCCTGCCAGACTTATATACAAACGTGTGGCACATGCCCGACTGTGGGCGTATCCTACCTAATGACAGTGTGTAGCAACGAGTGGGATATGGTTGCATCCAATTTCTGTCTTGTATCGGCTCAGCCCGATTCCCTATCTGATTTGCCTCATCTGATCCAGATCAGATCTACTTAACCTGATCGCCGACTAAACCTTCTCCGCCCGATCCTCTACAGATCTGATCTACATTATTCCTAGATCGGACTAGATCGCAATCTCCAGCAAGTTTCCCCCTCATGTTTTCAGCCTTGTCATGCCTGTATCATACACGTATGCACAGAACGCTGCAAGGCATATATATATACATTCGTATCATCTTGTACTTTGTTCATGATTATTATCGCAATCGATACTTGTGATCAACGCCATTTGCCGCACGTCCTTCAACAGTATCAGTTGCTTGGCGAGTTAGTGGGGCATGTAGGCTGCAACTGCTTCGGCGTCAAGTCTCAGACTGCATAGTAGGCTCGTTGTGCGTGTCTGTCGCTGAGCACAAATGCATCTGACTTTGAACTTGATTTGCTCTTGTGGATCGTCAATCGCTCTCAATGGCAAAGCTCACTCTGTATTGGCAGTCGAAATGCTTTGCTGCTTGATTGAGCGTGTTTCGGATGCGGGTGCTAAGCAGTCGAAACTGTAACATGCTCAGCTGCCTCTATAGCCGACCGACCTCAGTTGCTCTGTACCTTGGTTTCTTCTCAGATGGGATACCTTCTGAATGTGAGTTGCGTCCAGCCGGCGTGACCTTGGCAATGAGGTCTGCAACTGTCTTCCTCGGAAGATACCATTTTCGTGATCTGCATCGGGCTTCCCGCCAAATCAGCATGTATGCATCTTGGCCCGATTCCGGCCATGCAAGAGCACTGCTCACACATACATTCGCTCGTGGCGCACAGCAACAATCGGCTCTATAGCTGACATTGAGTGGCATCCTTAACCCGACTTGTCTGTCTCTTTCCTGCCCTCAAAGTACTGTGTCGATGAAGCAACGAACGCAAGTGAGCGGGATCAGTATACCAGATCATTAAGAGAGGAGTCTTGGTTTTAGCAACTCACCTTGCCAATCTTGGCAGCAACATATCGGAATGTTCGTATGAAGCCAGCCGTGTAGATGCCCTTGAGTGACTGTGACCATGCTCGTCCTTTGACCGTTTGTGAGATCATTTGCAACAGCACCTCACCAAAGTCGTCTCTCTGCACCGCGGCGCGCCAGAATGCATTTAGCACCTCTTCTCGCTGAATGCTTGATGGTTTCCTTGGCACCTCCTCCAGCGTCTTGGAAAGCGAAAGCTTGAGGAACGCCGGGTCCAGATCCGGTCTCGAAGTGTAGTGATCTTGCACCTTTTGCCGCAAACATCTCGGAAGTCGAGCCGCATACGAGGCTCGAGTCGATATCGAGTCATCTTGAACAATCTTGTATCGATTGTGACACATCTCTTCCACTGAAAGCGTGCCCAGGTTGCGCATCAGTCCAGCATACAATCGGCGAAACTCTTCGCGTTGGTTGAGTACGATGTTGCGCACCTTGTTCGAATTTTCACCGCCTGGCACCGACATCCTGAAATCACCCGTGTAGCTGAGCGAGGCTATGCGTGTATACAGCTCCACTTCCCCGAACTCCTTGGGTAGCAATAGCAGCGCGGTACGCAGTGCCGAGGCGAGGTTCACCTGCTGTGCCAGTCGGACTCGTGCGTCCGATGTGATGAGAGCCACTGGCTTGTGCATTCGACCGCTCACGTACAGCGTCTCCCAGTCGAGCAAGTCGTCGCAAAGGTCATCCACGCTCATGATGCCGTACTTGACCAATTCGTCGTCCAGCTTGACGTAAGGGTTGTACCAGATTTTAGCACCTCTCTCCTGCACCAATCCAATCCCAACGCTTCCGAGTAGGCGGCTCAGCATCGAATAATGATTGGGATGTTGCGCCATATTGATAGAATGCCAATGCTGCGGGTGCGTTACAGCCATGATGAAGTCGACCATCTTCTTGCCATCCTTGGTAGCTGGCCTTTTTGCGTGTTCTGGACCTGCCTCCGTCTGTGAGAAGACGCCCGAGCCGTATGCGAAGGCGAAGCGGACCGGTGCATCAAAGCATGCAAGGACGTTGTGCAGGCGCCGATTCGTCTCGTCAGAAACTGGAACCAGCTGATTCGAGCCAAACGATGGCGGTAAAGAAGGCGGTGGGAATCGGGTAGCAGATACCGGATTCGAGGGAACAAGACGCGAAGCCGAGTCGGAAGATGTTGTCCGTGACGAAGTTGACAAGCCCTTTGACGATGTTAAAGATGATTGTCGCTCCCTATTCAGACGAAAACTCCTCCTTTGATGTGATCTATCTATCTCGTGGCCACATGCTATGTGAAAGGAAGATCTGCATGCTGTCGAAGATGAAGAGGCAGAGTCAACTTGCCAACATGCCAATCTGGACGATCGAGCCAAAGCGCATCCAGTCTTGCTGCTTTGATGCCTGAGAGACTGCATGGCTCCGTGTTACCATCAACGATGCCTTGGTCGCGATAAAGTGTGTTCGATCGTAAGGATGATGGTCAGCGCAAAGAAGGATCTGGATATTCGGAAGATTTGTCATGGGCACAGACCGTCTCGCTTGGTTCTGAGAAGAAGTCATCAGGAAAAGAAGCCAAAAAAAAAAAAGGCGACATTATAATACTCCACATAGCCGCTTTTCTCCGCGGCGACAGGGGGTATCAAAGTTTTTGCGATTTTAAAAATGCGGGTTTTTTCGAGAGCACATTTTTGGAGGGAATTTGAACCAGTTGAAGATGCGTCGGCATCTCAAGCAAGATGCACATGTTACGGCCGAGACATTGAGACACGGGAGGCTCACGTAAGCGAGAAGTACAATGAGGTACGTAATTGTTGTCATGGTGACAGCACAGTGGCACCCGGTATCATAGCAACACAGGAGTACAAATGAAGAGACACATCCTGCCTCGAATAGGACCAGAGCAGTGAATGGAGTATATATATGTGTTTGTCATTCAGTCTCACACCATGAAAACTAAGCATTACATAGAACATACGGCTGTGGTAAAGGGAGTCTGATCGTGACCCCGATAACGCCGTATATTAATTGTTATCTTCAATTAACCACCCCCAAGGAAAAGCAGGTTTCCAAAAACACAATGAAATCATATGGCCGATAAAATATGTAACCTAACAGTGGGCATATGTTACTTGTCACTCTCATTGCTATTACCCATTGCTTGCTTATATCTTGCTTTCCTCTTCACACAATGCACTCAATGTAATGTTTCATATGGTGGTGAGAAGAATTGTATTGAACAGAAGAAGAGAGAGTGCCTGTCAGATCGAGAATGGTTGTGTCAAGACTTGCTCCTGTCTCCAAGCTGATGTGCTTTGAGTCATGGCAATGTAGTCCACAGTAGTCCTCTCATGATGTCGAGACAATGTGTCATGGGCCTGGATGCTCAAGAAGCAGGAGGGTCACTGGTTCATATGGAAGGAGCACAGGTATCGAAGACCTAGTCGACACCAGTAGAGAGCATGGTCGTAGTGCAGTCTCCATGGAGACCATGGACTCCTATGGACTCACATGCAAAGGAGGGCCAAGCACAGCCACGAGGAGGACCAAGCTCAAGGAGCAGGCACAGCCACGAGGAGGGCCAAGCTCAAGGAGCATGCAGATGGTTACCACTCAGGGGCTCGAGAGACAAGAGCCAAAGGAACTGTCACTGATCAAAGGAGGAGGAGCAGTGTCGAAGGAGTCGACACCAGGTCATGAGGAGGAGGAGCAGTGTCGAAGGAGTCGACATCAGGTCATGAGGAGGAGGAGCAGTGTTGAAGGAGTCGACACCAGGTCATGAGGAGGAGGAGCTGTGTCGACCAAGAGGCACAGGGGTGCCAAGCAGGAGAGGCCCCTGAGCAGTACTCGATGAAGAAGGTACTCTATGGAGAGAGAGCAGGAGCAGCATCGCTGGCGATGCTGAGAAGAGGTATATAACCATGCTTTCTCATCATCATAGGTCGAGTGGATCCTCATCCACTCTACTCACCATACAACTAGTCAATACTTTAGAAACACAAGTACTCATTAGTTACAGTCAGCATAGCAGCAATCTATCAAGGTTGCTCCTCATCGTAGTGTGTGTGTTGTATCACCACTACCTGATGTCCGAAGGCGCCCATAGCAGGTTAGCGGTCCGGATATAGATAGAACCGAAGGCAGTAGTCCACTGCGGTCCGGGGATCACTTCAAAGCATCAAGTCAACACACTGGACACTCGTGTTGACGCCACCAACCTTATCACCAACACCATCAACCTCATTATCATTGACATCACCAATCTTATCATCAACACCATCAACCTCATTATCATTGACATCACCAATCTTATCATCAACACCATCAACCTCATTATCATCGACATCACCAATCTCATCACCAACACCATCAACCTCATCATCATCAACACCCACACCAGACCTTGGTGTCATCATAACATTGATATTGATCGTGCCGAGCTACCCCTGAACGGAGTGTCCACAGAGGTCAGCCGAAACCTACGATAGTATATACAACGAACGCCACCTGCTGTCACTGCACAACTTGATAGTCACCGATACCGAGACAATAGCTGTCACACAGTTTAATAGTCACCGAGTATCTCGACAGACCGACCTGGGTTTCAGGCGCGAGACCCCTGACAGAGGGTACTCTCTGGAGAGAGAGCAGGAGCAGCATCGCTGGTGATGCTGTGAAGAGGTATATAACCATGCTTTCTCATCATCATAGGTCGAGTGGATCCTCATCCACTCTACTCACCATAACTAGTTATCACTTCAGCATAAGTATATATTAGTTTCAGTCAGCATAGCAGCAATCCATCAAAGGTTGCTCCTCATCATAGTGTGTGTGTTGTATCACCACTACCTGATGTCCGAAGGCGCCCATAGCAGGTTAGCGGTCCGGATCAAGATAGAACCGAAGGCAGTAGTCCACTGCAGTCCGGGGATCACTTCAAGCATCAAGTCAACACACTGGACACTCATGTTGACACCACCAACCTTATCACCAACACCAGCAACCTCATTATCATCGACACCACCAATCTCATTACCAACACCATCAACCTCATCATCATCAACACTCACACCAGACCTTGGTGTCATCATAACATTGATATTGATCATGCCGAGCTACCCCTGAACGGAGTGTCCACAGAGGTCAGCCGAAACCTATGATAGTATATCCAACGAACGCCACCTGCTGTCACTGCGCAACTTGATAGTCACCGATACCGAGACAATAGCTGTCGCACAGTTTGATAGTCACCGAGTATCTCGACAGACCGACCTGGGTTTCAGGCGCGAGACCCCTGACAATCGTCTTGGTCGTGGAGCCAGAGTAGGAGTATGTGGGTCTCCTATCATAGACTCATCTCCTCCTCCTGCTTGGTCTTCTGAGTGAGAGAGGTCCATTGTCTCCTCCCTGCTCAGTTGAGCTCGTTGTAATCGTTCCTCTCAATGACCCTGTCTGGTAAGCTCTAGCTGTGCTTCCAATAGAGTGAGTAGTCTATCGAGCTTATTGTTGAGGTCTGGGTCCGTCATGGTGATCATGAGGAGCTGCTTGAACGATCCACTCTAATGTCAGGGGTCTCGCGCCTGAAACCCAGGTCGGTCTGTCGAGATACTCGGTGACTATCAAACTGTGCGACAGCTATTGTCTCGGTATCGATGACTATCAAGTTGTGCAGTGACAGCAGGTGGCGTTCATTGTATATACTATCGTAGGTTTCGGCTGACCTCTGTGGACACTCCATTCAGGGGTAGCTCGGCATGATCAATATCAATGTTATGATGACACCAAGGTCTGGTGTGAGTGTTGATGATGATGAGGTTGATGGTGTTGGTGATAAGGTTGGTGGCATCAACACGAGTGTCCAGTGTGTTGACTTGATGCTTGAAGTGATCCCCAGACCGCAGTGGACTACTGCCTTTGGTTCTATCTTGATCCGGACCGCTAACCTGCTATGGGCACCTTCAGACATCAGGTAGTGGTGATACAACACACACACTATGATGAGGAGCAACCTTGATAGATTGCTGCTATGCTGACTGAAACTAATGTATACTTATGCTGAAGTGATAACTAGTTATATGGTGAGTAGAGTGGATGAGGATCCACTCGACCTATGATGATGAGAAAGCATGGTTATATACCTCTACTCAGCATCACCAGCGATGCTGCTCCTGCTCTCTCTCTCCAGAGAGTACCTTCTTCATCGAGTACTGCTCAGGGGCCTCTCCTGCTTGGCACCCCTGTGCCTCTTGAGCTGTGTCGACTCCTTCGACACTGCTCCTCCTCCTCATGACCTGATGTCAACTCCTTCAACACTGCTCCTCCTCCTCATGACCTGATGTCAACTCCTTCGACACTGCTCCTCCTCCTCATGACCTGGTGTCAACTCCTTTGACACTGCTCCTCCTCCTCATGACCTGGTGTCGACTCCTTCGACACTGCTCCTCCTCCTCATGACCTGACAGTTCCTTTGGCTCTTGTCTCTCGAGCCCCTGAGTGGTAACCATCTGCATGCTCCTTGAGCTTGGTCCTCTTCGTGGCTGTGCCTGCTCCTTGAGCTTGGTCCTCCTCGTGGCTGTGCTTGGCCCTCCTTTGCATGTGAGTCCATAGGAGTCCATGGTCTCCATGGAGACTGCACTACGACCATGCTCTCTACTGATCTCGACTAGATCTTCGATACCTGTGCTCCTTCCATATGAACCCGTGACCCTCCTGCTTCTTGAGCATCCAGGCCCATGACAGCATACTTTGTTGACAGGGCAATGCAAGATATGTAGGGCTGTTTAAAATTGAAAGTATGAATCAGCATCCAAGCATACTATTGCAAGCAATGAAGATCACCAAAACTTACCAGGTTGGATGCATCCATGTCCTCCAGCAGTGTACCAGCTCCAGTGGGTGAAAGCTTCTTCTTCTCCCTGTAGTATGTCTCTAGCAGCCACCTCAGCTTGGACTTGATGCAATTGGGATTGACAGATGCACCTGGGAAAATCATCTTGGAGATATCCCAAAAAATGGGATGTTTGCAAAGTTTGAGGGCTGGATTGCTCTCAGCCAATTCTCGAGATGGCAGCAGAGTGTGCTGGTAAGAGTCGTTGTTGTAGAGGATCATGACAAGGTGAAGAACATTGGCACCCGACCATGTCAAGTTCTTCTTGCCTGTGGCAGATCTAGAGGCTTGAGTTGGACAGGAAGTGTGGATGTCAGGAGCACTTGTAGAACCAGATTGAGACAGCACAGGCATGCTTTCGGTCTGAGTTGCAGAGCTTGTAGGTGTAGTGGACTGGCATAACAACTCTGCAGAGATGTCACCAGAATCATCAGTGGAGGAGGTCATGTTGAATGAGTGCAAGGAAGAGGGAGTGAGCAAAAGTGTGATGAGAGTGAGGAAAGGAGAGAAGATGTGGAGTGATAAAAAAACCATGTTTTCGCAAATGTGCCTCCTGAGCTGCATTTTTGAAAATGCGGTTTTTTTTTTCCCTTTGTGGAGCTTATGTAAGCTTTTGCGTTTTTTTTGAAAAACACGCTCTTGAAAAAACCCGGGTTTTTAAAAATGCAAAAACTTTGATACCCCCTGACGTTCAAAACAGTCACTCAGAAGTCACGATTGGCAGAGCTCTTGCTCGAACAGGGCATGTTTGCTCTCGCACAACACTGTCACAACTCGATCGTCTGGGGTAGAGCATGATGGTACATTTTGGCGCGATATTGAGACGAAAAACCGAATCTCTAGTCGGAAAGGGGAGGTGGGATGGAGTTAGGGTCGACCGCGTCATCTTCGTCCTGTTCTACGTCTGTGAATTGAACCACTGGCTGCGAGATGGAAGCTGTTCATACGGCAGCACATCGAGTGTAGAAGTCCGTTGCGGTCGTCAGGAACATGCAAGCCGATCCAGCAGTTGGTAAGAATGAGTTCAATGAACGAGTTGGCAGGCGTCAAGGGGAAGAAGGAAAGCATCCATCTGTCAGTAAAAATGTCCGAGGTGCGTGCTTGGAAGCGAGTCCGAGCAGTGACTTACAAGAGCCCTTTGCGCGGAAGCCGATGCATACGGCGTCGGCGTCCTTGAGACCGGCTTTGCGAACAGTAATGTCGGATTGTGTTGCGTCTTGATCCAGCGGCATGTACACCGTCATACCCTCGAGAGCATCGCTGTCTGTACTGCCGGCTACGAATAGGCCGATATCCTCAGAAGCATCCATCTCGCCCCAGTCGGGATAATCCTTGCCGTCTGCTTGTATGTATTGAGGAAGGGAGGACAGTGCTGGCTGGTTGATAGCTTTGACGGCGTTTAAAAAGTCGCTTTTGAGCGCTGAAAGTGGAGTGGTAGGTTGACATGTGAGAAAGAGAGTGGTCTTGTGGTATTTGAGGCGAAGCACCAAAGCATCCTTGTTATCTGCGAGTGAGACCGGCTGTGCAGTCGATGAGAAGAGAAGAAGGGGTCGAGACGAATGTATTAGCATTACCTCGAGCTAACCATACGAGAGCAAGACGTCTGGTCAATCTGCTGCACTCTAACCTACCATAATGGAGCGAGAGGTGTTCCTGCTTGCGCTTAGAAGCAGGTGTTTCAATCTCGATGGTGGAAACTCGAAGCCATTGATGACGATGGTGGCAGGTAGAGATGGTGAACTTAGACAGGGCAGAAGACTTGATCGATGATGCATGTTGGCATGATGAGCTGTGCAGCGGTCAAGACCCTGAACAGAACGCTGGAAAAGAAAAGAAAAAAGATTGTGAGTGTACACTACGAAGGATCTGACATATCCAAAAAAAATCCAGCAACAAATGCGCGGCAAACAAAACGGACATGCGAAAAAGACACGCGGCAGCCGCGCTTAAATTTCTCTGGTCTGTGCGTGATTTAGGTGCCACTTGGCCTTAGGGTGACTACAACCCGTAGAACCCGGGGAGCAACTGCAAGATTCTTTGTGTCTCCTTCTGCTCTGTGCATACACATACAACAGGCCTATCGGAAACCAGAATCAAAGTTGATAGCCGCTGTGGTCTGTAGAGGCGACTCAATAACGCCGCACCCGTCGTATGACTGTGGCAGAGTGCACACCTGGCATGGTCTGTAGCCAGGAAGATGGCGGACGGTCACGAGGTTCTTCTCTGCGTCGTCTTGCGTGGTCCCCTATAAAGGAACAGTTTACCCGTCTGTAACTCTGAACCAACTTCTCTACTTCTCCTCATCGGCACGATCGATCTCTTCCCCTTAACAGCAACAGCAACAGCATAATTTAGCTGGATCCAGCGGTCTTGCCCTTTCATCCGTGGTAAGTATATCGTACCTAAGATACTTCTCCACCTTTTACGAAACATTCTGTCGCTTTTGCCGGAATCTAAGACCGGTTGGCAGCCGGCTGCTGAATCATGTGACAGGTACATACTCTCTCTTGTCTGGAGCAGCAGCCATGCGAAAGTGTCGATGCACAGACACCAGCTCCACCACTTCTAGCTTGTACCCTTCTGCTGGCTTCTACACTCATTAGCTGACTTCCTCATCTCACCATCTCTTCCTCGTCTATATCTCTGGTAATTGCCAGCTCACTATAGCATGCTTCGCTCTGCAGGCCGATCATCATTTCGTTCTGCATTCCGCTTCACACCCGCACCCTCTGTTCCTCTAGCTCAACGATCCACTCCATTTCTTATCACCTCATCGCTTCGATCCTCTCCAACTCTCCGCTTGATTCACACCTCCACCTCTTTCAAAATGCCCCACATGCCCCAAGGAATCGTCAAGGGCGGCAAGGAAGACTTGAAGCTCAACAACCAGTCCCTTTGGCAGACTAAGGCTTACATTGACGGAGAATGGGTCGATGCCAACGACAAGTCCACCCTTAAGGTCTTTAACAAGGCTACAGGTGCCGAAATCGGTAAAGTCCCTGACATGGGCGCCAAGGAGACCACTGCTGCCATCAACGCCGCCGAACAGGCTTTCAAGTCTTGGTCAAAGACCACCGCCAAGCACCGCCACGATCTGCTCATGAAGCTCTACTACGCCCATCAGGAACATGCCGACGACCTTGCCAAGATCATCGTCGCTGAGAACGGCAAGGCGTTTGCCGAAGCCAAGGGCGAGATTGGCTACTCGAACGGATTCCTCGAATGGTTCGCCGAGGAGGCCACCCGAACCTACGGTCACACGGTCCCCTCGCCACTTCCCGGTCTTCGCAACGTCGTTCAGATGCAGCCTGTCGGTGTCGCCGGCCTCATTACTCCCTGGAACTTCCCAGCTGCGATGATCACCCGTAAGGCTGCTCCCGCTCTTGCTGCAGGATGCACCGTGGTCATTAAGGCTCCCGCGGAGACCCCCTTCTCGGCTCTCGCTTTCGCCCATCTCGCCGAAAAGGTCGGCTTCCCCAAGGGAACCATCAACGTTGTCACCTGTGCCAAGGGTGACAACGAGATCGCCGTCGGTAAAGAGCTATGTGAGAACCCTACCGTGCGCAAGATCTCGTTCACCGGCTCCACCCGCGTCGGCAAGATCCTCATGAGCCAGTCCGCTTACACACTTAAGAAGCTCTCCATGGAGCTCGGCGGTAACGCTCCCTTCATCGTCTTCGAGGATGCAGACCTCGACAAGGCGGTTGAAGGCGCTATTGCATGCAAGTTCCGCGGTTCCGGGCAGACCTGCATCTGCGCCAACCGAATCTATGTTCATGCCAGCATCAAGGACGAGTTCCTCAACAAGCTCACTGCCAAGGTCGACAACTTCAAGGTCGGCTACGGTATGGACCAAGGCACCACCCACGGTCCTCTCGTCAGTGAGGCCGGTCTCAAAAAGGTTGAGGAGCACGTCAACGAGTCAGTCAAGAAGGGTGCCAAGGTCGTTGTCGGCGGCAAACGTGGCGAGGGTCTCTTCTTCGAGCCCACCGTCATCACTGACTTGCCCGAAGACGTACCCACCGATCGCGAAGAGACTTTCGGTCCATTGGCCGCCGTCTACACATTCTCCAGCGAGGAGGAAGTCGTGCGAAAGGCCAACAACGTCGAAGTCGGTCTCGCCGGTTACTTCTTCTCCAAGGACACCGGCCGATGCTGGCGTGTCGCTGAAGAGCTCCAGGTCGGAATGGTCGGTATCAACACTGGTCTCATCTCGCAGAATGCCGTACCCTTCGGCGGTGTTCACGAGTCTGGCTTCGGTCGTGAGGGTGGTCGCACCGGTATCGACGAGTACCTCGTTCAAAAGCTCATGGTCTTTGGAGGCGTCAACTGATGTGTTCGTTCGTATTCAAGAAGAAGGAATCCCATGTACTCTCTGGAAGAACTCTTTGGCAGCGACACAATTTCGACATCAGGCACAGCTGTGGGATTGTGTGCGAGACTGTGTGGAAGGCAGCCTGAAGCGCTCCGATTGAAGACAGTAGGTAATGCAATGCAGCAAAGTGAACGTAGATGCCGATTTCGTGTGATTGAGGAATATCTGGATGCAATACCAGGGTGCCGCGATGTCGCCCTCTCATGCCCTCCAGCCGTCCAGCAGCGCGACCATCGGGCGGAACTCAACCAGCTTGCAATTCATCGCGTTGTCCTTGTCTGATTTCGAGCGTCTCGACTGTATCGAGGCATCGCTGCGGTACATGTCCAGCACGGTGGAGCCCGAGTTGTCGTCGTCCAAGGATGCAGGCTTGGGTACAGTGATGGCGAGCTTGTACCAACCACCCGACGTTGTTACCGCTATCAAGCAATATCGCTGTAGAGGATCGTCGCGCGCCGTGTCGGATACCCTGGGCCCCGCTGAAGTTGGTGCCGATCGCACCTTTGCCTTGTCCGCCCGCCCTTGCTGACCAACAGATTTGGCGCTCTTGATGGCCGCCGTCGAAGGATGATCATATAGAGCGGTTCCTTCCACTATCCAGCAGAGGAAGAGCTTCTCGTCCACATTCGCTTCTCCTTTGCGGATGTCGCTGATTCGATTGCGCATTTGTGCCCAGGCGCCTTCTGTTGACTTTTCTGTACCGACTGGCGCTGCGGCTGTGCCACTTACCCCATACATGCCACTGTCATTTGAGGTGGATGCACTTGAGTAGTGGCGAGAGGAAGCGCCAAAGCTCTTGAGCGGTATGCGATACTGGGCGCTGCTCCATTCCGACTTGAGGTACTGCGGGAGCACCGATGGCGGGATCTGTCCTGCGAGATTGCCAATGCCCGAGGGGAGATACTGCGCTGCAGCCCGCCCAAGAAGAGAGGCTCGAGAAGAAGCAGATGAAGGCGATGACCGACCTTGCGCCCCTGGCGTGGCCTGAACTGACGCCGACGCAACGTCCGACAGTAAGAAGATATGGATTGTGCCTTTGTCGCTGGCAGCGGCGACTAGAGAGGCATCTGGAGCAAAGGCGAGGCTTAATATCGTGGCTGGGTCTGTTCCACGACGCAGTTCGCGCATCAGCTTGGTGCCGAATCCGGTCCTACCAGGTGCTTGAGACTTTGCGCCGGCAGAAGAGGCGCTGACTCTGTCTCCTCCGGATCTCGAGCCGCCTCCAGAGAGCTTGTTGGACCAGATGCGTATCAGGGTGCCTTTTGAAGAGGCAGTGGCTAGTAGTTGACCGTTCGGACTCAGTGAAATAGCGGCCAGCGACGAGTCGTGGGCGACGATGATACTTGCGGCGCCGAGTGAGGAAGCGACGTTCGACGAGACCGGATTCGCTTTGTCTGCTGCACAGCTATGCAAATTGAGACGTAGGAGCTGAACATGACCCTTTTGTCTGCCAGGTACCGCGACAATGGCATTACGCCGGACTCTTGTCGCGTCAGTCATATCCGCAAGATAGCACGGTGCGGCAGAAGCAAGACCTTTGAGATTCTTATAAGTCTGCAAAGCAGCTCTTTTCTGGATTCTCCAAGTCGCGGTCTCTTTCCTGCTTTCCATGCTGAGATCCATGCTGTGATTTGTGGACGGTGGCGAGAGTTCAAATACGACGGCTTTCGAGGCGAGAAGAACCACAAGAACAACGCAGACTTGCTTCACGTCAGTGCTTTTGGCACCAGCATTGTCTGTCGAAGCGCGACCTTTGCCTTTGCTGGCGTCTCGTTTTCCATTCGGCCTCGCGAGATGGATCGAGGTGGCACAGATGCCACGAACGACCTCGCTGAATTCAAGCTCTGCCACCTCGCGGCCACGCATAACCTTGGGTGGTGCCTTTGCGGTGGCATCAGTAGCGGTGGTGGCCATACTGGAGACCGAGTCAACGAGTCTAGCCCCAGATGATCGAGAGGACGGGGTCGAGAAGAGGCCTTGTGGAGAGGTTGGATCGGGGGCATCCTTCGCTGAAAGTCGGGCTGCAGATGATGATGATCCTGCGAGATGACGGGCATCAAAATCTGAGTGAGATGGCACGGCATGCCGCGTTGTCGGCGGTGAGCTTGACTGTGGCGAGCGCACATCATCTTCCGCAAACGGATCGGCTAGGTTAGCAGAACTAGCCATGATGGAATGTGAACAGTCCTCGGAGGTCATGTCTGCAGACTCATCCTTCAGCAAGACGGAAGTGGCCCCAGCACGATTAGATGCATCGGAAAGGTGTGAGGCCTGAAGTCGACCAATGCCAAGCGAGCTTGCTCCGGTGTTGAGTACCATCCCCTCATCATCCGAAGCATGTCCATAGCCTCGTCCTCCCTCGGCGTTTGCAGTGGGACCGCTCTGCTGATCTTCGTCCAGTCGCATGTCGCCCGAGTTGACTAGAGAAGAGGTCGAGAAGCGCAGACTGTTGACTGGTGAGAAGGAACGGCTTTGATTCTCTGGTGAATTTTCCAGTTGTTCGACGCTATCAAGACTGTCTTCTTGATGTCTTCCATAGGCGTCAAATTTGGAGCCAGCGGAGAAGATGGTTGAAGCACGTCGAGACGTCACAGATGCAAGACCATCGTCATCATCATCCGAGTCGTGGTTCGTAGAATCACCCGCGGAGCTTTTGGTTGTGTATTCGGCTGCCTCATCCCAAAGTACGACCTTGTTGGGTGCGAAGCGAGGAACGCGACCACCACCAACTAGAAAGAGTAGAGAGGTATGCTCTACTGGTACGGCATGCGATAGTCCCCCCTGAGATGATGTCCACGTTCGATTCGCAACCAGCTTCAAAGGATCTGTCTGAGCTACCATGAAGCCGTTGAGGCTGGCGCAGCTGAAAATCGACGGTTGGGAGAGCTGGTCCAAGCCATCGTCTGCTGATTTGGACGAAGCATGTGCGAAACTTGGCGGATCCGGGGAGCAAAAGCTTACGTGTTGGAAGAGCGGAACAACAGCATGTGACTCGATGGTATGTCTCGGGAGATGCATGGCGGATCAGAGTTGCGAGCTGGCACAGACAAGCTGTGGGTTCCTTTAGGGTGTCGATGTCATGCCAAATTTGCTCGACCACATCTGATGAAAGAGAAGGCTGAAAGTGCCGAAAAGACCTGATAACGAGGCGGTGAAACACCAGTGAGCGGCAATAGCCAGCGTCCCAATATCGATGAGAGTTGGTGAGAGCAGAGAATGCAGCAACGTGGTGTGAACGAAGCGAGTTCAGGGCCCTGTGCGTGGCTGAGTTGGCATACTGTTGAGCTGTTGAGTGTCAAGTGTGAGTGTCAAGTGTGAGTGTCAAGTGTGAGTGTGTTGAGTGTCTGTGTTGGTTTCGGGACTTTCATCTCGATAAGGTGGAGGTTTCAAAGATTGCTGTTACGTCGTCGTTTAACGACATTTGCTTTATGCGCTCGAAATTGGTCGCTGCTTCGCGGCTCCTTTGCAATTCAAGCTCGGATGGTTGATGGCTTCTCCTTATTCTTGCTCGTCGTCCCACAGCTTACCACCATCAACAATCCCCTCAACTGCGACCCATCCTGCAACAACTGCAAACAGGAAGAACAAGCCAGCTACCAGGCACCAAGCTCGTCATTGCAACGATACAACCAATTCACGACCAGCGACCAGACCACGCTCCCACCTCCTTCTCCTCACATCTGTATCGCACAGAATAGAGTTGCAGCTGTGTGCAGAGCCAGCCTATTTCAGTTATGGGCAAGCACTACTGTGACTATTGTGATGTCTTCTTGACACACGACTCTGTCTCCGTTCGAAAAGCACACAACAGTGGTCGAAATCATCTTCAAAATGTCCGCGAATACTATCAGAGTCTTGATCCAGACCAGATTCAGCAGGTGTTGGATACACTGGCCAAAGAGTATGACCGACGCGGCATTGAGAAACCAAGAGATCTGCTTCATCCAGCCGGATCATCTTTCATGACATTCGGCGCAGGACCATTGAGCGGCACCTCAGATCGAGGTGAGTATACCTTTAAAGCCTTGACTCGGAAGGTTTTTTTCAGTGCTGACGCCGCGTTCTTGACTTGCTTCCTAAAACAGCGTTCCGATCACAAGGCCCTCAATCAATGTCTATGGGTGGAGGTGGAAGCAGTAGGGGCATTGGTGGCGGTAGCGGCGGTGACTGGAGCAGTGGTGGCTCCAGAGGAGGTCCCGGTGGTCACGGGCGTTACGGCGGCAACGACGGCTCCTCCAGAGATCACGGTCCACCTCCAAATTACAACAGACCACCGCCTCAAGGTGGTCCTTACCCTCGTCCACCGCCCAATATGATGGGCGGAGGTGCACCAGGAGGCAGCAATGGATCATATCCTCCAAGAGGGCCACCACCCGGCTATGGGGCACCGACGCCAGCACCCTATGCAAATGGCCCCCCACCACCCAATATGCGCGGGCCTCCACCCTCAGGTCCACCGAATGGATCGTATACGCAGCAGTCACGGTCTGGATACGGGCAACGTTGACGGATACTGGCGCCGCAATTCTCAACATCAACACCGCACGCACTCTGTACTCTGTTACAATCGAGACGCCTTTCACATTCGCAGAAAGCCCCGGGAAGGCCGCTATTCAAACCTGGGATGGGATGGAACACCTAGCGTTCGAATCGGAAGCAATGACTGAACGTGATTCTCTATGTTGCGGGACGAAGCGCGCGAAGTCGCTCGGCCAACGCATCATCTTCCTTGTCCTTAACCTTGACATCGGGGACTTTAGGTGCCAAGTCGGCCACTTTGCCTTCGAGTAATCCGCCTTCGCCAAGTTTATGATTGATCTCAATGCCGTTCTGATCAGCTACTTGTTGCATAAGCAAGTCGACCTGATCCTGTGGCATCGACTGAGCTGTAGTCGCGCCGATCGTTCCCTCCATGTATGAGGTCTGCACATCCATATCCTCAAACTGCGTCTCGAATTTGTCCATCACCATGGATATACGTTCAAGATTCATACTTTCCATCGCCTTGTCCATTCCTTTGACTACTGATGCCATGCTGCCGGACACTTGTCGCATGGTGACGGCGGTCTCAACTCTACTTGCCACTGCATCGATGCGGCTTCCGAGCCGAAGCAGATTGAGCGATTCGTTCTTCTTGCGAATGGCATTGGATGCGTAGATACGTGCACCTTCAGTGTTGCCTTGCGCCAGCGCTTTCTTAACCTTGGCCTTCTCCGTTGCCTCGTCCTTTGTGGCCTTGCGAGCTTGTCGCTGCAGCGATTTGGCGGTAAATTTGAGCTGAAACAGTGATTTCTCCAGACCGGACATCTTGGCTGGGGTGTCTCTTGTCGAGAGCGACACTTGCGAGAAGAATTAGGTGCAAGCCTCGGTGAGGAAGAGACCAAAGAGCTTTTGACCGGTTTGGATTGCTGTTAGCTTTATGAGAGGGACCTTGGCGGTTGGATGGATGCGAATGAGGTTGGGAAGCCGTCAAAAAGAGCCAAGCTTGTGAAGGGTTAGGTCGACGATGAAGGCCACTAGATGTGATTGTGCGACGCAGATTGTTCTGCACTCGTCCTTGTGCAATGGATCGTCGAAAGGAGGTGAGAGTTGGAGATGAAGAAAGAATCAAGTGGAAAAAGGATGGGAATCCGGGTCGTTGGGTGTCGAAAAAGGTCGCTCGCTTGATGGCACGATGCGCTGATTGCGGGTCTGCCGCACCGCCGCACCGCCGATTCTCCACACACAGCGTCACTTGTGTAACTCTGGCCGAATCCCGATATTCTTGTATTTTTTTAATAAATGTGAAGAAGTTTTGGTCCCGATACTTGCGATCGGGGAGAGTCAGAGCACGATGTCACTACTTCTAGAAGACAGAAACATGTATACTCAATTGACTAAAGAATGTGGTGAGGACTTAGTGTCCTCAGCTTGATACAGTATGCACATAAACTGTCCCAAGATTTTATATGTCACCATACATCACTCTAATGCTCAATAGCTATAAGTTGTATTGCCACACTGTCTGATATCATCTGAAAGTGCTGCTTCTTCTCTCCAAGACTGTGGAATTGATATTGACATGGACTAAAAAAATTGTGCTATGAAGAAGAGCCAATTTATTTTTTTATTGTGGGACAGTTTATGGAGCACTCCTCAAGAACACCTTAGTACTTTGTATTCCCTCCTTTGGCCTTCAGAACCACCTTGATGCAGTCTGGCATGCTCTCTATTAGTATCCTACATGTCTCTGGAGTGATTGCTTTCCATTCAGCTTCACATCTCTTGAGCAGTTCATCCCTGGACTTTGCAATTGTACTATACTGTGAAAGTCACAATTTAAGATGGTGCCAGAGGTGTTCAATTGGGTTCAAGTCCAGCAACTGCCCTGGCCATTGCATAACCTTAATGCTATTGCCTTCCAACCATGTTTTTGTCTTCTTTGACATGTGTTTTGGGTCATTGTCTTGCTGAAACATGACATCAGTGTATGCATGCTGAAGCTGCAAATCAGAGATTGTTTTCAAAAGCTTGTCATTCAGGATATCAATGTATTGGTCTGAATTCATTGATCCCAGCACCAAGTGTATACCTCTGACCCCTTCCCATGTCATACAGCCCCAGATCATGATGGAGCCACTGCCAAACTTGACTGTTGGCCTGACAAGCTTGCTGTTGAAGCCAGCATTCTTAATCCAACAGAACTGCTTCCCATCTGGTCCAAAGAAGTTGATCTTTGTCTCATCAGACCATACCACATTCTTCCAATCCTCAACAGTCATGTCCTTGTGCTCATTCACAAATTTGAGATGTGCTTTGTAATGCCTCTTGAGTAGCTTCAGTTTATTCACTAACCTTTGTGCTTTGTAACAACAGTAATGAAGTGCTTTTCTTACTGTTGTTGGGCATGCTTTGATGTGAAATGTCTCCTGCAGTGCATGACATGCTTTCCTGACTGTGGAGGTTGAATTGAGCTTGAAATAGTGGTCCAGGAAGCAAACATGATGAGGCTGGAGTTTTCTCAGCCAGCCCCCCTTTGACTTTGGAGCATCGGTGGAGGCACTTTTGCTGATGCAAGACACTGTAGACTTGCTCAGACTGAGTTTCTTGGCAACTGAATGGGTAGATTCTCCATTTTGGAGGTGAAAGAGTGCCCATTGGTGCTTCTCAGGAGTGGTTTTCATCATGATGGTATAGATATGATGGTGTCAGACTGGAAGTGCTGCTGGATTGCTCACAGTCATCTGATTGAGCTGAAACTTTCCACATCACTACTTTCAATGTGTATGAAGGTGCCCACCAAGTTACATTACAAGTTTCATTGTAGTCAAAAGCCCACAAGGTCAGGAATGGAGTGGTGTTGCTATTTGGGAGCATGCTCCATAAACTGTCCCACAATTTAAAAAAAAAAAACAGCTCTTCTTCATAGCACAATTTTTTTAGTCAATGTCAATATCAATTCCACAGTCTTGGAGAGAAGAAGCAGCACTTTCAGATGATATCAGACAGTGTGGCAATACAACTTATAGCTATTGAGCATTAGAGTGATGTATGGTGACATGTAAAATCTTGGGACAGTTTACATGCATACTGTATATATACAACTATGAGGTGCATGCTGAATGTAGGAGTATCCTCCTCCATGAGTTAGCTTGACAACGAGTGGGGCTACATTGCACCCAATCCCCAGACAGATCTGTTCCATCTGATCGCCGATTGCGTTTATGTCAGCATGCATCATCATATCGGATCGCTTCCTTCGGCATATTTTTGGCACCAATGCTTAAATGATGCCTAATTTCACAGAACAGAGAAGGATGGTCGACATGCTGAGCTAGAGTTCGGACACAGTCCAGACATGCTCTTTCTATATAACAAAAGAAGCTGAGCTGAGCTTCAGAACGCGTATATGGTCTATATGGGACTTGGCGACAAAGAGCGATAGAGATGCAAAAGAGAATTAGGCTGGAAGCTCGCGAGCAGCCTGTGTGTAACCGCACTGACCGCACTTGCGACCAGCTTCGTCGTTGGCCCAAGCCTCGATGATGGGCTTGAGCTGTGTGCCAAGGTCGGTGCACTGGAACATGACTTCCTTAACAATCGTGGGCGTGTCGCCATGGGCTTCCTTGTTGGCACAGTACCATCGCATAGCATCAGGGCTGTCATCCGGTCTTGTCCTCTCGACGACAAGACCGACGGTGTTGGCAAAACGGCAAGGCGAGTGTGGCGTGTTTGCTGATTGAGTGTGGAAACGAGATACAGCTGTTAGCAGTAGTTGTTACAAACTGGCTGCAGTGGCACTTGGCTACTTACCTGGAAGCATAAACATCTCGCCCTCCTTGATCGGGATATCCTGGAATTTGCCCTCTTCGTTGATGACTTTCAAGAGCATGTCGCCTTTGTATTGGTAAAAGAACTCCTCGGTAGGCTGATAATGGTAGTCGGATCTGGCGTTCGGACCACCGACGGCCATCACAGTGTAGTCTTGGGTGCGAAAAAGGCAAAAGTTGCCTACTGGTGGCTGTAGAAGGTGTTCATTTTCAGACAACCACTTTGGGAAGTTGAGTGGGAGTGGGAACGGCATGCTGGCTGTGCTGCTCTCCGAAATGTAGTCCGGTCTTTGATGCTTTGTGGGAAGAAGAGGTCTCCGATAATTGAAAAGGACAATGATGGAGGGGGGAGCGTAGTCGAGGTAGGAGGAAGGGTTTGAGAAAAGTTACTTTTGTAAGATGTCTTATGACATCCGAGCTTTGTTCGGCCCAAGGGTTCACCGTCTCAACCAGATCGAAACGTGAGTTGCCGCAGGTTCAAGGCCAACTTGCATTGCCACATTACTCTATTGAACCTGTAGATAGCGTCTGTCGCTGTTCTCCCCTTGCCATTGTTCTGCAATGTGATTCTTCTCCACGGACAAGGCGCATTCTATTGCCGAGCATCGTTTTACTGTTGGATGAGCCGCCTCGCTCCCATTTTTTGCCTTCGCCTGTGTCTGTCCGAGAACTCTCGAGCATACTGTATCTGTTTGCGGTGTTTGTTGTCCGCTGACCTCGTTGCCATGACCCCTTTCTGCGTTGCACGAATGCTTTCCAATCAGGCGACTGCCTTGTATGGCATCTGTCGAAACCAACACAGAGCTTATTGGGGTTACACTGTGTTGATTAGGATTCGGACGTCGCTCAAACAATCAGCCGATGCGCCGAATCGGTTGCATCCTCCACAAAGTGTCAGATCGCCAAAACTAATATTCTTTTTAAACTCGAATTTCGTCCCCTTCTTCCCAGATCTGGCTGAATTGATCGTGTTGCCCGATCTGCGAGATACGACTTACGTTGTGGGGCAAAAAGCTGAGAAACTGTAGCAACTCAGCTCCAACACCTCGGCTCTGCCCACAACTTGAACCCCAACTTGAACCTTTTCCGCTCCACTCCACATCATCGTGCCGGACTATCATCTGCCACTGGTAGTATCGGAACCATTCCATCGTCGAACGCATTCGCATCACAACGTGCAACATATATCCTTTGGAAGGGCAACGATGGGGTTTGATCTCTAATCGACACCACCTCGACACCTCGATCACCCAACAGGTAGGTCTTCCTTGGCCAGGTTCTCATAAAGGAAAGGGTCGAACCGCAATCCCCCGACGTTGAAACGCTTCCGAGAATTTGCATTCGCCCAACATGGGTCGACATACTCCAGGCCACTTTGACGATGTCTTCCTCAACAAGGTCAAGGCAGTCTGCATCCATGTTCTTGATCAGCTCAACGAAGCAAATGAGATCGAACAAGCCTTCGACTTGTGTCCCTCCATCTCTCGCCGCAACCGTGTCATTCTCTCTTTTCTCCGCGACGCCGATCAAGCCAACGATGCTACTTCTTCTTCATCGGCGACCAATGCTTCTGCGTCTTTGTCTGGCTCTCCACCACTGGGAATCTTGCGCCCTTCGACTTCCATTCGGCCCTCGAGAGAACCTTCCCTTGGCACTGACAGCATAGCCAGTCTTTCCGCTCAACGTCGAAGGCGAGCAAGAGAGATGCAGTATGTCCGCGATCCCATCGGCTCCAACGATGATTCCGACTCTCAAGCCACTGTAGCTGGTCCCTCTTCTACCTCTTCTCATGCCCATCTCGACCCAGCATGGGCGCGCAACCCTAACATGTCGCAGCCAGACTACACCTTTGAACAGTTTGCCGAACATCTCGATCCCACGGACAAGCTCCTTAAACGCAGCTTTGAAATCGTTATCAAGGAGACAGCTCGTCAAGCACTAGCCAAGAAGCGTGATCCCAATTATGATCCCGCCAATTCTTCAGCTAGGCCCTTCGCCGACCCGGCTGCTTCACTGCGATCTGCTATTGCATCCTCGCGCGGCGTTTCCTCGCATGGCGCTGGTCGACCTAGATACGGCTCACGACAAGCTGCCTGGTCTCGCGTCCAAGCGGCAGATCCCTATTGGAACGCATCGGATCCAAATGTCAGAACTGCCTCCCTCGACCGTACCTATCAGCTCCTCCGATCACTTCGGTCCTCAACACGAACACTCAATTCGCAGCCTGATGCAGGATTACAGCCCACGAACGCCCCTCTCACCGACTCGGACCGTCCTCCTCGCCGTACACTGCGTGACTTGATGCTTACGACCGCCACTGGCCGCCTTGGTTCCTCCCAAGTTCCACTACCTTCTACATGGAGTCCCTCTTCGTCCCTAACCTCACGCACCACGCAGCCTCTCACATCAGCCACTCACCTGCCGATCCGGGTTGCGCGTGCTGCGCCCAACTGGGATGCCGACTCATCCAGCAGTTCGCCTGACGGCTTGGTACCTCAACTTGCGCAAAGTAGATTAGCTGCGCGCTCTAATTCGGCTGTGGCACTTTCTCAGCAAGCTATCAATGCCAGACTCGCCGAGGCTGCTAGACGTAATGCCGAAGCAGCAAGAACTATTGTCGATGCAGAACGTCTTCGTTCTAGCCAATTTATTCGCACCTCGATCGAGTCTCTCAGAGCTTCCCTCTTCCAACTCCACATGGATCTTACAGGAACGCAGCTACAGCAACTGGATCGGTCTCGACCCTCGCAAACGCAAGAGAACGCGTCAAGTCCTTCCGCACAAACAGACCTATGTGCATCATACGCGCTTGTCATGGACACCATCGAGTTGTTCGACGATACGCTCCGCCGCTTGTCCTGTCTTGTTTCCAACACGAGTCGCGAGACAGACCAAGATGCATCGTCAACAGCACAGACGGTCGATCCGCAGCGCCACGCCGATTCATCACAGATGCGGACATCCCTCTGGAGAGCACGCAATCTGATGCTACTCTCCTCGATGACTCGTCGCCCTGATCTCAGCGAAAACGCCGCAAGCACGGGCGAGTCTGATGCAGCGACTTCTCACGAAGCCGAACTCCGAGCCCATCGTCATCTTCTCGCCACAATTGAAGAGTCACACTGGTCTCGAGCTGACGCACGACCGCCGTCAGCTGGTTCCATCCGTGCCTGGCGACGCAAGCTTGCTGCATGGTATTATCTCGATCGGGACCGCTCTTGTTACCCTGACGCGCCTCACTCCAACAGTCAGCCGGAAGACGTGTATGCTCGGTGGCATCCAGATCTTGAGCTACCGTACTCCCTCGATGACGAGATCGTCGCTCCAACGACGTTTGGTTCCGCGTCCTCTCGCCCCTATCCCATCACCGATCCTCAAGCAGCCTGGGCTTACGTCCGGAGCCACGATGCTGCGCTTGCAAACGATCTAAACCAGGACGACGAGGTACGCGCTGCTCTTGAGGCCGGATCCGTCGCTACTGCACTGCAGCAAGTATTGCGCTTGCACAATGAAAACGCCGATACAGCCGCACCCTCATCGTCGGCCGCGACGGAGGCAGCGGTCGCCTCTTCCATTGGCACTGCGGAAGAACTTCACACAATGCAACTTGCTCATGCTACTGTGGAAGATGCCGATCCGGACGTATCCCTCACCCGTACCACCTCGTTGAGCCGTCGCGGTGCCGTGCGAGGCCTGCCGCTTAGCAATTTCGACACCTCCAGCATTCGATCTGCTCGGTCTTCCTTGTCTTTGCGCCGTCCTCGAAGTGAGGTCGACCTTGCCGGTGACCTATCAGCCGGGATGCGAGAACGACAGAGAAACGCACAGGAAGACAACGACGCGATCGAGGAAGACATTGTCGAAACAGGTATCGAGATCGACACTGTTCCGCACTCTCCTGTCCGTGAAAGCGCATCAGCCACGAGCGGAACATCCTCGTTGCAGCCTCCCTCCGACCGTCCGCGGACAGGTCGTAGTGGGTCTTTCACCTTCATCACCACTCCAGCTGCTGTCCTTCGGTCACGACAACGCAGCGCAAGCCAAAGCCAAGACGGTCCACGTTCGGAGTCACCCGCTGCAGCTCCAGCTGTGGAAGAAGGGGACTCTGAAGCGGAAGAGTACATTGATCTTGACTTGGATCTAGGTATGGCTGGCGATGACGCTTTCGACTTTGACTTGGTTGACTTCCTTCATAGTGAGTCTCGTCGTGCTCGTCGACAAGACGACGACGAAGATGAGCTGGAAACGGACTCGATGTTTGCCAGCTCCTCGCCGCCACCTCGTCCGCAAGATAGTAGACATCAGAACGCAGACGCGGACGCGAGTCAGGACGATGCCGACAGCTCATCTCCCACAGGCATTCGCGTGTTCATTTCAGGCTCAGGCGCCTCTACCCCGGCAGAAGCAAGACAGGCCACGTTCGAGGCATACGCGGAGCGAGCCAGGCTGTTAGAGCGTCGAAGGAGGATGGAGCGACAAAGACAGGTTCAGGATGATGACGACGCCAGGGAAGGCGGCGGAAATGGATCTGAAGAGCATTCTTCGGAAGGCAGACGACGAAGGAGAGGGAGACAGATTGGCGAGACGAGGGGGAACAGCGGGGAAAACGCTGACCGGCGGAACTCTCTGCCATTCCCTCGTAGTTCCGAGCGATGAAGCTAAACATTTCACACAAGTTGGCGTTGACTGAGTCAGCGGCGTCAGTCTCCAGGGAAGCGTTTCCTTGTCCGTATATCCGAGCGTGCGTAGCCAAAACAGACCACGTCCAGAATTTCTCAGTTGTACGATACCCCCACACAGCATCGGCGAAATTGTTGACAGCTGTACAAAATACGAGTTGGGTGAAGTAATGGCGCGCCTTCGATTGCTAGCATTTACAGAATGGGTTGCTGGAATGGGCCAAAGTTATACTGTGCGACAATTTACTGGAATCGAACGTACTGGAAGGAATTTTGGCTGGTGAACTCGACTGCATTGACCTGATCGCCGTCAGGATGCAGATCAACCTGGAAGTATTCGGGAGTCTCACCGTTGTACTTAAATCCTGTCTCGTTCTTGATGGGGAAGTAGCTGACTGTTGCACCGCCAATACCTTCTTGCAAACGGAACCACTGTTTCGAGTCTGCTTCGTTACAGTTCTCGAGATGGAAAGTGCCGGACATGACTCTTGCGGTCTCGGAAGCCTCGTTGAGCTGGGCGGAGAGGCATTTTCGTTCGGAAGCTTCGCTGGTGGTTTTGGTGACATTGGTAACAACGCGACCCCAGAACTCGAGTGGAGCACCCATACTTCCACCGCTGTTGCGCGAGTAGCCCTGAGTGAAGCCCTGATAGTTGCATGTTTGGAAGTCAAAGTCGTATGCGTCTTGGGAGCCGCTAGCGGGGTTGATGGCAGTGAGAATGGAAGGTCCTGCATCGTTGGAAGCGACGGAGAAGTAGGCAGTGGTGGAGTCGTTGTAGGATCGTACCTCAAGCTTCTGGGGCTCCTCGAGGGCGTAGTCTCCACAGGTCGAAACAGGATTGGGAGGAAGAAGCTGTCGTTTGACCATGCGAGAGACAAAGAGCGGCTCGGAAGGTGTAGGAAAGGCAATGGCCGAGGTCGTGAGTGCGGCGCACACTAGGGTGCTGAAAGCGAGGACGGTCTTCATACTGGGCGATGATATCGGTCAAAATGTCGGAAAGCAAGAGATAGATGGGGCAGTGTTGGGACGGTGATGGAAGGTTGTCTAGAAAGCGAAACGAAGGAAGGGCGGGTTCAAAGCCTTATGTATGGGGTCTGAGTTGACTGTCCGTGAGTAGGGATCGGGTCAGGTGGCTTCACGCACTGCCTGACTCGGGGTTGATGCAGAGCTCAACGCTATGATTCTATGACAACGGCCAAGCGTGGAAGAAGGCGGTATGCAGGCGTGGCGGTCGCGGAATGAGGGGGCGCAAGGAGACTGCGGAGAGGGGCTGGTTCTTTTTTGTTCGAAAGGTCGGTTAGCGGCTGCCGAAAAGCGACAGCGAAGCAATGGAACAACACGCTGGTTTGCGTCAAGCAGCAGCAGCAGCAGCAGGCGGAAATATATGCGCCAAGCCATACCAATCAGCAGGGTTTGCAGCTCAGACCTGCTCGCCTTGCAGCTCACTCTCTCTTCCATCTTGCAAGCAGGACACCGCTTCTTGATCCATCGCGTCCCCTCCTTTTCGAATAGGTCTGATGCGTCTTGAGTGGCAGGCTACAACGATCGCCTAGCTTTGGGATGGTAGAGTGAGGTGCAAGTAATCGGCCGGTGCAGTTGGCGAGTGGACCAGCGCGTTTCATAGGCGAGGCAGTAAAGTTGCAGAAGCTGCGCTGGCAAAGTTGAAACAAAAGCGAATGCCAGCGAAGAGCAGAAGCATGTCACAATGCAGATGACCTGCGGCGCAGACACTCCCGCCGTTGGAATTGCGCGACTTCTGCGCAGCGCCACCTGAGCTCCATCCCGGCCGTGAGATCGAGCTTTCCTTCAAAGCCCGCAAGCCTGCTCAGTAGGCAGAGCAAGCTTACTGTCCTCCTGCAAGAGTCTGTACCGCTTGACAGCTTCAGCATCCATGACCATATCCTCGAGCACCTCGTTGACAAAGTCCATAAACTCAATGTAGCGCTTGAGCTCGGCTGCGATCTTGGCGGTGCGAGGAGGATCGAAGATGGTGTCTGTATCGTTTTCCAGGATGCCGATGCAGTCAAAAACGTCTTGCATGATGGTCTCGGACTTGACCTCGTATTGCCAAAGCGCGTCTTTGGCCTTCTGTAGCCAGTGGCTGTCGCTGCCTGCTGGCACGACTTCCGTGTTGTCATTGATTGTGGTCATGATGAAAGAGGCGTTGGGAAAGGAGCTTTTGTGGTGGCGCTCCTTCATAGTTGTCATCCCTTATATCTGTCTCTTTGCAGTGTTTGGGCATATCCGTGGCGGAAGAGTCTTACGAGATGACAAAGGAATCGGAAGCTTTCCGCAATGGCGTGCGAACAATGTGATTGTACGGGTGGCAATCGGCAACTCGGCTGCTTGGACGTGTCTGGGACAAATTGTTGGTTCGAGCGCGGCTGCTTCTCTGCAAGCTCTCCTCAGATGAAGGATTCCATGAGCGCAGTTCATGCTAAAGGTAACGATCCGGCAGGAAGCTAAAAGTGACAAAGGATCGGGCAAAATCGATCTGGAATGCTATCGGGGAAAGTAGATCAGATCGAGCCGATATAGCATGAATCGGGGACAACTGGGTCCCGCTCGTTGACACACTTCGACATTAGATGGTATGCTCCCACTTGAGTTCATGTATCACTACTGTATATAGACATTTAGCAGAGAGCTCAAGGCTACCGCTATGTTCTTCTCTTACGTCAATATAGTATAGTGTTTAGCCCAATAGCTTGAACACTGTGCTTAGATTGACATCGCCCGATAATCGTCGATAAGAGTCAAATCTTTCAACAGTTCATTTCTGTCTTCAAGATTGAAAGGATTGTTTGCGATTCCAGACTGAAGGATTAAAGAGCATCTGTTGAAGAGTTGATGAATCTATGAGGATCTAGTCCTGACCGTTGACGTCAAGCAAGGTTTCCCAGAGTTGATCCTCGGCGAACAAGAGCTGCCTGTACTGACCCAAGTTAGTCTTGCCAGCCCAGCAGAAGTTGGCGCAACCTCTTCCACCTGGAAGAATAAATTTGCCAATGAGCTTGCCACTTGCATCTGATTGGACTTGGTAGCAGTGGACGCCATCGCCGTGTCCGGCCCAGACGTTGCCCTGTTGATCCACATGAATGCCGTCAGGAGCACCGCTAGTCGATTTGGCGAAGAGTTTGCGAGATCCAACATCAACAGCAGGGAAGCCGTCCTTGGATTCGCTGTCAGGAAGAACCTTGTACGAGTAGATGACAGAGGGACCGTTCTGGTCGAGGTAGAAGTCACCCATCTCCATGAGAGTCTTGTGGCGGAAGCGGAAGATACCGGTGTCAGTGGTGATCAGCAGACCCGAACCGTCGTTGGCAGGCGCAGGGAGGAAGGTGACTCCGTTGGGTTTGGAATAGTTGGAGGCGTCGATGAGTTTGACCTTGTTCGTCTTTGGATTCCAGGAGTAGACACCGTTGGGTGCATAGTCCTTTTCGGGCGACTTGAATGACTGCTCGACACCGTAATCTGGGTCGGTAAAGAAGACGGAGCGGGTAGTAGGATGCCTGACGGCATCGTTGAGACTGGAGAAAGGCTTGCCCTCGAAGTTGTTGAGCAGGGATGTAGTCTCGTTTGTGACTACATTGTGGAGGACAAAGTTGGACTCGAGCTTACGGTTGTCGTTACCCTGCTCACACCACAGCACGCTGTCATCATCCCAGTTGGTAGCACCGTTGAGCATGGCCATGTGCTCTGGCAGTTGCTCGAGAATCTCTAACGTAGAATACAACTTGTTTTGCTCGTCGCTCGAGAGATCTGGTAGAATGCCATTGCTCGACTTTTCTTGAGTGTTTGCAGATGGGATCTTGTCCAGTGGTACACTGACGAGAAGGGAACGCTGTCCGAATTTGGAGTCTGGAAGACGGTTGGACGAAAGGTAGACCCTGTTGTGCTTGGGGAGATAGATTCCTGCCTCGTGGAAAGTCTGCTGACCGTTTTCTTCGTGGATCACCTTCCGCATCGCAGCATTTTTGCCTGTATGTTGGTGATGAGACTAGCATCCTTGATCAGTATTCTGCTTGTACTTTGGGCTAGATGCTGCTTGAGATCGCACTGTACTCACCAATTAGGCGATCAAAAGCCGGGTCAAGGCTGACAATGCCAACCTGCTGCTGGTTCTGTTGGGCGGACATGGTGTCGAAATCTGATCGTATGCAAGTGATTGTAGGGTCCAAGGATAGATTCGGAAGCAGTATCGATCTCTTGACCGAGCCTTGCTTTCCGGAAGAACACTTGGCTCGGCAGGGCGGGGTCGGTTGATCACTTTCGGGTAACGAGGAGTATTGGAAGCAAACAATAAGCCGACATGGTGAGCTGTCCAAGCTGCAGACTGCGGAAGTTCTTCTGGACGTAACAGCTTGCAGGAATGCAGTCGAACCTCTTAAAATGAAGCATGGGTTCAGTTAAAGAAAAATCGAAACAGACAGCCTGAGGGATCCTTCAAGGTATATCAAGCTGTGTCTGACTGTCAGACAGTATGAGATGCAGGGAAGCTTAACTAAAATGGTTGATTATGACGCCCTTTTGTTTCCACACGGAGGAGCGGACCGGTCAGAGGCCAAACATCTGATGTCACCGAAAAGCTCGCCTGAAAAGGAAAAAAAAAAAAAAAAAAAAAAAAAAGAAAAAAAAACAATATCAGCGCGTGACAGCCAAAAGGTCTCGTCTCGTGTTCTGCTGCCATAGGTACTTTGCCGAGATACTCAGCTCTCGCATTCCAATCAGCTCTCCCTCATGAAGAGCTCTCCAGGGCCCAAAGCAGCTCATATCGAACAAACAGTGTGGAGCACAACAACCTCTAGTTGTAGTTGATGCCGGGTTGGGATCCTCTGGCATTGTCAGAAGTCACGCTACTGAGTTGAGGGACCGTTCAACACGGTTCCCCACGAACACTTGTAGTGCACATCAATCCTTCTCAGGAAAGTCATGGCAGACCATGCTGGCTATGTTGAAACGTCACTTTCGCGTCGCTCCGAGGTAATCAGGGCCGTATCGTTGCTCAAGCATGAGGCTGTTTTTGTAACAGAACAAAGTAGGCTCTTACCGAATCCTCATCATCGTTCGTTGATCTCCGAGAAGCCACTTGGATGCTGATACTTTGCAAAGGGTGAGGCTTCTGTACCGAGCTGCTATTTTGCGCTCACAGCGGCAAGACCGTTGGAGAGATTCGCTGGTGTCAGGCCCTTCCAGACCTGGGCAAAGGAAAAGTCCGATTAAATTCCAGAGACGCGCTCCAGCCCTTTTTCTGCCTTGTTTCGTCGAAACGGCGGTCCGTATGCGCTCTTCTCTGGCGCCACACTCACACTGCCGCTGCAAAACCCTGAAGCCAAATTTAATGCAAATAAACCAGAAACAAATAAACAAATAAATAAACAAATAAACAGATAAACAAATAAACAAATAAAAGGCAAGCAAGCCGCTACATCAGTCCAATCTCTCTTTTTCTTTTTTTCCCTTTTTTCTATTCGCGATCGTCCCCTCCTCTCATGCCATTGTGTCAGACACAGCCAAAAGCGCGGCATCTGAGTGCAAAGCGGGGTTACCCCGCCGGTCCGCAACGCTAGACTCTGCTACTGCCGTCGTTTCCTTTTCTTACTCCGTACAGTATCTGTACCTTGTTCCCCAACCATGTCGCTTGTGCCCTTTATCTCCATGCAGCCATCAACTGTTTTGCAGAGTTGGCCGTGTTCACCGTACAGTATATTGTGTGCCCGTTGTTTTCTTCCAGGTCTCTGTGCTATTGAGTCTGTTTGGTTCATTGTTACACAATCCTTGCTTCACCTCCGTTCTCCGTTCATAAGCTACCATGTCCAGCTTCAACCGTCTTGTGCACTGTTGTGGCGCCCGCTTGTGCCACGTTACCCCGCACGTGGCAGCTGTGCTCCACAATTTTGTGTTCCTCCTTCCTCCGCCGGTGCTTCCAACGATCTGTGGACCTCTGTATTGCACCTTGACCATTTACCATTCTATCCGGCCCGGCCACCCGCTTCACCTTCCCCTGCCTGCAGATCAGTAGCAAAACCTAACTTAGCTTCCTCTGCCCTACCTGAATCCAGAACAGTCTCACTCACCCTCTCTGCCACGCCATCTCTAACTCATTTCGTCACACACAATTAGAACAGTTGCCTGGCCCACCTCGCTTGGCTCCTTTCACTTATGCCACACAAGCCTCCTTCTGCATGACAGCTCCGCAATTCACACGCAACCCAACTGTAATTCTCCAATAGGTCCACTTCATTGCTACCCATTTGCTTCCTTCTGTTTTGCCTTTCCTTTTGTATAAGACCTCCCAACCTTTGCTTCCATCTCATCCTTTCCCCGCACATTTCCCTCATCGAGTCTTCCATTTTTCAACGTCCTCTATTCATTCACTCTACCGGAAGACAAGTCGACTGCACCACCACTCCTCTCCCTCCACTCTTCGACACCACTCCTATCAGATTTTCCATCATGGCCTACCGATCCGATTTCACTCCTCGCCGCATCCACAATGACTATTTCGGTATCGACATCGGCCTTCGTGGCAACTGGTTGCTCGCCGTCACCACTGCCAGTTGTGCTGCTGGCTTCTCGCTTGTAGGTTACGAAAACGGTGTGATGGGAGGCCTCGTCGGTCTCGGAGAGTTCAACAAATCCTTCAACAACCCCGATGCCAACACCATCGGTAACATCGTCTCTCTCTACGAGATCGGTTGTTTCATCGGTGCTCTTTCCACCTTCATCATTGGTGATTTCCTCGGTCGTAGGCGAACCATCCTTCTTAGTGCCGTTGTCATGATTGCTGGTGCCATCATCCAGGCTGCCAGCAGCACTGTCCGCGTCATGATTCTAGGTCGGATCGTCTCTGGTCTTGGTATGGGCGCCATCAACTCCACCGTCCCTATCCTCCAGGCCGAGACTGCTCCTCCCATTTCTCGTGGTAAGCTTGTTGCCATCGACTTGACCGTTCTCAACTTTGGTATCGTCATCTCCTACTGGGTTGACTACGCTTTCGGCTTCAGCGGTCTCTCTGGTAGCAAGGTCTGGAGAATTCCCATCGCTCTCCAGTGCCTTTTCATCGTTTTCCTCATGCTATGCACCACCATCATCCCCGACACACCACGTTGGCTCGCATCCAAGGGTCGTGAGGCCGAGGCCATCGCCGTCCTCGAGCGTCTTCACAATGCTCCCTTGAGCCACCCTGAAGTCCAGAAATCTTTCGCCGGTATCCAGCAGGCCATCGAGCACGAGCGGGCCTCTGCTTCCACTGGCTGGAGCGCACTCGTCGCAAACGACCTCATCCAGACTCGCAAGCGTCTTTTCCTTGCTTGTTTCATCCAGGCCGCCCAGCAGTTGTCTGGTATCAACGCCTTGATATACTACTCAGGAACTCTCTTCTCTCAGTCCATTGGCCTCGACAAAAAGCAATCTGCCCTTTTTTCCGGTGGTCTCAACATGTGTCTCATCCTCGGTTCCACCGTCTCCTACTTCCTCATTGATGTTGTCGGCCGTCGCAAGCTTCTCATTCCCTGTATTGCCGGTATGGCTGCCGTTATGTGCGCTCAGACCGGCCTCGTCAAGACCGTCCAGGAGGGTGGTGCACCCATCTATGGTCGTGCCGCCTCCGCCATGCTCTTCGTCTTCGAGTTCTTCTTCTCTCTCGGTTTCCAGGCTACCGTTTGGCTCATTCCTTCCGAGGTGCTTCCCCTCCTCATCAGGACCAAGGGTTCCGCTCTCTCCACCGCAAGCAACTGGATTTTCAACTTTGCCGTTGTCAAGTTCACCCCCTCTGCCCTCGAGCAGATCAAGTGGAAAACCTACATCGTCTTTGCCGTCCTCAACGCTTGCTGGGTCCCTGTCATCTACTTCTTGCTCCCCGAGACCAAGGGCAGGAGTCTCGAGGAGATTGACGAGCTCTTCGCCACCGACAACTGGCACATTGACACTGTTCACGCTGCTTCCGACATCAAAGCTGCTGCTCACCAGGACAACGATGTCGAGTACGCTGACAACAGCTCCAGCAAGGACAGCGACAAGGAAGGACGCGTTCCCACCGCCACTGCTGACCTTTAAGTTATCCTTCTAGTGTTTCTTCTCTCTATGTCACGATACCCTCACATCTCTGCACTCGCTCTTGTTCCTGGTTTATCACACTGCTAAGGTCTCACTGATCATTCATGCACTCTGCTCTGTATTCATACATGCTATCAATTATATTGCGATCCCAACATCTTTTCCAAAGTCTGTTTGTATGTGTCGTCTTATGAAGGCCATGTTCATGAACTTTAGAGTCTAGACATAAGACCCATACGCAGATGCAAATGGCAGATCGAGTCCCTCGTAAAGGCACAGGTTCACCCGATCTCGAAACGTAGGAAATATGCCATCTTGTTCTGATAGCTGCAATGGTAGATGCAGCGGAACCAGATCGAGCAGCACTGCTAGCTCGTGGTATTCTTCGTCGTTGTCATCGTCATCGCTATCCAGGTTATCGCCTTCATCATTTCCATCAACATTGGAAACGACTGAATCAGAATCGAAAGCGAGGTCCATCACAGGGTCTTCGGCCGCTTCGAGCTCCATTGCGAACTTCATGCGATCCTTCCAAGACTCAATTGTCACCACTCGACCACGGTAGACCGATCCTGTCCCCTCAGCATCTCCGGCTTCCGAAAAGTGGCCGAGCAGTCGGATGAATTCGTCTTCATCAGAAAGAAAGATCGTAAGACCTGAGAAGATCTGTGCCTTCAGCAAGATCTCAAGCACTTGAGAATGGCTCTCAGCCACATGGAAGCCGACTGCGAGCTCTTGAGGGGGAGGGGAAAAGAAGTGGAGAGGGAACCACTGTTCGAATAGATGTCGCGAGAATGTCTCGTGAAGCTCGAGGCCAGTGACCATCAGAAAGAAGTCTGTATCCGTCATCTTGACGAGGGACTGGTGCCGAGATGACGGGAAATGAGAAGCTGGGCGGAAGCGTAGGCTCGCTTGTCAGCTGGGTGGAAAGTGGAGAAGACGGGGTGTGGGAGTCGTGTTAAGGCCTGCCATATAGGGAAGTTGTTGCTGATCATCCTATATACTCTCTGCCACCTTCGTAGCCCGCCCATACTTCCCTTCAAGAAGCTTCCCGCAATCACAAAGCTATCTGCACTCACAACGCTTTCCGCAAGCAAAGAGCTTCCCGCGAAACAGGAAGCTCAGTTCTTCCTTTGAGAACAATGCTTCCGCAGAGTGACAATGCGTAGTGACAGGCTTGATCCGCTTCCGCACTCTTTCGGATGCTGCGCCCGCTGCCGGAGCTTCGAGCTTAAAAATAGCTTTCCGCCTCCATTAGGTCAGTTGTTGTAAAGGTTCGATGTTAGGAAGTGACAGTGTCGATGTTGACCAAGCAGTTGGGTGGTATTGTGCTGAAACATTGATGCTGTCCAACTCAAAGGTAGATGTGCGTCCGACGGTCTGGAGGGTCGCTGGTATCCTTGCAAGCGAAGCGACGATATCAAGCAGCCTTGCGCTTCTTGCTAATATCAATGCCAAACTCGTCTTCATCCTCTGTGATTCCGCCGCATTCAAACTTTGGCTGGGCCTTGTCTTGGCATCGACTTCCAAACCATACTTGAGCTCCTTGCTGCCCATGATATACCACTTCTCGCTACTCTCGACATGGAAGCTAGCGCCTTCAGTCAGGTCCTCTCGATAGTTCGATCCATTCTGAGCTCCCAAGTGCGAGTCTCCTCACGCAGTTTGCTATGAAAGGCAAGGGAAAATCGCACCATTCTGTTGGTGATTTCTGGATCGTTCATTCGAGCTCGAAGGAAGCAGAGCTCATGCATGAGCCTCAGGAAAAAGCAACGTGAGATTATGAAGGCTTGACCCTCCGCTTCTTCAGTGAGTTTGATCATGCGCTGCACGTCGTCCCGGTCATCGAGTATGGAGAGGGCCATCTTACGCCTACGATCTTGATAGGGATGCTTGATGATGGTCATACGAGTCCTGAAGCCGATGCTCCGCGGAACTCCTTTTGTCCGTCACCTCGTTACTCTCCATCCATCCTCGGCCAGCCCGCTCAATCGTGGCAAGCTTTCTGCAGTCACAGCTTAGCGTAGAGCCCATTGGCATTGCTCAGAACATGAGGCTACAGACGTGCTTAAAGTTACAGCATCAGAATAGAGAGAAACCCAGGTCGAGCGGCTGTGTGGGAGCAGAGAAGGCGGCAGCTCCGGGATTCAGCAGAGAAGACAGCCAGTCGTCGGCATTCGCCAAGAAGAGATCAAGCGACTCCGCTGACGGCGTGACTACGTTGCCATTGAGAGGGTTCAGCAAGTCGGACATTGATCCTGCGCTTCGACTGGATTCGATTGCAAAAACAGCGTCGTCTCCTGCTGAGTAGCTCTGTGACTGAGGCATGGGCTGTCCTGAAATGGTATTGGTACCTTCCGGCGAAGGACCTGAGCTAGGATTCGAGAGAGAACTTAAGGCCCTATCCTCGCCGCTCGGAGGTATACATGTGGCATCGTCAATGCGGACACCAGCACGAGCCATATTGAGCAGCAAGTTGGCTGCGCTCTGCAACTCCATGAGCGTCATCGCAAGCCTATCGGCACATCCTCCTGCATAGCGAACGCCAAGCACTTGATATCCTACACTCTGCGGGTTGAGCGTTGCTACCTTGTCCTGGATGCGTTTCAGAAGTGATCGCATTACGTAGAGCTCTTTGACGGCCAGATGGTCACCACGCGACTCCTGGATGTTGGCACGAACCGTGGCAACATATTCTTGGATGTAGCCGAGCTTCTCCAAGACTTCCTCCACTTGCAGGTCTTCTCCGAGCTCAAGCGCGAAGAGCATATCGCTTGCAATGATTGTATTCATGCTGAGAAGCGAGTAAGCACTGCCATATAGATGACAGAGCATTGTCACCGGAATACGGCGCGAGAGCAGTCTCCGTCCGCGCAGATCGCTTAGGGCCAAGTCGACGCAGATCTGTCGTGAATGCTTGTATTTGTCCGCCGAGATAAGGTCTGAAGACTCCATCCAGAAAGGTCGATGGAGCAGCGAACGGAAGAAGATGACCTGGTTGGTGCAAAGGTGGTGATAGAAGATGGTTGAGAAGTCCTGATGCCTCATGGCTCCACCAGACAGTGAAAGTGAGGTTGACAGGCAAGGCGGTAAGGACTCGGTGAAGTCGACAATGTCGCGGTCGATCTCGAGAGCACGCTCGTAGATCCTTGATGATGGCGAAGAGTTGGAGCTCGCAGCAATCTCCTGGAAGAGACGCGAGATACGCTCGATAAAGACCCGGAAGGCATCGCGAACGACCAGGTACTGTGCACACGCCAACTCAAGCCCAAGGCTAAGGTAGTCTTGTAAGGATGGCGAGGGTGTGGTGGAGAACGGGATCTCGGTCATCGGACGGCCGAAGAGCACACTCCATTCTCGATCCTGATGGACAATATGCGACCAGAGCACACGTCGTTGCAACGTTGCAGAGCAGTTCTGTCCAAGGTACGCTCCATGAAGATGTAGCCCAAGGTCTATGGCTCCACGCATGCATGAAGCTACTTGAAGCCAAGTGGACCGTGGAACACGGCAGAGATCGAGATACCTACACAAGTTCAATGAAGCGGAAAGTGAGTCGAGCGTATGTAGTCCCAGGCTTTCGGATAGCGACAATGCCTTTCTGGCAGCGAAAAAGTATGTCCGAGAAGGACGAGTCGGGTATGGACGTACAGCCAGATCAAGGGTCGCCAAGCCGAAAATAGATAGGCAAAAAGCCATGAGCGGCAACATCTGTACATCATCCGAGATCGGACATCGCTCGACGCAGTACTCGACAGCTTTGGTCACTTCTTGCGCGCTTGAGGGGAAGCGGGACCAGTTGAAGTCATCAAGGTAGATCTGCAAGAGCCTGGCAGCCTCAGCCTTGCTTGGAAGGGACTGCTGAACCGACCTCAACTCGTACTTGGGTATGACCAGACCGAAGCCCCTGCCAAGTTGACCAGTCCAGGATAAGAGGTCGGTGCTGACTCCTTCATGACGACGAAATGGGTTCCAGCCGAGACCATTGAGCGCTGGCTTGCCTATGAAAGCATCATCAGCATCGACCATGCTGCGTTGATCCGGTTCCAGTACGCTGTGTTTGCTTCGCAAAGTAGATGGTGTTGCGTTGATAGCGCCGGTTGCCGCTTTCTGTTGTTCAGGCCGCTCCTGCTGATGAAGCGATGGCCACTGAGCTACGGTGGCAAGCTGAGCAAGCGCATTCTCGCCTTGGAATGCTTCAGGTCCTTGATTCGGAGATGAAATTGCGTCAGGCACCATTCTACGTGAAGACGCTAAAGAGCTTGAAACGGGTGAAACTTCAGGGTGAGGATGCCCCTGGTAAGAAGACTGCGAGCGTCGATGTTGATGGGACTCTGCGTGCTGATATCGCTGAGGCGAATGCTGCTGTACACAGTGCTGGTAGGAACGGATGTCGTGCTGCGGTTGCTGCAGATATGTTTGGCCGGACCGCAAGCGGCCTAAAGCTACCAGATGGGACGTTGCTTGTCGCGAGGAGGTTGGACGATGGTCGTCATAGAGATCGTAGGTGTTCGTATCATCCATTGCTTCGAGTTGGTCCTCCGTGCTTTGTTCTTGTTCAAGCTCCTGCTGGCTGCTGGATGGATCTTGATCGGAGCTTGCCATAGCTAGCTTCTGCCTCATCCGTATTCGTCTGGAGGGCCGATGGAGGTTCGAAGGCGGCGAACACAAATGGGCTATACCACGCTGCGTACATTTCTCACAGGGAAAGTTGCGACTGCATCGTTGCTTACGGCGTTGACACTGTAGACAGCTGTACTGGTACCGATTCCTCTTGCCGCCGTCCTGACTGTCGAAGCTTCTGTCGGGGCTGTTAAAGAGAGCAGGGTTACTTGTACTTGCAGTACTGGATGTCGAAGTCGCCGCGAAGGCTCGCGAGCTTTCTCCATGAGTGTTGACAGACATGCTGCGATGCCTCGCTCCTTATAGTGTGGTCGATGACCTAGTCAAAGTGGAAGATATGGCGAGTGCGGGTTAGTGGGGAATGCGAAAGTTGAGCTCTAGACTCACCACTGTAAAGCCGAAGGGTCCAAGGTGGGATAAGGACACTGCGCATCTCGTTGTACAGGAAATTGCTTCAGTATTGCCGTTCCTGAAAGGACATTGCCACCACAGCAAAGGTTCTCATTCCTCTGCAGCGTCCGCAATGAAGGAGGGTAAGTACTGTAAGAAGGATTGCGACAGCTCTCACAGCTTCACCTGCCGATCCTCGCACACATCACAACAGTCATCTCAAAAGGTGGCTTGGCGGGACTACTGCCTCGTAAAGCTTATCCCATTGATACCTACAGTAGCTAGCACAATGACCAGACTCAAACGAAAGCAGCACAGACGAGTCCGTCTGAGCATGGGAACAACCTGGATTTAAGGTTGCCCAAGCCAAAGCACCAAGTGAGTTAGTCGACGCTGGGTGGGGCTCCATGAGGCTGCAACGATCCAACGGATAAAAAAACAAGGTGGGAGGAGGTTTTGGAGGAGACATTGTTTCAATTGAAGATAACAATTAATATACGGCGTTATCGGGGTCACGATCAGACTCCCTTTGCCACAGCCGTATGTTCTATGTAATGCTTGGTTTTCTTAGTGTGAGACTAAATGACAAACACATATATATACTCCATTCACTGCTCTGATCCCATCCGAGGCAGGGTGTGTTCCTTCATTTGTACCCCTGTGTTGCTATGATACCGGGTGCCACTGTGCTGTCACCATGACAACAATTGCGTACCTCATTGTGCTCCTCGCTTATGTGAGCCTCCCGTATCTCGATGTCTCGGCCGTAACACGTGCACCTTGCTTGAGATGCCGACGCATCTTCAACTGTTTCATTTCCACACATTGCACTTGCGAACTCGAAATGTTGCAATCAATCTTGATGGTGACGGCACAAGCTCCCGCCAAGCTAACGAATGGCCAAAGCTGCCATTCCCACGATCCACCAGGTGACCCGTTGTAACAGCAGGCACACAATCGTCTCCCGGAGCGCTGCGGGCCGCGCTTCTTCGCTATTGCTGCTCTTGCAGTGCTTGCAGTGCAGAAGCCCAACTTCCGAAGGGTCTCAGAGTTGCGACGACAGCTAAAGCGACTCGAGGATGCCAGATCACTACTGGTCGTAGTGTGGTGGCTGGGTGAATCAATATCGGTCAGGTCAAAGCTTATTCGACCATGAGCAGGCCTAGGCAAAGACAAGGACAAAGAGACCCGAGACATCAATGACACATAGGACTATGTAAGCTAGACCATGGGCACAGGCATCCCATCTTCAACAGTACTCGGATCAGGTCTCTCCAGCCTCACTCCCTTGTTTGTCTGTTGCTGAGCTGCTGTTCAGTGGTCAATGATAGGCCCCCGCTCCCCATCAGCTGCACGCTTTGAATGAAACGACCGACCAGCTGCGTTGATGATATTGATGGGACCAGCAATCGGTGCCGCAAACGAACAGAGCGAGTGTCACGGCCGAGTATCGCAAGATTGAAGGGGGATCAACGACTGCGCATTGTCGACTTTCGCTTTGCAACTCGGACCTTGCAGTCTCAGTGGCCAGGGACAAGGGTCACACTTAGACAGAGCACCGTTGCTGCACAACGATTCAGTCATGAAGCCGAACGCCGGAGGCTGTTCTATATCATTACGATGGTGGGGGACAAGAGAGTTCCAAGGGTTATAGACCGTTGGGCACCCAGGGTGGCTATCAGACAGGGTTTTCGTGTGGGCCTCATGCCACGACCTTGTATGAGACCTTGGCCGACCAAGGTCCTCAAGCAATTGACATGGTCGCCGACTTCTCGATCATGTACTCTTTGAGTCCAGCACCGATGCCGGCCTCTTTGCCGAAGCCTGACTGGTCGACACCACCAAACGGAATCTCAGCCGCGGTAGTGCTACCACCAACATTAAGTCCTACATTACCGGCCTTGAGCTTCTCGAACATGCGCCACAGACGGGCCGAATCTTTTGTAAAAACGTACGAGGTCAATCCCATATCAGTATCGTTAGCAAGATCGATCGCCTCTTGCTCGGACCGGAAATTGGCGACGTTAATGAGCGGACCGAATGACTCTTCCTGGAATACCAGCATCTCCTTTGTACAGCCGGATATCAACATTGGAGCGACAAAGTATCCCGAGCTTGGTACCTCGGCCTTCGATGTGTAGACGGTGGCACCTTTAGCTTTGGCATCCTCTACGTGCTCGAGAGCCTTTTGTCGGCTACGGTAGGTCTGTAATGGGCCGAGTGTGGTGGAGCTCTCGGAACCATGTCCGAGCTTGACTTGATTCAGTTGCTCCGAGATTGCTTTGAGCACCCGATCCACCACCGACTCGTGCACGAAAGCTCTCTGTGCCGAGATACATGTTTGGCCTGCATGACGCAGCTTGTTGGCAACCAGCGCTGTTGCTGCCGCGTCGATGTCGGCATCTTCAAAGATTAGGTAGGCACCCAAGCCACCCAGCTCAAGTGTCATCTTCTTCAAGCTTGGCGCACACTGCTGCATGAGAAGTCGGCCAACGCGAGTGCTGCCGGTGAAGCTGACTTTCTTGATGCGTAGATCTGAGCATAGCGCTTGTCCAATGGCCGGAGTGTTGCTGTACGATGCCAGAACAACGTTAACCGTTCCGGAGGGGAAGCCAGCGCGACGCAGCAGATTAGCGATAGCGATCATCGACAGTGGCGTCTCTGGTGAAGGTTTAGCTACAATCGTGCATCCTGCTGCAAGAGCACTGACTGCCTTTCGAATGAAGAGTGCAACAGGAAAGTTCCATGGTGTCAGGATAGCCACGGGTCCGACCGGTTGCAGCACGGTGAGGAAGCGTAGTGAAGGGTTCGTTGCGCTCTTGACAATTTGGCCTTGAACTCTCTCCGTCTCTCCAACGTACCACCAGCTAAAGGTTAGAGCGTATTGCACCTCTGTTCGAGCTTCTTCAATTGGCTTGCCGGTCTCGTATACCAAGATCCAAGCAAGATCCTCAAGGTTATCACGGACGAGTCGGTCAAAGTTGAGTAGCAGCATCGCACGCTCTCTCGCGGCTATGGCCGAGTAGGTTGGAAAGGCCTCGCTGGCTGCTTGAATCGCTCGATCGACGTCGTCAAGGTTGGACGCCTTCATTTTGCGCAACGGCCTCCCGAGGCCAGGATCTAGGTTGTGTCGGCATTGACGGTCGGTTGCAAAACCTTTACGTCAGCCTTTCCTCTCTCTCTCTCTCTCTCTCTCTCTCTCTCTCTGTGGTTGATATTGATGCTAAGCCTTTTGACTCGAGTGCACTGTGACTTACCCATGACATCGAACGTCTCATTGTCTGATGCCTCACCGCTGTCAGACACTTTGACGAAGCGTGAGACTTCAAGCAATGAGAGGTCTTTGAGTTTGGAGTCCATCCTTCTTGTCACCTTTACGAAGGCGTGTGAGAAGCAGAATCTGTTGAGGGAACTGAACCTGGCTAATTCGGATTGCTCGCGGCAAGCACTGGGATGTCAAGAAAGAGGTTATAGATGGGTCGAATGAAAGGGAAGGTCACCTTTCTCCACGTTGGTGCATTTAAGTACAGGTCACTGTGCCGTCAGATTGGTAGCTGTCGAAGTTGTTCCCGCCTTCATCTACTATTGAGACTATCAGTAGATGTGGCGGATGACGTTCAAACAATGCGGGGAAGCGGCTCGTCAAATCGGTAGTGAGTGGACCAAGCGTCTGCGTGGGTACTGTAAATCCGAGATAGGGTGTTGGTTAAGCCCCTGCACTGGTTCCAGAAGCGTCCTTCAATAAGCGATGACGGGGCAAAGGCCGGCCAAAAGCCGGACAATTCGGTGCCTATTCAACCTTTTGGTTGTGTCTTTTGCTATTGTACCGAAGTTTGCTACGCTGCCATCAACTTTCTGCACAACAGCGCTTGACAAGAGTCGCAATCGGGGATGTGGGGAAGTCCTCGGATTTAGACGATCGGATTAGCGGTCCATTCGTCTAGATGAAGGGAAAGGCACATAGTAGTGTTCCTCCGGTCACAGCTCTGTACTACTTCCGGCCCGACGTGCGCTGCTGCCCACAAGTTCTGACCAAAATTGCAGTGTCTAGACGATCGATGCATCCCAACGACAACGTCCTCGACGAGCTGAAATAGACATCTCCACTCCACGTTGGCTTCGCTTCGTCTCCGCATAATACATACACAAGCACACACACAAACACACACACACAAACACACATAATCGCTAGAACTGATCGCCTTGAGTTACGCGATTTTGCTTCCACTGTTCCTCGACACAGTCGACACCAACATCATATCTACCGGCAAGCTCTCGTTCCAGCTCACAGGGTGCACCCAATCATGCCATCTAGCAACGGCTTAGGGGCCGATGAGGCATGCAGAATTCTGATTCTACGAGGGGACGGCATAGGACCAGAGATCATGGCAGAAGTACTGCCACTCTTTGACCTTGTTCGGTCTAAGTACGAGGTCAAGATCGAAATTGTGGAGCTACTGATTGGTGGATCTTGCCTTGACCAGCACGACACACCCATACAGGATATCACGCTAGCAGAAGCTTTGAACTGCCACGCTGTTCTGCTAGGTAGTGTTGGAGGACCAAAGTGGGACGTCGGTGACTCGAGCAGGAGGCCAGAGACTGGCATTCTGAGGCTGCGCAAGCATCTGAACCTCTATGCCAACGTCCGTCCTGCCAAGATCATCTCTGAGCGACAGCTACAACTCAGCTCTCTCAAGGACGAGGTGGTACGAGGAGTCAACATCATCACACTGCGAGAGAATGTTGGCGGGATCTACTTTGGCAAGAAGGAAGAGCCGGATCAACATGCGATGAAAGGTGAGCCCATGCCTTCTTAGTAGAACACAACATCCTCGATGGTGACTTTGTTAACCCGCGTGACCACCTTGCTTCTCTCTTCTCTTTCGATGCATCACTCTGGCAGCTTCGGATCTGTGCGAGTACACGCGAGAAGAGGTTGTCCGCCTCACACGTGTTGCAGCAGCTTTATCGCTGGCAAACGGCGACCACCCTCTGCCTATCATCTCAGTCGACAAAGCAAACGTGATGGCAACGTCTCGTCTCTGGCGTCAGGTCGTCACAGAGACTATTCGCGACGAGTATCCGCAGCTGGTTGACAAGCTGAGCCACCATTTGGTAGACTCCGCCGCTATGGTCTTAGCGCGCGACCCGAGAAAGCTGAACGGTGTTGTGCTAACAGAAAACGTAAGTTCTACTACAAATCTCGCCCAGAATGCGAACTTGGCCAAGTACTAACCTCATCTCAACTCACATAACGTCTCGTAGCTCTTCGGCGACATCCTAAGCGATCTAACATCCGTCATTCCGGGATCTCTCGGCCTGCTCGGGTCTGCCGAAATTGACGGCCCTCCAGTTGTATCTGCTGATGGCCGACTGCCCGTAGGTGTGTACCAGCCCGTGTCGGGATCAGCGCCTGATATTGCAGGCAAAGGCCTCGCAAACCCCATCGGCATGTTTGAGTCCTTCGGCCTCATGTGTCGATGGTCTTTGGGTCTTGCTGAGATGGCTGATGCAGTAGACAGCGCCATCAAACGCAGTCTCGAGGCCGGCCAATGCACTCATGACGTCGGAGGCACGCTGTCGACGCAGCAAGCTGGGAGTCAACTGCGACAGTACATCCAGGAGACCTTATCGTGATGACCATTCCGCAGGACCTTGTCTTCCTATCCTTCTGTCCCCTTCAAACCCCGTTGTTCTGCAAAAGTCATATTGCCATATCATTCGTAAATGATTGTCTCCAGATCCGCGTCAGCGTTCTGTGTTGTACGATCGCAGTACGATCGCCGACCAATTATACTGTAGTTTCAAACTATGTCGGATTGGCGATGCAGTAATATGTGTAAGGCCGGAGTCTAGTGGTAGACCAAGGACATGTAGAGTGTGCTGAGTCCGTCGAAGGCACAGGTCAGCCCCACACTGGGTTCTTCTTTTCGTGGATCTGCGGCTGTCCTTCTGGCGATCCTGGGATGTTCTTTGCAAGTTTCTGTGACGGGTCGTAAGAATGGTCGGAGTATGGACAGGCAGAACAGGATTTGAGCGTCAGTAATCTGCGGTTGCATCCAATGCATGCTATGATGGTTGGAATCGATACGTACAAGCTTCTCAAAGACACACTGGTTGAGTGTCTTTTCTGGCTTCCTGCATCTGTAGAATTCCTGGTTGTGCTGCTCGAGGCATTGGAAGTGGGCCTCCCACTCTTTTCCACAGTTATCGCTTAGCTTCTTGATCCTGTACAATTTACGCCGCGAGGAGCAACAAGGGCGAAAGCAAAGGGTCAACCGTTGATTCTTTCAAACCTTTGTTCAGACTATCAGACAATGCAAGGTGCAATTTGCATTGTCGGCGTGCGATGCATCCTCCTTTGAGAGCTTCGTATTTGCTGTTCCGACCTATGCTTCTACTCACAGATCTCGTCCACATCTTGTTACTCGACGACCCTCCTTGAGGCAGTGAGCAGGGTCACGGTTCTCGTTCTTGCAAAGCATGAAGTCCTCGTTGACATCCTTGCAGTGTTCGCCGATGAAGAAGCTGGCAGACTTTAGCGGTGCAGAGGTGACACCAAGCTCCTCAATGTGTGGTTGGCTCGATGGCATAGGAGCCGGGTCGATGTAGGGTTTCCCTGGGAACTGGGCATCTCGGTGTGTGGCCATGGTGAGCTGATGTGACGACCTAGTGTGGGTATCTTCGGAGGCGCAAGTGTCGCGGTTGAGGTGTATCGCAGGTCGAACGTCCTTCCTGACGATAGGTGACGACGTCGGCAGTATGCAAGGTGGTGGTGGTGGAAGGTGTTGTTCAGGATCAGTTGAGCAAGAGTGCGAAGATCTGGATTCAAGATTCCGATCACGGGCCAATCAGGGCTGAACGATTTCGGATCCGACTTTGGTCTTGTGCGTACACAACACTCTAACAACCCTGCCTCAACGGGACAAAAAAAATAAAAATAAAATAAAATATAAAAAAAAACAGCTTCGTGCTTCTCCGCGAGAATTTTTTTCTTTCAAAACGCCGGACAAGACCCTTTGTTGCTCCTCTAACTAAGCTTGTGAAGATAAAGTGCTGAAGGAAACGATCCAATATGATGATGCGAGTTGACGTAAGCGGATTTGATAAGTAATCGGGCAAAGCCAATCTGATCGGAGATCAGGTGAAGCCGATACAAGTGAGGGATCGGGTACAACTACGTCCCGCTCGTTGCCATACTTGGTCATTAAGGGGGATGCTCCCACTTCTGGCATGTGCCGATAGCTTGTATATATACTAAGCGGGGAGCTAAGGAGACTCCCACCACATTGTTTCCTTAGTCAATCGAGTATATATGTTTCTGCCCTAAAACAGTAGTGACATCGTAACTCAGACTCTCCCCGATCGTCGGTTATCGGGACAAAACTTCTTCACATTTCAAGATAAAGTGCTTCTTGTGACTTGACTTGACAAAGTGAAGAGGCCTGGCTATCTTGATCTTGTCTACTTATTGCGATTCCTGTTGCATACTTCACGCTACCGACCAGCCTCTGGAACGCCCGATCACTCATCCCAGGTGATAGACGGTAGTCGAGCCGTTACAAGAAAAACGAGCACATCCGCCCAGGATGGTGTGCTGTAGCAGAGCAGCAAGAGGACTGCCGAAGCCGTTTCATCGGCTCACCCGACCTTCTTCCGCAGCATCGGCTCTTCCGCCTGCATTTTTGGCACCTCGTATCCATGCTCAGTCATTCTTGACACAGCCACCACAGCTAGCATCGGCTTCTCCGTCCAAGGATTCAACACTCAACTCCGCTCAGAACTTGCGAGCAACGCTACGACGACTCGGCCAGAGCTCGGAATGGGCCCCGCAAGCTCCTATAAAGATGGAAGACTCGAGGAAAGCGACAAAGGAAGATGGTGTGAGTCGCAATGATTCAGCTCGCGACAGCACAAGGGGAACATCTCATAGCCCCTCCTTCCGTTCATCAGCATCAGGAGCAAAGAGTGAACTCTCTGCGCAGGAGCGAAAACACCAGATCGGCTTCCGACTGAAAGCGAAAGAGCTTCTCGACCACATCAACGGTGCCAGTCGTGATCTCGAGGCACGCACCAAGTCATCGCGAATCCCTCCTGCTCAGATCGACGCAGAGATCAACGAGATTTTAGATCACTTCGACGGCGAAATGAGGAGCCTTCGTGTTATGATCAAAACAAAAGACGTTCTCGAGGATCCCGACAACGCTTGGAAGTCGGCTTCCCGTATCAAGGCACCTTGCAATGCTGCACTACGTCTCTGTTTGCATCAAGGTAGAGTCGAGCGCGCCACGAAGCTCTTCAATTCGATGAAGAAAGACGGCATCTTCCCCAGCGCCGCTACCTACACCGTCATGATTAACGGCTTTTCTCGTGCTCTCACTGAGCAAGGTAGCAGACCCCGTTCGAATAGCAATCCAGAAGCCATGCTTCAAAGCAAGCAAGCTCAGCAAATCCGTGACTTGTATCAAGAGATCGAGAAGCTTTGGAATCAAGCCTTCCCACAATACTTTCAACGTAGCGTAGCAGGCCCTCGCTCCCAATCCGACGACATCATGGCCCTTGATCGCGAAAACTTTCACAAACTCACAGAGCAAGCGTGCCGTAACCTCGTCTCGCAGCAAGCCAGCGTCAACGAGATCCGCGATCATCCAAAGATGTTTACACATACCCTCGGTGCCTATCTCCACTTTCTCCGTCTCGTTGACCTTCGAGACGAGCTTAGACATCTTTTTGATCGCCTCTTCCCGTCCGATCTGATCGAAATTATGGCCAAAGGATTGGCGCAAAACGCATCACCACAAGATAAGCTTGAGTTGGCCAATCGCAAGTTGTCCGAATCGCTGCCGCTCGGTGATGTTAGCACCTTTTCTGCCATGTTCGTCGAGTCTCCGGTCTCTCCAGCTTCAGAGCGCTTGGCCACCGTTGAGCGCATCTGGCCTTGCCTTGCCACGCTGATGGATTTGGAGTTGCATGAGAAACAAGCAGCGCCCCAAGCGAAGCCCAGCCAACGTCAGAAGGACGACCGCAGGACTGCAGGAAAGCATGCTGAGGCTGATTGGCATAGATTCCTTCCAGACGACCGCCTGATGGCGGATATCTTCGCGCATTTGCAAGCGCCGCCCGATGATGCGACGACACATGGTTTTCGACTTGGTCTTTCGATCTTCAGTAAAGTTTACGGTCTTGATCTCGATTCCACGGCTGACGGCATCATCAGAGCACCACAGCCTGACGAGAACGATCGCACAGGCGGATTGCAACGCTACTTCACAGCTACTGCCAATGGAATCGATGGCAACGCCCAGCCAATGGCCGAACTGCGTGATCCAATCGTTGCAACGCGTCTCTTTCGTATGTTGCACAAACGCGAGCTACGCAAACAGCGCATTGCACTATTCAACTATCTCTGGGCACGAGGCTTCGCCGATCAGCAAGCCGCAAACTCGCAGGAAGACGCGGTCGAAAGCACAATCTCGGACCCAACTACCTTTGGTAGGACACTTCGTCCAACCTTGGCCCTCGGCATCCTTTGGGACCTCTGTGAAGCGGGCGATCCTGTCGGTGCCCGATTTGTCCTTGAGGCTATGAAGCGGACCGCCCAAGGTGCCTCGATTGGTCCTGTCTCGACGCGGGATGTGATCTCCCGTCGAGCACGACGGTCTCGGTATTTTGCTATCCGAGCTGATCAGAACGACGCACAGAACTGGAAGCCGTCCGATCTCAGCTATATCCGAGTCTTGCGCGCCAATTTGATAGCTCTGCTCGACACTGAAGGGCCTGGCGGTCTCACCGCGACTATGTTGGAAGAGAGCAGCTCCCCCGCTTCAGGCCTTCCTGGAAAGCAGCCCAAATACGACGCCTGGACCGAATCGAAGTCGCTCTTTGCTGAGTGGTGCGACCAGAAGAAGCTCGACAGTGATTTCCGCCAACCCTCGTCTCGATGGACTTCCAGCGAAAACGATCAAGGTCGTCATACCTTACGTACTGTCAAGAAGAGTGATGCTGACCGAGGCGGCTTGCCTGATGGGCTAAAAAGTCGCATCCACACGGACAACATGCGTTCCGTCTTCCTTCACATTGCCAAGTTCTGTGCTAGCCAGCAGGGAGGGGAAGGCGCGCAGGTGGCAAGAGAGGCCTTACATCTGGTTAATGACAAGGTCGGCCTTGAAGCGCTCGTCAAGGAAACTCAAATGTTGCGAGATGACATCGCAATTGCCTCCAAGAGGATTACGACTTCCCCCCATAAGGTGCGCACACTCGACTACTTGAGCAAGGTCACGGATCTCGCTCTGGATACCTCGAATCATTCCTTTGCGCCGAAAGCAGATGTCGAGCTGTGGAAATGCGTCAGGAACATGCTCCCTGCTTCCCACGTGTCTGCTGACAAGGAAGAAAACAAAAGTGGATCGAATCGCAGCCGAGATGCCTGGAAGCAGTTGGTGGGGGGCAGTAACCGATTGCTGCTGTCCAAAGATGACTATCTCGAGTTGGAAGCCGAAGCTGACAAGGAGGAAGATGTCTTTGAACAAGGTGAGGAAGAACAAGTTCTTCGTGGGTCGTACCGGATGCAACGTCGCTCGCGCCACGTCGAGCAAGAGCTCGAACGCTGGGTGCGAGGATCTTCGTCCTAGTCTTCAGTGTTGTGGATCAAGGAGTTCAATTCAAGTTAGTCGCACATAAACTTCGTTTCGCCTTGTCTGTGTCTGTATGTGAATGATACATTTCACCACGAGATTGTGATGTTGAAGCAATGCTGTTGTTTGACCTTGCGAGTAGAAGCGTGAGTTGTGTATTTTCGCATCCTTCTTTTCCTTCGACTTTTCTTCTTGAATAAATTTGAGCTGGCTGCATCCTTCTTTTTGACTTACGCAAGCTTTTCTGCTTTAAGAGAACCTGGAAAGCCTGTGGACATTGTTGATCTGCTTTTGTTGCACAGCTCGATTTTATCATTTAAAAGCCGTTTTAGGCGGTATAAACCAATAGAAACTGAAGACGTTTCGGTCCCGATACTGGCGATCGGGTAGAGTCTGAGTACGATGTCACTGTTAGTTTGTAGACAGAAACAAATATACTCAATTGACTAAGAGAAGAACATGGCGAGAGCCTCGAGCACTCCGCCTGACATATATACAAAGTGCTGGTTCATCCCATACGTGGGAGTATCACCCTCAATGACAGAGTCCAACAACGTGCGGGACCCAATAGCGTCCATCCTTTCTCTCTGATCGGCTCTGTCTGATTCCCGATTAGATCGGACCTATTCTCTCTCCGATTAGCTTGGGTCCATCTGCTCCCCGATTAGATCTGCTGGATCGCCATCTTCAACATAAACAAATCCCACTGGATGACGCCGCCGTGATGTAGGGGATTGATGGTGAAGTACAAGTACATGGGTGAAGCTGCTTTTCCTAGACCGAGTGCGGATCAGCTTCGCCGAGGCAGAACAGTGCCGAGGTCAGATGGAGGGGGTTATGTTCGAGGACTCTAGATTACTCGACCAGGTTCGTGCTTAGGATCGTCGGTAATCGGGTAAGGATCTTGGCCGTTCTGCTGCTGCGATAGGGCGAGTGCTTGTTGGGAGATTGGAACTTGGCCACCGTTTGCAGCAATGATCTGTAAGACACCATTTTGACGACACATAGCAGCGAGTCAGTACAATGCTTTTGACGAATCATCGCTCATCGCTTGCACTAGGAGGAGGAGAGAAGATTACTCACCGATCGTTCATCGCGACGAGACTTCCAGACGGCAGCTGTGAGCCACAGACCCCAGATCTGGTCCAGTCAATGGTAAAAAGCAGTCTGAGAGCTGTGTCAGCTTTGACAAAAAAAATAATCACTTCGTATCATGAGGAGCATAATGGGAGGTGAACTTACACCAAGACCAACGAGACCTGTGACAGCGGTTCGGTGCGCCAAATCGACGAAACTTGGCATTCGCTTTGACATTGTGACTTGATACTATTTGAGCAGCCGGGGCTTTAGAGATGGTTCGGATCGATATGGTTCAAGTGAGATTGTGGAAGATGTCCGTTGATGGTGCGACCTTGATGGAATAAGTCTTGTAGAGAGCCGGTTGGTGTCGAGAAGGGCGGCTCTGGAAAAAGTCGCCGCTGCAAAAGCTAAGCTGTCTGACTTGATGTGGAGAAGATGGGCCTGGATATCGGGAACAAGAAGTCTGCATCGGTCAGATCTGGTCGACCTCATTCTTTGTTAGACTGATGTTTTTACACAAAAGACACCTCTCTCCCGATGAAGGGCTCGTGAGCTCTTTCCATGTGTCATTTTTGGCTGCTGTCGAGTGACGTAGACTTCATCATAGAATCCTGAGCCTAGCTTTTCGCTGCATTAGAGCTGTTCAAAAACGCTTGTCTTCGACGTTTGAGTTGCATCCCGGGTCATGGTCTCTCCAATCTGCTGAAACAAAGCTCGCTCGTTAGCTGGCATATCTGTCTTAGTTGGCTTGGCAGCTTTCGAGGAGAGCAGAAAAAGCACAGCAATCATCGCATGACCTCGACAATATGATGCTGCATCGCTGACTGGCTTGCATTGAGGCAGTATGATGATTTCCGCTCTGTCTTTTCGAGGAAAGTGAGGAAAGCAAGATCGAGGCTTGTGAGTAGCTTTCGCCCTTTCGATCCAAGTCGAGGATCGTTTGGCAAGAGCAAAAAGAGAGGCGCTCAAACTTGGTTGCAACGCACGCTCCAGTTCCTGTTTGTTTGCCCCCTCCTCCACTTGGACAGCGGTCCTTTCCCGGGTCCACTTTCCATCCACGATCTTCTCTCTTCAACGTAAATTGTCTTATACAAGGCTGCTTTCCATCTCTCCACGACAAGTACGCTCGCCTAAACAACCTTCGAGTCGACTAAGTGGGCTTGCAGGACATCAAGTATTCGCAACCACGTTGTCAGCTTCGACTTCAACACTTCCCATCTCCCGAAAGCAGCACCCTTGCTATAGCTTCGCTCTTCAAGATGATTGGAGCAGCTGCTTCTCGAAGTATCCTCTCAAGCGGTCTCAAAGGCCAGCGCGCTGCCACTGCCGCCATTGCGATCTCTAACTCAGCATCTCTTGCTGCCCGCAGATCTCTGCTTCTGCCTGTGCAGTATCGAGCTCTCCACACATCTCTGCAACGATACGCAGCTAACCCACAATCAGGCAAGCCCGCCTCGGACAACTGGACGCACACCAAGCAAAACATTAAGGAAGAAGCCAATTCGGTCCGCTCCAGTGTCGAGTCGGCCATTGCTGGAGGCACCAAGGCCGAAAGCGCCCAAGATTCTAGCAGCAACACCAGCGCAGGTGGGGGTCGACCTTCAGGTGCGGCCGAGATCCTCAAAGATGCCAGGAACATCACTAGCGAAATGGCACAAGCTGTCCCCTACCCAGCTCTTTTATGGGGCAGTGCAGGTGTGATCCCATACGTCAGCACAGCCGGTGCCTCGATCTGGTTGGCACGAAAGGAGCACCTGGTCAACTTGGGACTGGACAAGTCGATGGACAGCGAGACCGCCAGTGCGCTTCTTTTGCACGCACAAAACATTCAGGTCGGCTTCGGTGCTGTGTTGCTCTCCTTTTTGGGTGCTATCCACTGGGGGTTCGAATTCAGCAAGTACGGCGGTCGTGTCGGTAACCGCCGATACGCTATGGGTGTCATGCCGCTTGTTCTCGGCTGGCCCACACTTCTGCTTGCACCCCAAATGGCCCTGATCGGTCAATGGGCCTCCTTCGTGGCTGTCTGGTTCATGGACCTGCGAGCAACCACTGCTGGCTGGGTACCTAAGTGGTATTCTACCTACCGCTTCTGGCTCACCTTTGCCGTCGGCACTAGTATCATTGCTACGCTTGCTGGTACCAACTACTACGTGCCTGGTAGCCGAAGCACGCTAGGTGGCACCGCCCGCAAGCTCGAGGAGGAAGTCAAGGCAGATGGCCCTACCAAGATGAAGTTGCTCAAACAGACCGCTCAAGGCAACAAGGGTGGTTTGGTCAAGCACACTGAGGTAACCGGTGATGTCGAGGCAACCAGCTCTGGTGCTGATGGTGACAGCTACGTCAAGATTGGCAACCCCAAGCGGAAGGAAGAGGAGAGGAAGGAAAAGGAAGAGGAGGAGAAGAAGAAGAAGGAGGAAGAGGAAAAGAAAAAGAAAGAAGAGGCCAAGAAGGGCGGCGATGACAAGAAGGAGGGCGACAAGAAGAAGGACGATGACAAGGACGACGAGTGAGGGCAGCTCAAAGGAACCATATCCGTCAATATCAACGTCTCCAATAGCAGCGTTGAAGGTACTTGCTAGCTGCTGTTCCGCTCCCACGAAGACGTGCCAAAGTGTGCATGGGTCACTCGAACAAAGGCTCCCTTCTAGATCTCGCTTGCTCTTTCTGTACATAATCCATGTTTCCGCTTGCACAATCAACCAACAATCTCTGCTCCAGAAAACATGTGTGTCTCGCACAATTGCTCTGGAGTGCATCAAAGATGTGTGCATGCTCGTGTGATCCTGCCAACGTCAAAGGTCATGTTGCAAGACTGTGGTGAGTGTTGGCCTATTGTATCGGCCGAGTGAGTATTGCTGCTTCCAATCAACGCTGCAGAGAAAATATGCACGATAGAGCGCACGTGCGCATCCGAATTCGTCTTCCGCTTAACTAGTTTTCCAGTATCTTTCCTCCCTGCCATGCTGATGATGATCGCGCTTGATGGCTCTTCTTGTAACGTGGTTATCACTCAGGATGTATATGAAAAGATACCAAGATCTGGCCTGCATCAGCAAGGTTTGTTTGAGCCTGTGAGCTGGGCTGCAGAACCAATCGAAAGGGGAGGGTGTTCTGGCAACTTTTAAATAAATTGCCAAGCTACAAGACGCCTTGTGCATGCTCCGCTTCATTTGCAGCTAATCATCGTCCAAAGCTTCATAAAGTGGCGCTCACAGACTGGGGATCTATTTCGCCGTCAAGTCCGCCGTCAATGCAATCTTTGCCTCGCTATGGTCGTACTCAAGTTACGGGACATCTCGGCGCTGTACGAGCACAAAGGTAGCTTGAACTTTGACATACCAAACGAATCTGAGAGTAATTGAGCGTTTCAGTTGAAAGAGAGTTGGAATTCTAGAATCGGTATTTCGGCTCTTCTGTTGCAGGTCGTAGCTTCGTCTCTGCCTGTCTATGCTTCTTCGTCGCCTTTTCACTTGCTTCTTCTCGACCTCCTCCTCTTGCTTCTTCGCCGTCCATCAACCGCCTCACCATCATCCCTTGCGACCGTACCAAGCTAACATTCGGCATATCGCAGCTCGCATCCTCCTTCGCGTCCCCCCTTATCAAGGTCCCACGAACGCACGTCAGCCTCCCTTCTCCCTAACACCTCACACAGACAGCTCCTGTCACACAAGTCATAATGTCCACCCAGCCTCTCCTTCAACGAACCGCTGGCAAGCGTATTGCGCTTCCAGTCCGTGTCGAGCCAAAGGTCTTCTTCGCCAACGAACGAACTTGTACGTTTCCGCTGCTTCCTGCATCCACGATCAAACACAATCATGCTCCAACACATCAGGCACCTCAGATCAGGCACTCGCTTCGCAAGCAACGAGCGGTGTGACCTGCATATCATGCCCTAACTCTTCGATGCCAATGCTGGATCCGCAGTCTGCTAAGAACAGTATACTGACATCTTCAACCACTTTGATCCTTCGCTGTCGCCAATCCCTCTCGTCACCCGGTCTTGTCTCATACAGTCTTGTCATGGTTGAACTTCACAGTCACCCTCTCGGCTCTTGCCGCTGGCTTGCTCAACTTTGGTGACAAGATCGGTCGTATCTCTGCCGCTATGTTCTCCTTTGTTGGTGAGTTATCTTCCCTTTGAACACACTTGATCCTCTCCGCTTTTTCTCCTTACTTACCGACCCATTGCTCTCCCCCTTCTGTCGTGTCTGATAGCGATGGCAATTATGATCTACGCTCTGTTGACATACCACTGGCGTGCAAGTGCCATTCGCAACCGTGGTTCGGGTCCTTACGATGACCGGCTGGGGCCTACAGTTCTCTCCGTCATGCTGTTGATTGCTGTCTTGGTCAACTTTATCTTGCGATTCAACTCCTAATCACCCAACCAGCTGTACGGAAGTCCGAGTTGATCAGCAGCTACCACCGACAACATTCTTGTCAGCAGTCCTCATCGACCTTATCATGCCTTTTTTGCGGTCTTTCTGCAATCTTAACTCGTAACGTCACACATCTTACAGGTTGACTCTAACTTTGAATTCTATGTGACGGATGTGAATCGATTTGGGCCCGTACCACTGCCATGACCAGCGTCCAAAGTCCAAGAAGCAGAGGCAAAGGCGCACGAACAGCAGCTAATCGTCCAGTAGCTGCTGAGTGGAGGCGACACACGGCTCAATCCCGACTGTCGGAACAGACATAGACAGAGCAGACAAGCGATGCATTTGGTCAACGAGAGGTGACAACGAGAGGTGACAATGAAAGAGAAAGAGAGACACCAGAGAACCAGAGAGGATCGAGAGAGAGAGTATGTGTTGTGGGGGTGGGGGGGGGGGGGGATAGGATTGACCAGTACAAGTACAAATATGAGTTGAAGAGCATAGACAGAGAGAACAGCAAGATCTGGCGAGCTACTCTACCAGAAACAGGCTTGAGAGGTGGGAATGCAATGCGAATTATGGGACCAGCCGATGTAGGTGTCAGCAAAAGAGTGACTTTTGGATGTGATCAAAGCAGGAAAGACGGTGAAATTAGGCAACAAGGCTGGTTGCCGCCGCTCCTGCGTTGGTAGTGGCAGTGGGCGTCGCCGCTTGCTCCATGACCATTTCCATTGCTGTCTCTCCTGCACTGACACCCATGCCTGCCACACCAAGGGCACCCAAGGTAGCTGCAAACTCCTGCAAGTGATTCCTCCTGTACTCCAAGATATCTTGCACCAACACACTCGGTCGGATAGGTTTCAACAACCAATCGTCCATGCCTGCCTGTTTACCTTCCTCAAAGTCTCGATCAGCAGAGTGAGTTGTTGCTGCTACGATGCGCGCTCTTTGATGCGTCAACATCATCTGTATCACTTGATCGATCGCTCCAGAAGTTTCGAGGGAGGGTGGTGTGGAAGCCTGTGCTGCTTCGTGCATTCGAATCTGCCGTGTTGCTTCAAATCCATCCATGACAGGCATAGAGATGTCCATGAGTACGAGTGCGGGTCGGATCTGTGCGTAGCGCTGGACAGCTTCGAGACCGTTTTCTGCTTCGACGACTTGGATGCCTTGCTTGCGAAGTGGGATAGTAAGCACTTTGCGGTTGATAGGGTTGTCATCGACAACAAGCACCACAAAGGGTAGAGAATCCTCGGGTGTGGTAGTAGTGCACATCCTTGTTGCGGCTTGGAGGGCTGCTGCTGCTGCTGCTGTTGGTGGTGGTGGTGGTGTCGTGGCCGGCGAAGACGAGGCAGAGCCAGAGTAGCAAGAAGATGACGAGTAAGATGATGAGGAAGAGGACGCAAGGTATGGATCGTATGCAATTGTGGACTGCGACATGATCGCTGTTGACATTGTTGTGTGCCTCTGCTCTGGTTTAGGATGCGATACACGACTTGAACTCGTGTCAGGATGTATGCAAGAGCTGATGTGTTGATGATGCTTGTCGCTGTACAGCGTCGAAAAGGATGTTGTCGAACGTGGTGGTAGTGATGATAGTATGAGTTACAGCTGTAGCTGAGATGATGCTGATCAGGGAACGTCGAGGAAAGCTGGAGAAAGCAGAAGGTGGTGGATGCCAGCCAAGAGGGGATGGTGAGGACGGGGATGGGAGGCTGTTCCTAGCGGGTCGATATGACGGCTCCAAGCCTAACTCGGTACGACCATATAAGGAAAGCTTTACTTTTGCAGCTCGAGGGAAGCACAGAGGGAGAGAACTTTTTCTTTTTTTTAGCGAGGGAAGCACACTCAGAGAGTCAGTCATGGAGAAGGCGCCAATTTAGACGGTACAGAGGTGTGCAAGCCAGGACAAAGTGGGTACAAACGAGGATGATGAGAGCGGACAAATCGAGGAAATAAATCAATATAAAAATAAAAGCAACAGCAACAGCAGTGTGAGGGAGTTAGGCAACCATCGATGGTTCCTTCCAATCGCTCAAATCGAAACGCGAGAATTATTTATTTATTTTTTCTTGCTCGCTTTTACACGATGGGCGAGGCCATTTGGTGAGTCATCTGCCGACACAAAAGAGCGCCCACAGGACTGCATTGTCTCCAATCCTGTCACGCCCAGACAGCCGTTCTGCTTTCACGTTGATGCATCAGTCTTTTCGTCGTTGACAAGTTGATAGCAGGTGTGCAGCTTCGTTGCCTTGTCAACATTCAGCAGGACGTGGGAAAAGCAGCAAGTGATGCTGTAAATGATTGAGCGACATGCATACAGATCCAAACGCCGACAGGAGATGGTGGGACCAAAGTTTCAATCCAACCTTGTTCGGAAAGGCATTCCTTCGCTTCATTGCAGTGGCGCCGAGTTGGCTGAAAGTTGGTGGGGAAACAACACACCTTTCGCCAGCAAAAATAAAAAAAATAAAAAATTAAAATTAAAAATTAAAAATTAAAATTAAAATTAAAAAAAGCCAAGAAGACAGCTCAGGAACATAATATCTGCAGCCTCCATTTGCGTGAATAAAGAAAGCGATACATAGCGCTGCCGAGCCTCGCCAGCATTGCTCTTCCCCACTTTGCGTTATTCATTCTGCATTTTCAAGCCACCTCCCACCTTGCCAAGCACATCGTCTTATCTTGACTTGCCCAACTATCAATTTTGATCGACTATGAATGCAGACACGGAGTGGAGGTTTGCGAGCACCGTCAGCCTTGCTAGTTGGTCGTGCCCGGCTAGGGTCTAGGCATCGGCGACTCACTTTGAGCGGAGTATAAACTGTTCACAAGCCAAAGTCCGACGGTGGAAAAGAAAGAAAAAGAAAAAAGAAAAAAGAAAAAAGAAAAAAGAAAAAAGAAAAAGAAACGCGGACTGACGTCGTCGCGCCCAAAATAAAACGTAGAGCGCGCATTGGGTGTGGTCACAACTAGCCGCTCAGACCTTCTTCAAGCATGCTAATGGAGCGACGTGCAAATGAGATGCCGTCGACTCTCTGCACGAGGTCTGAAGAACCTCCCCTCGCCAAACACACGTGCAAACAAAGTAGTATCAATCCAACAAAGAAAAGGTTGCTGTTCAAAGCATCGAGGTGGTCTCCGCAACATCGCGCTGTAAAAGTCCGTCTTATTGTTGTCCATGATAAGCTTTACTGCTCGCTTAAACAAATGGTCGGCCCGAATGTCATCCTCAACGTTCAACAACGGTCAACACCTTCACAAATGTGATCATCCTCCTGTCAAAGCCCGGCCATTGTTGCGCCCATGGGTTCCCCTTATCCGTATGACTGTTCCTGAATGTGGTTCAACGTTCATCCGACGCATATCTTCCGACGTAAGAACCAGGCGTGTTCCTTCCACCCCAGGTCGAAAATTGGCTCCCTCCAACGGAAATGTGATGCTATTTTTGCTGGCCCTTTTCGTCGGGTCATCATTCCGGGCCTGTCTTTCGTCGGAAGAGTTGCTTTGCCGGCCGTTTGGTGTATCAGCATACAAGACGTCTGACCTACGACAGGCAATGTCCACTTAGGCAAAGGCTACGACGTAGACGCTTGCTCCACTAGTCGTTCAATGCACGCCATTGTGCGGCATTCCAACGCAAGCTAAAGGATGCGCATGCCCTCAAGAGACCATTGTCCGCGTTGAGGCCGATGCTCTCAAGAGGCTGGAGCAAGCTAGTCTCCTACAACCTGGCTGGATTCTGCCTCGCTTTACCGCGGTACGACCTCTCATTCATCGTGGTACTAACTCGCAGCGTCACCGTCCAAAACCGGCTTCTCTTAAGAACAATCTTTTCCTAGTCGGCTACCCAATTCCAAACGCCCATACCACATGCGATATGAATTTAAAAGCCAGTCAAACAGATTAGCCTTGAGAGGTGCGTGCTCGTCAGCGGTCCAAAGTAGGACTTGATCTGGGGTGAGGATCGAATATCGCGACCATAGCGCTATTTGGCCGAGTTGCAATTTGTCGTTCCGCCTAAAAGTTGCCAAGAAAGCACGAATGACCAAAAACGATGTAAGAGTCATGCGGAAGGCAATCAATCATCTCTTCGCTCAGTTTCAAGAGGTTGCAGGGCCGAGTAGGCCCGTTCTCCAAATGGGAGATAGGGAACCAGGCGAAAGTGCTGACTGAACAAACGAGGTGAGAGGGTCTTCGCGTGAGTATTGCCTGACACGGCTGGACTCCTGCAGCAAGGCAACGGCGATGAAGATGGTGTAGATCTGCATCTTGCGTAGGATCGGCGATAAGAGTGTTTACACAATCGATGACAACCGTTCAGACCTGACGAAAGCGGGTAGTGCACCTCTTCGTCAGTGTACGGGCTTGCTTCGTGCAAAGACAGCATGAGAAAGAAAACGCAACCTTATCGACCATGCGACCGATTGAGCAAAATGACCGCTTGAAACGGTGTCAAAGTGATCAGAGTCATCATCACCAGAGGGGTTAGGCGATTCGTCGCTACAGGTCGCGTTCTTGCAATTCGAAGGCCTCTCTCGCCAAGGTAGACTTGATTTTGGCAGCTGGAGAAGCTGAGGCTTTTAACCCTACTGAACACAGTATATTGCACAGACGTACATCCTTGGTTGTGGGTTGCAATCTCCTAGTCATCACGACAGAAGAGCGTTCCGGTGTAGTATATGAGAGCGTTGATTGCAGACAATTGTTGAGCTGCCTGAGCTTTCTTCACCTCGTCCACATACTCATCTTTGCTTCTGTGTGCGAGGCAATAGAAAGGCTCAATCCCAGCTCATCGCTGTGCGATTCACATCTTTTCTTCGAATCGTGTCAATGTTGCGGCGACCTTCTGATCCTGAGACATCGGGAACGATGGTCGCCCGATTCGGTCTGAATGTCAGCAGCGATGGATGAACTGTGCGAGTCTGGCGTCTCGTCCACAGCTTCATGATTTGTACATTTATGGAAGGCTGCATCGTTGCAATTGAAAAGAAAGGAAACCCATCTCGCCACATCAATTTTGCTACAGTAGACAGGTCGCTTTCTATCGACAATCCAGTTTTTCAGAAGCCGAGCTGAGCTTGCCGATGAGTTTTACATGTCGGACAGCGTGTCATTCCAAAGTAGACATGTATTCCAGTACTGTTGGACTAGGAGCCTGGCCATTCCTGCTCAAGCAAGCGGTAGCGAGATTGACAGACTTGAGAGAAGAAGCGCAAAAAGTCGGTTTGAGGCTTGTGTAGCTCGCTTCCTTTTAGAGACAGCAACGCAACTCTAGCCGAGTTCGGAGCATTGCATCTGGTCCAGTCCCGAAGACTGCCTGTGCCATGTGATGGGGAATCATGCTGCGTCACTATGGAATATCTGAGTCATAGCACGCATATTGGCACTAACATGAGAGGCATGTGAGAGAATAGTTGATCTGTTGGTCTCTCTCCTTGCTCCATTCATCAAGGTCGGAACTCGATCAACGATTTTGAAGTCTCGCTTGCAGATAAGATAGAAAGCTTCTTGGCCTTTTCAAGATACCGAGAAATTGACCGACTGTCGCTCGTTCGAATGAGGTAGCAATCTGGCCTCATCTCAGCAAACTATCGTCGACATGGTGCAGAGCTTGTGCGTCTGAATTATGACAACCGAACGCGGAGACTTATTGCATCTACCGTCTTTGCTGGTAAGGTTCAGCCAAACCCCCCCACGATAACAGAGGAGTCAGCTTCAATCAGCTTCCGAGTGCAGCTACCAGTCTCTTCGTTCCCCACTCGGAACTCTGAAGTCGTGGACCTTGTTCCAACGTGATTGCCTGAGCCCTCCGATCTTCAACGTCATCTGTTCAAGCAGGCTTCAGGGGGGACGGCCTGTTTGTCACAGCCTTGATACCGATTGACCGGGCAAGGAAACAAGCTCGAAATAAGAAAGCTTTGCGCTTCTAACCACAACAGATGTTGTGGCACAGGCGGCGAGGCTACAAGACAATCTGCATCTGCTAAACAGTGCGTCATCTGATTGAACCTAACCAAGATCTTGTATCTGTTGGATGATACTGGAGATGGTCCCATGCAAAATCAGTGGTTAACTTCCTCGCATTACTTTGGCGTAGCGAAATTTCCGTCGGTCCTAAGGCTCTAAGGAGATTGCTCGGTCAAATCTGGCCCTCCCGTTTCGCACCTTTCGGCTGGACATGTGAGAATGTCTAGAAAGACCTGTCTCACTTGCCGATGCATGTCGCTTCGCCTCAAGCTGAGAAACAGACAAGAAAATGCCATCGCCACAGGGTATGTACCAAGAAGGAAGGCCTCCAAGAGTCTGAGACCCTCTATCGTTCGTTGAGAATGATCATTTGGAAAGCGACCTGGCTATCGAATCCGCTCTGGTGTATCAGGAGTACAGAGACCAACGTCCTCTCTGAGCAGGGCTCCAGTGGCCCACCTCAGGGTATTGAAAAGTGCTTTGCAGTAGTATCAAACAACTGTGATACGCGGAAGCTGAAACCCTCACTGTGAGCAACGGCGAGTTGATGCTCGGTCGATGACAAGAGCTTCAATGCCTTAACCCTGAACACGGTTCGCGCTGAGATTGTCGAATGGGCTAGAAATTACTCGACGGTAGCTGCCCGCTCGTCGCTGAAGTAAGTGCGCTGAAGGTGACAACAACCTTATGCCTAATCTCTGGCTCATGAAAGATGACGTCTTGTTCTTCATCCTGAAGCTACCAGTTTCCTGATTCAGCTCCCGAGACCGGCAAACAAGCTGTGATAGGGTTCAACCAATCCACACTCACACTGGCGGCATCGTTATGCTGCGCGATTTCGCTTGGCGTTCGTTATTCCGGGGCATCCCTTTCTCAATTGACCACGAGAGGGTCCAGCTTCTAATGCACAGGATAAACTAGTCTGGCGCGGCCTCATATCTGTGCCCGCTGTGTCGCTCTGTACCAGGTCCCAGCTGCGAGTGTCATGAACGGCTATAAGGCCCCTAACGCCGGGCCTGTTCCGCTGTGCAAGAGATGCGGATTTCCTCGACTTGCCGAGGGCACTTTCCGCTTCGCCTTACCAAGTCTGCTCATCACGCATACGCTTGACACTCTTCTCTCACGTGGACAAGGTTATAAAACCTGCTTGGCTTCCGGCCCTTGGACCGCCGCTACTCTGGTTCCTGATCACGCTCCTGCTTCTTCCCGCCGCCTGTTACACCTCCCTACTCGTCGCTCATTGTTTCCTCTAAGTTTTCTTGGTCACGTCACAAAGGCAACGTGGACAGGCTGGACCGGCTCACATCAAGCTTCCCTGCCGGCGACAGTTTGCTTATACTCACATCAAACAAGTCATAGATCTGTTCCGTAACACACGTCCGTATACTTCAGATGGCGCAAAACGGCTATCTTGATGATAGATAACAGCCCACCTGATGGACCCTAGCCAGGCATTTTCCCATCAGCCATGTCCTAACACAAAGTTCTTCACAGAGCCTCGCAGTCCGATTGCAGCTTTAGGCTTCCTCAGCTCTTCTTCGGAGACCAACGCTACAAATTCAATATCCTCGTCCACAGAGATCAACTCCCGGGGCCAAATGGCATTGTTACTACCTCCGACAGCACTGAGGTCGGTGTTGACACCGTCGCCTGTCAACGTGCCGACACATCGGCAACACTTGTATCAGGCAGCGACGATCAAGCCCCCGCTCGTATCATCTGAAGCCGCTTGCCCTACTCAACCCCTAGTTCAGCATCCTTTCCAGGCTCCGACAGCGTCATACACGCAAAGACACGGGATTCTTGAAGCCGAATCAGCACCGATAGATCCGTCAACCTTGCCTCGACAAAGCACCAATCTCGATGTCAGCTGGAGTGCTACGCGGCAGCCAATCCTTCCGGACTGTGTTCTGCCGCATTACGGTACACCGCAAACCGACTGCGATCCTGTCAAAGTCCCTTTGACCGTCGAGGGCAGTCCGAACGCTCCGAACGATCCGAACTTGCAAGCTACAATGCAAACCTCTATACCGCTGCAACAAGACATGCTTTCCAATAGCACAGGCCTTCCGTTCTCCACATCTCCTCTGCAGCAAGCGAGCATATATACGGCCGAGGCCTCTCCCAATTTTGTAGATCGCTCGAGCTTTTGGCCACCAACGATGCTTCCATCAGGGGATCAGGCCCACGCAAGCGAGATCAATTCACTCGGTCTTCTTTTACCGAGCATGCAGCAAACTTGTGCTCAGGATGCAGACGGCTTGGCAGCAATGTCAAAGTCGCTAGACGACATGCTGGCGACTACGAGCGCATTCCCACCTTCTTGCGCCTCGTTCCCACACATCATCGGGTCTGCGGCCAATCAGCAAGTCATCGACTACAAGCGCTCATTGACTGAGGCGCACAGTGGTCGACTGGGAGGACTACTGGGCCTACCGCATCCTCTCCCGGAAGCTGTCGATCTTGAAGCAACGAATGTACAACAGACCGTAGACGTCAAGGTGCAAGCGCAAACATCCACGTCCACCGCCTTGAAGTTTGCCTGTTCGAAAGAAGTCGAGGTGAAGCGAATACTGGCCTCTCCACGTGCCGCAAGCTCAGCAGCAATCTTCATATTGAATCACATAGACGGCATTGTTTGGTCGGGCAGTGTCGCCGACTTCCTCCAACAGAGTGAGATCGTTTCGCACACCTACTCGGAGCCTCAGACCACTTTATCCAACTTCCTTGCCGACGAGCAAACAGTACGTTGGTGGCAGCAAGCCTGTCGCGAAGTGCTGATAGCTCGACGTCAACTGCACGAGCTCTCAGAGCAGTCCGCCGATCGCACCACAGCTATGAAGCTCAGAAAGCTTTGCAAGAAGGAGCTTGTGCTAAGGCGGAGGAACAAGTCCGGCCGCACTGATTTGGTTGAAGTCACTGTGGCATCAATATCACATCTCAAACAATTGGAAAAAGCCTCCGTGATCGTCAAGGTCAGGCCAATGTCAATACCTGCTTTGGCGACTGTCTCGTCCCAGCCCGTGCTGCCGAGCTTGCGCGCACGACAAGATGTGTTCTCGTCGCAGCCGGCTCTGTCTCAGACAATGAATCGAAGAATGGCAGCAGATACTGCCGAGCTGCGATTGCTAGTTTCAAGGTACGGTCTAATCCTTCGAATTACTTGCCCGATACAGCCACAGTTCAACAACGAGCGAACGTCTCCTCATCAACATTCTCACAAAGAGCAGATCACTAAAATTCTCGGGCCAGCCTCAAGCATTCCCTCGCTAGGACAGAACCTAGTAGACTTCCCCAGACTCACACCGCTCCTCCACGTTGTCGCGCAAGCCGCAGTTGTAGGCCTCGCTCAAACAGTCAATCTCAAAATGGAAGGGAAACAAGTGACAGCTGCAGTGCAGCCCGTACTGCGCACTACATCTTCAAACGTCGCCGAAGCTGGTCGTCATCGATTGACCGCTGCGAAGGTATGGATCAGCCTGTCCGTGCCAATGGAGGCGACGGGACGCTCGAATTCGAGCACTGTGGTACCCACAGTTGGCTTCGCAAACAGCCTCTCGCAGTTCATAGGTCTGTCTTCACCACAACAAACTCACTCAAATCGACCAGTGACTTTGGATCGTCGGCGCAGTGTTCAAGTCCCACCACATCCGACGATGTTGCAGGCCGACCGCAGAGCTTCCACTGCGTCACTACACACGCATACTGCTGTGAACCAGGCATGGAGGACAGGTCAGCCTATCTCAGCCTTCGATAGCAGGGGCATGGCAAATGAGTCCAAATTTTCGATTAGTTCGGGAGATGATGGTGAAACGGTGAAAGTGGAGGATCATCTCACTCAACTCATGGCCGGCCTAGAGATAGAGAATCGTAGACTGCGACAGAAAGTCCATGCGCGACTACAAAGGAGGCAAAAACAGGCCCTTGCAACATCTTGTAATGCAACAACATCGCAAGCCACAGACAACTTTGGCGTTGTGAACATTCCTTCCAGTTGTCCAAGCAACCTCATGCATCTGTCTTGAAACTCAACAGTAGACATGCTCCTTTGCTCGTGTTGTCACATCTACCAATCCGCATTCTATTACATCAGTCAAAATTCTAAGCAGACGAGGAGATTGCACAATGATCGTGTCATCCAATAGCACATTCATCTGCTTAGCGTTGATGTGTTACTGATATTGGAACTGTGCTGCCTGCTCCTCTATCACTACTTACAGTAAATGTGTTTGTGTACTTTCATATATATATATATATGCAAAAAGGCGGTAGCAATGGCAGAGTTTAGACTTCTCCTACCCGGACATAGCTCAGTTGGAAGTAGCGATGGTTTGTAATTGGAAACCCTAATCCGGCATAAACGGAAAAACACCATAGGTCGCCGGTTCGATTCCGGCTGTCCGGACTCACTTTTTGCTCTTTTTCCACAAGCCTCACAATTGTCTTCTTCGTCAGAGATTTCATTTGCTATCTAGACCAGTGCTGTTCTCCTAGATGGGCGGCAGAATGAACGTGGTATGCGGTGTATGCAGCTTGTTGCTGTCAGTAAAGCAAGCGCGAAGACCTTGCGTGATTGTGGACTCGGCAAGCCGGCTATCGTAAACCGGCTCATTTTGCCTCGAATTTGATTGCCGTTGCGTGGGGGTGACCGTGACACTGTTGTGGCAGAGTAACACACAGCGGGCAAGTCTTCCAATCGCTCAGTGTGGACAGTCGACTCCCGTATTTCACTTCCCAGCCCCAGCTACATCACATTCTTCGACCGGATCATCCACAACTCCCTCAACCCCTCGCATATCGGTTGATTTGGGCGCTGCATTGTACGACAGTGGCGCACTGATTGATTCGTAGAAAGCGTCTCCGAACCTCTTGACTGCCGCATAGACCATCTCTTCCTCTGACTGGCCCACACCAGCATCGGACGATCGTAGGATAGAAGCCGGCATTCGATTAGCTCACCCGGCTACACCATCGAGCGTCGCAAAATAGAAGCTCGACTTCGATGCGCCGTTGGTCGCCAATTCGAGCATCTGGCTTCTTCTCATCTTTTCGCCCTTTCCATCTCCTTCATCGCCCGCCGCTCACCCTATCGACTAGCTCTGCTGGAGGTCCGTTGAACAGCCAAGGCTCTTCTGCAGTCATGACGGACGACTCCAACTCTTTGGCCGCAGGCAAGCGAAGGATCGATGCCATCGGTCGTCACGTTCAGCGTGTTGCGCCTATCACCACATCCTCGAAAGCTGAATCACCAAGGCCATTGAACGACTCCGCCTTCAACGACGATCGAGAGAAGCTCGGCACCTTCACGCTCGGACCCAACGTCATCATCCCCGTTTTCCGCCCTAAACTGCCTCAACGTCTTCCTTCCAACCGCCTTCTGCTGAACCTCGATGACGCGATCGTGCTCGAGCATCTCGAGTTTCTCGCAAAGAAGTGGCAGCTTGGTCAAGATGTCTTCCTCCTCTCTCCACCTGGTCCATACGCTCGCCGTCTAAGTCTCACTTTCGCCTCGCTTATCCAGCTTCCGTTCGAATACGTTTCTTTCCACCGCGATGTAGGTGAGGCCGAGCTTTTGCAGACTCGAAGTCTCTCCGCCGGCGGCAACCTCGTTTTCGAAGATGGCCCCGTCATCCGTGCGATGAAGAACGGACACTTACTCATTCTCGAAGGCGTCGAAAAGGCCGAGCGAGGTGTCACGCCTATCATCAACAACATCCTCGAGAATCGCGAACAGAACCTTGCTGACGGTAGACATCTCATCCCTGCTGAGAAGCTAGAAGCTTTCCGACAGGAAGAAGGCAGCTTGAAGCAGGGCCAATCAAGCCGCTTCATCCCAGTGCATCCCAACTTCCGTGTCATTGCTACCGGTGTACCTGTTCCCCCGTACCGCGGCTATCCCCTGGATCCTCCTTTCCGATCTCGTTTCCAGGCACGATGGATCGAAGGCTCTGTCCAGTCTACCGTGCCTCTTCCTGAAAACCTCTCTGAGGACGCACAGCAGCTTCGTTCACGATGGAGTCAATGGGCAGCCCTCCTTCGCTACCACACCACCCTAGCCCAAGGGAACGACGTCATCCCGCCCACATCCAAGCTTCCCAACCTGCCCACTACCGCTCTGCCACTTCTCACCGATATCGTCAGCACCTTTCCTCCAGCCAAGTCGCTACCCGACCTCGAATTTGATGAGAACGACCCCATCCTGCCCAAGTGGCCGCGCGATTCGCCTGAGGAGACAAAGGATGCTGAAACGAGCGCATCCACACTCGCCCTCCTCAGCTCTGCGTACCCACAAGTCTTCGGCCTCGACCAAGAAAAGCGAAAGGCCCTCGACTCGCTCCTCTCGCAACTCCAGGTTCATGATCAGATGGGCGAGGGCACCGACCAGCCCACGCTATCCGCCACAGGGTTCATGGGCTACCTCGTAGACAACATCGAACGAGTCTCGCCCACTAGCGCCAAGATCACTTTCGCCCACGTCGCAGGTTCTGCACCTAGTATCACGATCGAAGCTTCCTGTGGTCCTCTTGACCTTGCACCTGTCCCGCGACTTGACGACGCTACTTTCTTGGGCCAGCAGCTCATTGTCACACCTCGAGTTCTTTCCATCTACAGCCGTCTACTCCAACTCCACGTGCTCGGTAGGGACATCTGCCTTGTTCCCGCAAACAAAGCTCCAGGGCCTGACAAGCCTGGTGCAGCCTCAACTTCCGATCCGCTCGCAGCCGCTGCACACCAACCCTCATCCTCAACGACTACCTGTATCGGCTTGATGGCAGAAACGCTCGGATATGCATTCGAGTCTGTCTGGCTGTGGAAAGACCTAGGTGGAGGAGAGCTGTTGATGCGCAGATCGACATCGAAGGATGGAAGCACAACGTGGGAGCCTGCTCCGCTGGTGCGTGGTGCTATGCAAGGCAAGTTGATTCATCTTGCTGGTGTTGATGTGCTGGGGCCTACGCTTGGCAGTCTTTCTCGTCTGTTGCAAGACCGGGAGTTGGAGCTTTGGAATGGTGCGCGAATGACCGAGGCTGAGGCTGAGGGTGAGCAGACAGCGGTCACACCAGCTGGCCCAAGCATTGGTACGGGAGAGATTGTTCCCATCAAACCGACGTTCCGGGTCGTCGCTACCGCATCAAAAGCCACTGGATGGTTAGACGAAGAAGCAAGCACACTCTTCGCCGTCTGCAGCACTCGAGCAATGGACGAAGACGAGGAGCGACACATCGTTCTCACTCGTGTTGGGCTCACTGAGCCAACTTCTGACATGAAGCATCTCTTCCAGTTCGTCAACAAATACCGTTCTCTCAGTGCCGATCCTAACCTCGGCCTCGCCAAATCTCGAAGACTCGGTACGCGTCAAGTCATCCGTATGGCCGCACGATTGGCTACTTGGCAGGAAGACTGTGATCTTCACGGCCTCATTTGGAGAAGCTTGCTCGTTGACTTCCTCCCCATCACTGTCCGCGAAGTCATCGCTAACCTACTGACGGAATGTGGAATCTTCAAACCAGGTACGGAGGGCGCTTTCCAGTTCGTACCTCGTCTTTGGATCGGTGATCCGCAGATCGTTGAGCCTACCAACGGCGAAGGAGCAGGAACACTCGACTTCGCTGCCTCCGACGGATCAGACCGCGAGTATCCCATCCGATCGATCCCTCGTTACGACGCAAACAAACTCGACCCGGAAGGCAAGACGCTCATACCTGATCTTGGCGGAAGCTTCTACAACAACGCCCAGCAGTCGAGCTTGATCCGTTCATTCGCTGAGGATCTTGTCTTGCTCAACGAGCATCTCTTGTTGATGGGATCGCAGGGTACGGGTAAGAACAAGATCATTGATCGTACCCTCGAGCTGCTTGGTCGACCAAGGGAGTACATTCAGATGAATCGCGATTCTACCGTTGCAGGCCTGCTTCAGCAGATCGCTTTGGAGAAAGGTCAGATTCACTACTACGACTCGCCTCTTGTCCGAGCTGTAAAGCTTGGGAGGATCCTGGTGGTGGACGAAGCGGATAAGTGTTCAACCGCCGTCTCTGCTGTATTCAAGTCTCTTGCTGAGCGAGGAGAGCTCAGCTTACCTGACGGAAGACGTATCCGCCCAGCCAAGATTGGCGAGCGTCGACACCAGCCCTCCACTGCCACTGACAGTGGCGATATCTTGGTCCACCCTGACTTCCGCCTCGTACTGCTCTCCAACCGACCCGGTTGGCCCTTCTTTGGCAACAACTTTATCGAAGTCATCGGCGAAGGTTTCTCCTGTTACGCAGTCGCCAACCCCGACATCGAATCCGAAGTGCGCCTCTTGAAAGCAGCGGCTCCCAACGTCGACGTCGACCTTCTCCGTCGTCTCGATCTTGCATTCCACGACCTCCGCGCCGGCTTCGAAGCTGGACTGATCAACCACCCTTACTCTCTCCGAGAACTGTTGCATCTCGTGGCGCACATGCAGAAGTATCCCGAGGAACCGCTCTCTTCTGTACTGCTCAACACTCTTTCTTTCGACCTGCATCGACCGGAGAGTATTCGATGGGTGGTTGAGGCGCTACGAAAGCGCAACTTGCCTGTGGAACAGCTCTCGTTGGAGGTTCTAAGGGAGCAGGATCTTGAGCGAATCCGAAAAGCGGAGAAGGAGGGTAAAGATGGGTTGAAGCCCGATTTCCATCCGGGTCAGGAAGAGTATGATCCCAAGAAAGCCGGTCGTGCAACCCACCTGAGCAAACCGAAGGAAGGGAAAGTTGATACCAGCAACGAAGCCCACGTCGGTGGTAATACCTGGAAAGGTGGCACAGGAGGACGCGATACGATGGGTCTCGGCGGTCGTGGAGGTTACGGTCGCCAATACTCGGGTCACAAGATCCACCAGATTTCCAAAGAGCTGAAGAAGGACGTACCCGAACACCTCAAGAAGCAAGCTCGAGAGATGGCTCGCGCGGCCCTCGAAAAAGAACTTCATGAGAACGGCATGCAACCTCACGAAGCAGTCAACTTGCACGAAATGAAGCAGAAAGTGGCATCCCAAGTCCAACATCTCTCCAACGTGCTGAACGATCTCAAAGCCAACCGATACGAACGTTCCTGGCTGACCCGACAACAAGAAGGTGAACTAGACGAACGTCGTCTTTCCGAAGGTCTTGCTGGTGAACGAGGAATATTCAAACGTCGTGCAAAGATGCCTCCTGACCCGGGAGCGCCTCAGGTAAAACCAAAAAGGATTCGAGTCGTACTAGATCTCTCCGCTAGTATGTACCACATGCAATTTGACGGTCGTTTAGAGCGAGAGTTGGAGGTTGCACTGATGGTAATGCAGGCCTTTTCGAGGGTGGAGGACGGAGCGGAGAGGTTTGCAGTTGATATGGTCGGACATAGTGGTGATGAAGATATGATTCCACTTGTGGAGGTGGGTAGGATGCCAAAGACGGATGGAGATATGTATCGCATCCTAAGGGCGGTGGTTAGTCATACACAGTACTGTGATTCGGGTGATAACACTCTCAAGTGCATTGAGAAGTCGATTAGACAGGTCAAGAGACCCCTTCCCACCGACCCGCATGCTACGGCACAGGCAAAGGTGGATAACACCACAGCAACCGGTCTCAACGCACCGATCGTGGAGGAAGACCCTTCGACTTCTCCCATGGACGACTACTTCGTTATCGTTCTCTCCGACGCCAACTTGTCGAGGTACGGTATTACCCATCAGCGTCTGGCTCAATTGCTAAGGCTGGACCCGCAGGTCAAGACCTCACTCATCTTTATCGACAAGGGTAGTGAGGCTTTGCACCTGGCCAAGCAGCTCCCGACCCAAACGCACGTTGCGAGGGAGACCAAAGACATTCCCAGGATCCTCAGCAACATTTTGACAAGTGTCGTGCAGAACTCCTAGACAGCCAATAGACTCGCCGACGATAGACTGTGAAGCAAACGGAAATGTCATTGACTTTTCAACTTGGGGACATGCGGATGTGTGATGATGCCTCCGAAGGGTGGCATGGGTTTGTGTGAGTCGCTTGTTGACCAAGTATCGTAAGTAGCATTCTTATCGCTGTGAAGCCGCCTCAGCAGCACGCTCCGCCAAATCAGCTGCGATCTCCTCTTCAGTACTTCTCGCCTTCCCCTTCCCCTTCTTCACCCGGTCTTCTTCATCCAGCTGATTCAAACGCTGCGTCGCCATGTTGATAGCTCGATCGACGCCGTACTTCATGCCAACGTCCAGCACCACCCGACAAGTAGCGACGTCGGGAAGGAACATATTCGGTATCGGATGAAGGAACGAGAGAAGCAGATTGGTGGCGTGCCAATTCTCGTCAATGACCACGCATGGCAATGGGTTGTAGCCAAGCATCTTGCGATTCCCTTCGGCTCCACGTTGCATGATCTGGCGAATACCACGACTTGGGTTGGAGATGACTCGGTTGAGAAGCTTCGAGAAGAGGCAAGGATTCCATGCAGCGCAAGGGAATGCAACGCCATCATTGGATTGCAGTACCATGTCCTGATCCCTGCAACCGAGAGGCAAGTAGCAGTCCCAGAATGTCCACACTGTTCGCTCTCGCATCGATGTCATCAACTGATCGGGATCCATAAGATCAAAGTACGGCAGACGCCACCCGGGTGGATAGATGCGAGGATCGAGCTCAATCATGCCGAGCGAATGGTCTTGGGAAAGCGAGGTTGTGTCCGATGCCGCATCTCCCGCAACACTGCCGGCCGTATTGGTCATCGTGGTCGGGCTTGTCGGTTCGTTTGCGCCTTCATACTCTGACAAGGCCGAGCCAGGTCTCGCAACGGAGGATTCGGACCAATGCGTTTCCGAGTCCAGCAGCGAAGCCACGTTCGAGAGCGAGCTCAAGCCACGATCGTGCTGCTGCTGCTGTACGAGTTGCGCACGGGTCGGATAGTATGCCTGAGCTGGATACAAAGGCGGAGGCATCGAGGTGAAAATGTTGGAGCTAGTGTAGTCGCCGCTGTGATGGCCGCTCTCGCCCGGAAGTGGCGGAGGGGGACGGAAGAAACGCTGCTGCTGGTGGTGCTGCTCATCTGTCATTGATTCGTCGGCTTGCAAAAAAATCGAGTGCTCGTATTCTCCTTGCACTGAGGTTCGAGACATTTTTTCGACAGAGATCATTGCGCCTCCTTGTGCAGCCTCTATGTGTCTGGGAGAAGTTGCGAGAACCTTAGGATTCTGCGGCGGCTCCAACTCGAGCTCCGAGACAGCGTCTTCCTCCTGAGCAGGAAGCATCTTGGCGACAGGACCCTTTGCCTTCTTTGCCGCCGCACGCTTAGCTGCAGGCTTTGGCTTTGTGACGGGCTCAGCAGACGCAGCTACAATAGCTTCGGCAGGTAAGGAAGACTCCGCCGCCGCCTTTGCTTTGGCTTTCGCCTTGCTAGGTGCTCGAGGCTTGGCTGCTGCTTTACTCTTGCCTTTCGATGCTGGCTCCGTTGATGCAGTCTCTGGGTGGGCGGGCTGATCAGCTGCTGGCGCCGAAGGCGCTTCTGTCAGACGGGGGTCAAGGATTTCGGCGTGAGACTGAGGCGGCGGTGCCGTTTGCGGAGCCTCTTGTAGAGCACTGTCGACGCTTGCTGCTTTTTTGCGCGGACGTGCAGGAGCTCTGCGTGCCTTTTTCGGCTTCGGCTCAACGGCTTCAGCCTCAGAAGCTGCAATTCGCTCGAGGCTGGGATCCGTCATTGGCAGAGGGAGTTGCACCGCTGGAGGAAGCTGCACCGCCGGCTGAGGATTCTCCGTTGCCTCGGCAATCGCAACTTCGGGCTGTCCGGATGCTTTCTTGCCTTTCGCCTTGGGCTCCTTCAGCTTTGGAGGTGCTTTTGGCTTCGGAAGGGCTTTCGCTTTTGAAGCTGGCTTGGGCTTGGCGGCTGCTTTATTTGCTGGCGCTTTTGTCTTTGGTGCGCTTCCTGGTTGAGACACTTCAGGTGCCAGCTGCGTTTCCGGTGGCACAGGTAGGGCCGCGGCTTCCGGCTCAACAAGGCGAGTCTCTTCTGCAAGTGCAACATCCTCCTCGCTGAACTTCTGTCGCTTTGGTGATGCTCCTGCCTCCTCTTCCGCAGGACGGGTCAGGGTATTGGGCGGTAGTGAAGATGCATCTTTCTCGTCCTCCACAGAAACTGGCTCTCTCTGATACGCAGCAGGAGGCTCGCTGTTCTCCGTAGCCATGCCTTCCGTGACGGTTATCCTCTCATTTTGAATTGGCTCTGACTGAGATTCGACCTGGTCCAAAAGTGCCGATATCTTGAGAGTCCAGCCTTCGTTACACCGACTCTGATCGATGTCAATTTGCTGTGTGACTTCGTCCGAATTCTCCTCGCCTGCTACCGATTCGGCTGGCGCTGGAGCTTCCATTGAAGAGGCTACTGGCGCTCGCGGGGGAAGACTGACGTTGGAACTACCTTCTGCAGCATTATCCTCCGCACCGTCATCCTCAGCGACATGCTTCTCCGCGGCATCCTCCTCAGCGATGCCAACGTCCTGGCCAGCCTGGTCTTCCGGTTTTCCCTTGACCACTTGCGCTACCTTGTCGGACTCGGCCACCTTCTCGTTCATCTCGATTGCTGCTGGCAGCAGCTGTACCACTTGCTGCTCTTCGCTGATTTGGGACTGGAGCTCTGCAGGTTGTCCCTGATCCTCGGCCACGGCCTCGCTTGAATCGCGTTCATCGTTCTCGGTTTGAAGAGGCTCTTGCTGCTCCTTCTCGAATTCACTCTGTTGCTTCTCCACATTCTCGGCTGCGCCTGATATCTGCTTCTCAGTATCTGCCGAAAATTGATATTGTTCTTCGGTGGTCACTACAGCTTGCTTGATCTCTGCAGTTGGTAGGGTCTCGCCGTCCTTTTGAGTCACCCCAGGCTGTTCTGAGAAAGATTGAGCTTCCGAGATCTTGCGGTTGGGTGGCGCGTGAGGCTCAGCCATACCCGATACCCTCTGGGTCTCTGGATAAGGTGTTAGCGAGCGCTCTTGCTGAGGTTCTTGGAGCGGTGCGGTGTGAGATGCCACGTCGAAACCTTCAAAGTCATCGTATTCTGAGCCCGGTGCGTCAGCTGACGATGATGCAGGTGAGGCGGATTCTGCAATCTCGTCGGTGGAAGCCTGCTGGTTGATGTCTGGCGACTTCTGAGACTGTTGTTGAGTGAAGTCCTCGCTTACTGCTCCTGGCGGAATCTCTGGCGAAGGATGTTGGGTGCTCAATCCAGAAAGAACAGCTGGAGGGAAGTTGCCTAGCTCAGCCGGATACTTTGCTTGCTCAGCTGGCGCTCCGAACGCTTGTCGAACTTCTGGGACTGCTTTCATGGATGCGAGCTCAGGGATCTCGTCGAGTCCCGGCACTGCTGATGTGGCCTCTTGGCTATTTTCAGATTGCGAGGCTGAGGCAGCCAGAGTCTCTTGCTGTCGACTAGGCTGAGGGTTTTTCTCTTCACTTTGTTCTTGCAGTAGAGGAGGCTTGCTAGGACCTTGGGCGGAAGCCACTGCAATACACTTGCCGAAGAGGGGACCTGCTCTTGAGCTGGATGCAAAGGAGGTGGGATCGTACGCTGTTGGCTCGGCCATGCCAGAAGGATGCGTGGCGACAGGCTCCATTATGTCGCTGTGCCGACTGGACTGGAATATTGGAAAGCTGATGCCAGCTGCGATTGCGTCAGATGGTTGGTTGGAGGTATGGCTTGGACTGCCCTTGTCCTGGAGAGCACTGCGGGCCCTCTGCTCCGTCGAGGGGCACTCCTTGTGGCTGCTGAATCGCGCTTCTCTCTGGACTGTGAAGCAGGGTTTCTCGCAGAGATGAGAAGTGGCTAAGTCGATGGATCAAACTAGGATGAATGCGTCCCACCCGTCGAGAAAAGGCAGCTGCTGATTATGCCAGACAAATCGAGGTGCTTGCCTATCACCGAGAGAAGAAGTGTATTCTTACGAGCTATAAACAGTCGCTCAGGAGAGAGATCTCGTCTCTGTGGATGGATCGGCTTTGGAAAACGACGGTAGTCGGTCGAGAAAGAAGAGAAGCGAGCCCAAAGTGACGAGCGTGGGTTGGTTGGCATCCGAACTTTTCCGATTCGCCGGCCTTTGTGCGTTCGAGTTGAGAGTTGAATCGGCTTGAGTGGGAACGACGCGTTTCGACAAAGGCAGAGAAAGAATGAGATGTTGGCTGGTCAACCAGCGAAAAGCGTGTCGAGGTCGTATTTGCAGAGTCAAACCTTGTTCAGGTGTCCAGCAGGGAGCTAGAGCTGGAAATTGGACCGTGGTCAAATGAAGTCGACGTTGGCGGCTGTCAGCGTATGCAGAGACGTTGCGCCGAGACGACAAAGATAGCCAAGTGGTGGAGACAAAGGAGTGAGCAAGTGGGCGTTATAGAAGGGAGACCGGCGCAAAGAGGGCTGCTTGGATGAAGAAGAGGGATCGGTTGCTCGGAACGTCCTTCCAATATGAGCTTGATGCCTGAGATATCCTGCCGCCGCCGCAGCACGGGAAGGAAGAGGAGAAGATCAATGCCGCGCTTGGCTTGGAGAATGCTTTGAGTTTCCTTGGCATCCTATCGGAGCGATGCCGACGAGAGAGAGTGCCATGAGAAAGGCGAAAGAAGGGAGGATAAGCTTTCGGAGAGTTTGTGTTGCTGCGCATCTTTATCGAGAGTGACTGATTGGCTGTGTTGACCTGATGAGTGGCGTGGCGGCAGCAGCAGCCATCTCCGAATGCATCGTTCCCACGCATACACTCCAGGTGGACCTGCTTACTTTGGCAAAGGCCTTTGCGCCCCTCAGCGTTCGGGCACTGGTCCGATGCTTGCATGTGATTGAGCAAAAAGGACCAAGAGATTCGGTTGAGAGTAACGGTGTGATGGCTCTGCAGCTTCGTCGCGCTCAGTGCGGCAGCAGTAAGATGACAACCCTCAGCGTGCACATCTTTCAGCTTCGACTGGGCAACGTAGGTGGAGCAGTGTGTGTCTATCGAGAGCAAGATGCAGACAACTCAAGAGGCTGAGTTTTGCTCAACCCGTGGCCAAAAGTCGCGTGTCAAGCTTGGCGCTGTCAAAGCACGCGGCAGAATGGACCCTGAGCAACAGGCCAGAGCTCAGCTGCTCTGGCGCTTTGACTTAACCCGACTTCAGAGAGGAGGCCAACTCAGCAGGTCCGTGCGGTGACGGCCATGGTCAGCAGCTCATCGCATCCTCTCGTCTCCTCTCGTCTCCTCTCGTCTGTGCTCTTCCGCCAAAATGTCACATTGCGACTCCAAGGATCGTACTTTGGCTGTCGGCACCTCCATCACCTCATCTTGTCCTGACAAAAAGCAGAGTCACTGAGTCATCAGACCAAGACGCTTTGCAGACGAGATGAGAGTCAAATTGCATTGGCCATACTTCTGATCAAGGCTCAGTCAAAGTATAACCGCCGTCAACACAAATGATTTGACCGTTCAGGTACTGGCAGCTAGCCAACCACTGCGTGGTCTGAACCATATCCTCCTCTCGTCCTGGACGTCCTGCAGGAAGCGACAGCTTGTCCATGGTGCCCTTCAAACTCGACACGTTGGTCTCGTCATCCTTGTCACTCGCCGTCATCTGCGATACAAAAGTGCCTGGCGCAACAGCGTTGATGCGAATCTTGGCTGTGGTGATAGCGCCGACTTCGAAAGCGAGCATTTCAGTAACGTGGTGGACTGCTGCCTTCGAGGCGTTGTAAGAGACATGCTTCTGCGATTGCTTCGCGAGACCCGAGATACTTCCGGTGGTGATAATGGTAGAAGACCAGGCCTTGCATGCTTCGGTACCCTTCTGAAGCAGAGGCAAAAAGGCAAGGCTCAAGAAATAGGTTGCGTAGACATTGACACGGAACAACTTGTCCCAGTCGTCAGGCGAGTTGTCTTCGAGACCCTTCTTGGCAAAGTCTTGAGCCGAGAGACGCTCCTCCCGATGTTCAGGGTGCGACTTGCCCGATGCATCGGCAGTGGTCGAGCCTTCGTTCTGTGGTCCCACCTGACCTGCGTTCGAGATGAGCACATCGAGCTTTTCTTCGTGCTTGCTGAACTCTTCGGCGAGCGAGATACAGCCTTCCTTGGTCGAGACGTCGGCACTGAGCGGGATCAATGGACGATCGTCGGAACCGTGTACCTTGGCGGTCTGCTGCAAAACTTCACCCCTCCTTCCTACGATGTACACCTTGGCACCTGCTGCTCGCAAGCCCCGTGCCTGCATGAGTCCGATACCTGTACCTCCTCCGGTGACGAGAGCAACTTTGCCGCTCAGGTCGAACATCTTGGCTGGCGACAGGTAGTCGGCCGCGGTGCGATCGGCTGGTGCTGAAGTGAACGACATGGTTGCAAGTAGAGATGTGAGTTCTGATGGGATTATTGACAATTGGATAGATAGTGTAAGGGAGAAAGTAAGCAATCATCCAGCGGAGAGCTTGTGAATATATACGCAGGGCGACCGCTTCGGACGGTGGCGCTTCTTGTCCGTCAGGACATCGACTGAGACTCGTCATGACGGAAACAGGCTGACAGACAACCCGCCTGCACTGCGAAAATGACGAGCTGGCTGAATCACTAAAGTGTTGCTTGAAGCTCAATCCCCTCGTCATGATGCCTTATGCCTGGAAGATTGAGTTACATTCGGTGCAGGGTCCAGTCGAGATTAGTCAAAGGCGCGGCGTGCTATGCTGAAATTTAGGCTTCCAGTTGAGTCAGTGTGAAAATTTGAATCGCCAAGGCAACGCTCGGCTGCATACGCTGAGGTGGAGGTGTGACTGATATTGGCATCATCGATGCCTTGCTCGAGCCTGCAAGTCCTCAGTTTGCGCTAGCATCGCCTTAAGAGCGTATCGAAGTCGAGACTCTGCATGGAAGATAGCTCGAGAGTGATATGTCGGAAGAAGAGGGTGAATGTTTTTAATGCGAGCGAATCGAGAAGGAAGGGTCGCTTCCGAACAGACCAACACTCAGCCTGGGCGCTATCGCTCCGTTACTGTTTCTGGTATCTTTGCTGAATGCCCATCATGGACGTCGAACGTAGATATCGTCCTCGACGTCATTATACTTGGATACGCCAGTGTCTGCGCCACTTGTTGGAGGATAGGCCGAGTGCTGATTATGTGGCTGGTTGGGCAGGTCAATGTCATCGTATAGATCGTGTTCTGCAGCATTGGCGTCGAACGCTTCAGCTTCATCATCTCGCATTCTTCCATATGCGCTGCGACTGCCACCAGCACCTCCGCTATAAGGGTTGTTTCCGCTACTGCGATCACTTTTTGAGAAGATGCCTCGAATACGCTCCCCTAATGCTTCCCGAGCGTTGTCACCGAGACACGAAGAGAGTGCAAACCAACCAATAGCAAGAGCTACACCTACACCAAGGATGATCCAGAGTGGCAAGAGTGAAGATGATTCTGTCTCGCCTGCTCGTCGAGCCAAGGTATGTGAGAGGAGATTCGAAGAAGGCATGTCGATAGAATTGGTGTGTGCCTAGCTCGAGGATCGGCTGGCTAGAAGTGATCGTTTCGCCTACTGGCAGACTGGGATTTGTAAGTGTCGAGATAAGCTAGAGCAACAGCTGCGATGATGTCGGCTGTGATGCTGAATGGTATAGCTGATGGGCTAGGAGATGCAGTGGTTCGAGAGCGGTATCGATGAGAAGCATGTCCTTCTGTGAAACGTCGATCCTGATCATGGTGTGTGCCTTTCTCTCTCTCTTCTTGTGAGCTGAGTCCGAATCCAAATATTTTTGGCCAAAATGTTAGCATCTGTGTCTGCTAACAAAGTATTGCTGTGGAAATGATGGAGTGCGGCAAAGCCGAAGCTGGTGATTTTTGAGTTTTCTTCGCAAGATTTCGACGTTTTCGACAGCGTAACGCTCAGCTAAAACCACATCAACGTCTCCACATGGCTTTCTGACTCGCGCTCGCACACTTTCAACACTGGTTTGTCCATCAGTCTTGCCACAAGACCCTCTCCTTCGCAACACCAGCAACTCACTCAACAATCATTCTCCGCCGTCTCTCTACGAAAGTTGTTCGACCAACACATTTCAATTGGTTCCTTCGACTCGAGCCACGGACGCCTGACGAGATGAACAAGGCGCCATAGGATCCTACTTCCTCGTCATCACCTTCTGCAGCTTGTCCTAGCTTGCCCTTAGGATCATCCCAAGCATGTCGAATACAAAGAATGCTGAAGCTGGCCCATCACGGTCCAAGCTCGCCGCTTCCTTCGGCGCCGACATAACACAAACCAGAGCAGGCAGCACCGATGTGGCAAACAGCGCAGGCGATGGTGAAGGGGCTTCCCAAGCCGTTGCCTCTACCTCCGCTGTCCTCAACTCGACTCTATCATTCTTCCCCACACCAGCGCTCGACCATGCATTTGGAGGCATTGCAGCAGGCGCAGTAGCCACTATTTGCATGAACCCTCTCGATCTCATTAAGACCAAATACCAAGTCGACACTTCCAAACCACGTCCGCTCAGTTTCCGACAACGAGCTGCCGCATTAGCCTCTGATGCTGCATCCACATCCATCGCTGACATCAAAGGCAAAGCTCGAGCTGTAGATGTTGCTTCCTCCACTGCTGGCACTCTTCGCAACACATCCGCTCGTCATGGCTGGAAGTACTACGCTATGGGTGGCAGAATCGGAAACGACATGATCGGCACTCTTAGCGACATTGTCAAAGCTGATGGCTGGAAGGGGCTGTATCGAGGTCTCAGTCCAAATGTTGCTGGAAACTCGGCTTCGTGGGGACTGTACTTTTTGTGGTACACCATGATCAAAGAACGCATGTCAGCAAGCGATAGCAATCAAGACCCAATAACAGGTGAACCGAAGAAGCTTTCTGCCGGACAACATCTCCTCGCTGCATCAGAAAGTGGAGCAATCACCGCACTCATGACGAACCCGATTTGGGTGGTCAAAACTCGAATGTTCACCACTCCGCGTTCACTCGCAACGACAGCAGCAACAGGCGCAGGAGGGCCTCCACCAGAAGTATACCGCGGGTTGTGGCATGGTTTGGTCTCCATCTACCGCACCGAAGGCGTCCGAGGGCTGTACAAAGGTGCCGGTTTGGCCTTGTTCGGCGTCTCGAATGGTGCTATACAGTTTATGACCTATGAAGAGCTCAAAAAGTGGCGAACGACCATTGCTTCACGCAAACTCGCACGTTCTGCTTCGGATGCACCAATGGACACATCGATGATCAAGCTCTCCAACGCAGAGTACGTCATCATGTCGGGTGTTTCGAAAGTAGCTGCTATTCTGTTGACCTATCCGTACCAAGTGGTTCGGTCGAGGATTCAGAACCATGCAACGTCGCATATCTATCCCAATATTAGCACGTGTATCAGGTTGACATATACACAGGAGGGTTTGAGGGCTTTCTATAAGGGCCTGGTGCCAAATTTGGTCAGGATCTTGCCAGGGACATGTGTGACGTTCGTAGTGTACGAGAACGTTTCGTGGGCGTTGAAGGGTTTAGCTAGAAGGCGGGTGCAAAAAGAACAGCAGCAGGCAATAGAAACGAACACCTCAGCATAGACACATTCTCATTCACATCGCAATACCAAGCATCAGCATCCTATACTTACGATCCGTGCGGATATGCTACAACTTCGAACCCTTGGTGCGATAAGGAGTGAGATCAACCTCAACGGTACAAATCAATGCAGTATCCTTAATCGCCTTCAACCGGTACTCTTTGTTGATAAACTGATACTCTTCATCCACGGACATATCAATAAAGTGATTGATACTGGGATAGTGCACTAGCGTGCACTCGTTCCACCAATCTTGCTTCTGTGTATCCGCTCTACCTCGCGAATCTTTCTGCCCTTCTTTCAAGGGACTAATCACCACTCCTACAAGTTTGGCATTGCCTCCTCGCTTGCCAGCAACACTAGCAAAGCGTCTCCCATACTCATGGTAAGACTCTACCGCTCGAGCATCCGTATGAAAATGAAGCAGGTTCAGCATTGACACCGGCCCATGGTGCTTTACTTGATGATTCAAGCGCTTAGCTAAGCCAAGTAGAGCAGGGGATAGGCTGAGATCTTGACCGTCTTCTCGCGTCAATGTGGGTGAAGAGGAAAGCTTGGAAGGAGGGATAACGTCGTTGCTCGAGTCAAGTTTGATTTCGAGTAGAGGTGTTTGTGGTGCTTCCTTGCGGAGGTTTTCAGAGATGGAAGTGTAATTGTTGATGATTCTGGATGGGATGCCCGAGATGACTGAATAGTGGGTTGAGAAGGAGGACATGAGGTTGCTTGGGATGATGTGTGAATGAGCTCCGGTGACGACAAGAAGAAGAGTCCAGGGAGTGTTGTTGAGGATACTGTGGTCGACGAGAGTGGGTCGGATGATGGGCGCTTGAACTTTGCTGACGGTTACAACGGTGAAGTCTGCATTAGAAGCATTGAAGAGCTTGTGTAGGAAAGCATCAACACCGGTTGAAGATGCATTGTGCAGCTGCACAAGGTGAAGGGCGCAAACCGGCATGTTACAGTATCCAGCTTGCTTTCGACTTGGAAGATCGAGTTGATGAGATAGGGTGTTGGTCGGTTGCAATGAGAACGATGAGGACGTTGGGAGCTGGAATGATGGCTTGTGCTTCGAGGATGCGGGGAAGCAAGCCATCCGCAGGTCTCGGCAACTACAGCACAGCCGATGCCGAATTTCACCACCATACACACCGAACCGGCACTCGATTGCCGGTCTCTACACGAAGCTTCCGGTTGCACCTTGGAGTGTGGACCCGCTCGAATCCGTTTACTCGCCCTCACACCACCTCGCTCAAGGTTGAGGTGTTCGAGGGTCAATCCATCGAAAGCCTGATTCAGCGTTGTCACAAGATTAAGCTGCCAGTTCAGGCGTGTACAAACAAATCACACGACAACCGCCCCGTAAGGTTTGCAGTGCCGGAAACGACAGCGCTTCACACGTCCAGGATAGCCAGACCACACCATCGAGGTGGTGGGGCACAAAGAAGGATCGCGAACACTAAAGCGATGGGTACCGTGTGAGGTTGGTGGTGGGCACGGTATTCGGATCTGATCCGTCACACCCTCTGGTAACAACTTGCCTGCTGCTGTCCACCATCCGCTTGCTTGGTGGGAGGACGAATCAACAGCTTTGCATTTGTCAATGCCAACGCTTCCCACAAAAACACCACAAGCAACAACCAACGGAGGGGAAGGAAAGGTGTGGGGACGACGGACAATGGCCTCGGCCTCCTCGGATATTAGCCTTTTTTTGTTCGCCTCCCTTTCGCAGCTGCTTGCCCGCATTTTTGACAGTTCACGGACCATTGCGTGCGCACACCGCGATATCCGCAAGACCGAGACCCTGAATTGTGGGCAGCGATGTGCGAAAAGGTGTTGGTTGCACATGCTGTCGTCCCATGACCAAGTGCCAGATTGTCAGCGGGCCACCTTCCCACCTTCCCACCTTCCCACCTTCCCACCTCCCCACCTTCCTACCTTCCTACCTTCGCACCTTCACACCTTCACACCTTCGCACCTTCCCCACGCTGTCTGAAACCTGCTCTTCCTTCCGATATATATAGACACCTTGCTTACGACCGAGCCCGCTTTCGAGTCTTCCACTTTGTCCTCACCTTCCTTCGCCCTTCCGGAACTTGTATCGCTCAAGAGAAACAAATTCGTAGAGCCCCTCGTATACCCTCAAGTTGAGCTCGCCCCAAGATGACAGCCATAACCATCGATGACTTCAGCCCCTTGGACCCATACACCAAATCATGCCAACAAGTCTCCGGACCCAACGCTCACCCTCGCGCAAAACTCGTCCTCGACTCGCTCATGAAGCATCTTCATGCCTTTGCCCGCGAAGTTTCCCTTACCAACGACGAGTGGCTTGCTGCATGCGATCTTCTCATCCGCTCAGGAAAGATGTCTGATGACCGACGAAATGAGCTTATCCTCATCTCTGATGTTCTTGGACTCGAGTCTCTCGTCGACAGCATTGCTTACGAACAAGCCGCTTCTTCATCTGCTAAACCCAACGGTGGGGTTGAAGCAACCCAGTCAGCAATTTTGGGCCCATTCTACCGAACCGGAGCACCCGAGTACCAGAACGGATCAGACATCGTCCTTGACCACACCATCAAATCTCCCTCCGGCAAGCCAGGTGAAACGTGCTTCATGCACGGTACAATTACCGATGCATCCACTGGCGTCCCAGTCGTAGGAGCCAAAATCGACGTCTGGCACACGGGCCCCAACGGTCTCTACGAACAGCAAGATCCCAACCAACCCGACTTCAACTATAGAGGCAAATTCACAACTGACGAAAACGGATACTATTCTCTCCGCTGCCTTCGACCCACCGCTTATCCGATTCCCTACGATGGAGGTGCGGGCGACATTTTAAAATTGCTGGATAGAAGTCCTATGCGACCTGCTCATATTCATTTTTTGATCGAGGCCAAGGGATATAGACAATTGGTGACGCAGATTTTTGATAGTAAGTGCGAATATATTGGAGCGGATGCAGTGTTTGCGGATAAGAGCGCGCTTACGGTGGAATTTGCTAGCCCGAGCAGTGAGCAGGCAAAGAAGACCGGGGTTGATACTGAGATTAGGTACGATATTAGGCTTGTGGCTGACAATTAGCAGGTTTGGGGCCTGTCGGATCTCATTGTTCGTCTCGAATCGAAAGCTTCGTACATATGATTCTGCTTGGTGTGTTTCTCTCCCGTCCGTGCTGTATCTTTGTCCATCTTTGCAGCTGGTGAAGGGACGAGAGTCTCATTTTTTTTTAAAAAAAAAAGTATCATGCTGATAAGGCAATGGCTAGGGTCGTACTACTGTAGTTGGTGCTGGCATGGCACCGATGTCGGCTGTTGTAGACTGCAGCTTCGGACGCTTGCCGCGGCCTCAAGAGGACATTTCAAACCGAATTTGTTAGGCCGCGTTTCGACACAGCTGCTTTTTGTGCCCGAATCCCGAAATTTGCAAGCTGTCCAGAATGTCGCTCTTTCCAAACACTTACCAACCTTCGGACATGTCCATAGGCTGTCAAACACGGTCCCTTCCGATCTCTTCTACACTTTCAACGATCGCGTCCTTGTACACTCAGGCGCTCGATTAAGCATTAACTCTACGGCTCCAACCCTACGGCTCCGCAATACAGTCTAGCAGCAAGATCCAGCATCTACAGGCAGGGTAATCACCTCTTCGCGCAGAGCACACCACGATCCCAAATTCAGTGATCAAGCCTCGCGCAGACAAAGTCATACACCATGCCCTCAGCAGCAACATCAAGCACCAATGTAGCAGAGGCGAGCAGCTCAAAAGCGGCCCCTTCACCGACACTCTATGTCAAAAACATCGAAGGGAAAGTTAAGAAACCTGGTACGTTCCTACCTTTTCTCCCTCCAATCCTTTCCTCTCGTATTCCCCTTAGTAACACCTTTCATTCTGATTTTCTTTCCCCACCTTTGGCAAGCAGAACTGAGACGTCAGCTCCACTCGCTTTTCTCCACCTACGGTCGTGTACTGGACGTAGTAGCCACAAGAGCTCATGGTATGAGAGGCCAAGCATTCATCGTATTTGAAAACCCATCCTTCTCTACTGCCGCAAAACGCGGCTTACACAACTTCAGCTTCTACAGCAAGCCGTTGCATATTGAATACTCGAGCGGATCAAAGAGCAAAGCTTTACTTCGAAAGGAGCTGGGATACGAAGCGGTGCAGGAGCTGGATTTGGAGAAGAGCCGCACAACCGAGTCTAAACGTGGAGAGAAGAGAGCTAATCAGACTGCACCTGAACAGGAGGAGCAGGAGGAAGAGGAGGGTAGTGGGAGAAAAAGAGTGAAGCGAGAAGAGGACGAGGAAGAGGAGGATGGCGTGATAGTTCAGGCGAGCAATGTTCCGGGCAGCATAGAAGGCGAGGTTATTTCTGCGTTGTTTTCACGCCAAAGCGGGTACGTTGGGACTGACGAGGGGACAAACCGAGAGGATGGAGAGACATGGACTGCAGAGATAAGGTTTGATGGTGAGGAGAGCGCAAAAGCAGCACTGGAGAGTCTACAAGGTGTTCAGATCGATCCTATGTACAAGCTCGAACTTAGTATCGTATCGTAGAACCAACGCAACAGGCTGAAATGGGAACTCATTATCAATAGTGATCATCTCGTGCAAGATGTGTGGATGTGTGTTTCTGTGTTTGTAGACGACCTTTCTATCGAGAGCTATTCGTGCCTCGACCCAACGCATATCCGAACCTCGGCCCGATCCTACCTACGCACTTTATCCACCGCTACTCTCATCCATCTTCATCGCCTCACTCACATCCTCAATTTACACACAGACGCAAGCCATTCCAAAGATCATGCGGAGTCAAAAGGACAACAAAGATTGCAAGAAACCAAAAACGAACACCAAACTTCTACACTCTATCTAGTGGTCAATAATAGCCAAGTTACCAGAAATCAACTTGTTCTCCAACACGGAACCCTCGGGAATCTCGATCTTGTTACCATCGTTGGCAACAATGATAACGGTACCCCTAAGCGTAATGTTTCTACCGAAAACCACATCACCCTGAACAGTCAGATGATCCAACTCGATCATCTCCGGAATGCTCTTAAACCTCTTCTGGAACTGAGCGACCTTCTTGAATGTATCGCCCAGCTTGACTACGGGCGTCTGGGAGAACATCCTTCCTGGGTTCATGATCAACTTGCCATGCTCGAGCGAGTAAAGGTCCGAAGTGATCAACAACAAATCAGAGCAGGACTTGACGGGCAAGAAACGGGATCGTGGCACATTGACACCTTTAGCGCCACGGAAGTGCTTAATAGCTGCACCGACGGCAGTCTCGAGCTGAATAACAGCCTCGCCAGACTCCAAAGCCTTGTTGTTGACAATGATCTCCAAGTCCAATTCCTCGTTGTCCAAGACGCGCTTAACAGCAGGCAGGTTAAGCCAAAGGTTGTTGGTGTTGAAGATCTTGAACTTCTTAACCGACTTGAAGTCCTCGACGTGCTCGGAAGGAACCTGAGCAATCTCGAGCAAGCGAATAGTACCTTCGTAGTCGATCAAAGTACCACCCTTAACGTCGGCTTTGGTCTTATCAGTGACCTCCGAGATGAACTCGGCCTGAGTGTCAATCATGTGCTGGTAGATGTTAAGGTCGACATCGGCACCCAAGTTGTCGACGTTGGAGACGAAAAGGTACTCCTTGCCGGCAGCGATCAAACGATCGAGCAAGCCAGAGTTGTTCATGGCATCGAACAAGTCGCCATGACCGGGAGGATACCAGAGGTTCTTGTTGTCGGTAGCGTTGCGGGGGCAGGGGAGGAGAGATTCCTTGTTGACACGAGGGTATCGCGACTGGTTGAAGGTGAGGATTTCGACGTTGTGGTTGGCGTACTTCTGGATGACACGGGCAGTGTCGTCGTCAGTGTTGAACGAGTTCATGAGGATGAAGGGAACGTTGACGTTGTGGCTGCTGTTGAGGTGCTCGATCTGTCGGACGGAAAGATCGAGGAAGGTCATGCCATCACGAACCTCGATGACGGACTTGGGACCAGTGCAACCCATGGTGGTACCGAGACCACCGTTGAGCTTGAGAACGGCAAGCTTGTTGAGGACAGAAGGATCGGTAGCCTTACGGAGCTCGGCGTAAGGGGTAATTTGCTTGGGGGATGGGGGCTGGATTTTGTCCCAGACGAGCTTCTGGCCCTTGGCCTTCTCGGAGAGGTATCGGTTGAAGAGGTTAAAAAAGTTGGACATTTCAGCTTCGAAGGCCTGTGCGAATACGCAGCAAGAGTTAAAAAAAAAAAATAGAGAGAACGTCAGTAAGCGTGCCACTTGAGCAATTGAGCTAGAAATGGTGTGTCTACGCTGCAAATCTGGGCACATGCGAACGTAGAAATGGTTGACCAGCTGTCAACGCAAGCTGCAGGATCGGCAGATGCCGACCAGGACGGCTGCAGATGGCACGAGCGAGCCGGAACAGCGCATCTTGGGTTGCTAGTGGGCAGCGTACTGCACGGCAAGACAGCGAATCCAAGCGGTGTGGAGCGGACGTTAGCCAGGAGCACAGCAAGCACGGCGCTCGTCGCGTGTGCACTGTCGCATGAGTTGGCAGTGGAGAGAGAGAGAGAGAGAGAATCAGAAACGTACCTTGCGGACAGCAGGGTCATCGATGCCAGCAACGAGGCCGTTGAGCTCGTTGCGCATAGCCTTGGCGGCTACACCGGTGGTGGCGGATTTGAAGTCCTGTTTTGGCAAAAAGCGAGCCGAAGGAGCAGTAAGGCAGCGTGGACAAAAAGGCGAGAAAGTCAGACATGTCCTCAATGACGATGGAACGTAGCAGGGCGATCCTGTTGGTAGACTACAGCGCCGGAACAGCTTAGCGTAGCTCGACGCAGCAGGCCAATCACGGTGAAAAGATGGGCATCGGCATAGCGACACGCTTCTCGAGCAGGCCCAGAGGCAAGTTGCTACAGCGACCTCTTCTCTGCTGGAGAAGGTGACAACTTACAATGTGAGAGGCACCGCGAGTGCGGGAGGCCTTGATCTGAGCGCCATTGTTAGGCGTGGAGAGAGTAGCGTTGGAAGACATGCTTGCGAGTAAATCCTACGGAAAGGAGTGGTGACGGGGGGGTGAGGAGGAAGAAGGAAATGAACAAGTGAAAGCGAGATGGATTGGATATATTGTTTCCCAGACCAAGCGAAGGGCAAGCGGCGCGGTGGCGATGCGATGTGATGCGAAGCCAAGTAGAATCCAATGCACCGAATCAGGGCCAGTCTCGCAGCATCAAGCGAAAGAGAACGAAAGAGAGCGAAAGAGAGCGAAAGAGAGCGTCTGTCTGCTTGGATGTGCTATGTCTCTCCCTTTCTCCCTTGTGTTGCTTGCCCAAAAAAAGGTGGCCAGAGCCAGCTTCAGCCAAAACGGTGTCTGGGGTGTTGCTCTCTGTGCGTGGTGTGTGTGTCTGTGTGTGTGTGTCTGTGTGTCTGTGCATTGACCGAATTTCGAACGAATCGCCGTTGAGCTGCGAGCGCCCGATTTCCAGGCAAAATCACCGCCACAAGAAAAGTGACAGAGTGGGGGAAAAGGGGGAAAAGTGGAAAAAGGAAAAGGGGAAAAAGGAAAAAGGAAAAGGGAAAAAGGAAAAGAGAAAAAGGAAAAGGGAAAAAGAAAAAGGGAAAAAGAAAAAAGAAAAAAGAAAAAAGAAAAAAGAAAAAAGAAAAAAGCTTTCGGAAAGATGAGCCACAGTGTCAACACTGTTCCTCCTGCTGTTCAAGTTGCTCTCTCTCTTCCTTGCTCTGTGATGTTGCAAAATTTGGAATTTCTAGACTTTCCTCTCTCTGTCAGTAAGTGGCGCATCAGCGCTTGGGGTCCGTGCGCAGAAGAAGCACAGAGCAAAAACACCTCGTCCCTCTTTCTCCATTTGTTGCCCGTGTGTCTGGCAGATCCTCCGCACAACCATCAACCAATCACAATTCACTCGTCTTCACACACACACACACACACACACACACACACACAAAAACAACGGTTCATAGACCTCACTACGATATCCAAGTCTTTACATCTCCCTCCTGAAGGCCGGTTCGGGGAATTGCTTGCTTCTTGTGTCGCCTTGACAGGGGACAGAAGAATCACAGTTGAAAAGTTCGAACGTGTCTTCTTCCTGTTCTTCCTTGATCGATATCATCGCTGTCCTGCAAGTGACCGGGAGCGATTCGGTCCGCGGCTCTTCCCTAGGGTTCAGTTGCGTCACTCTCCGCTTTGTATTCGAACACGTTTTTGGTCTCCGGAATTGGCCGTTGCCCATCGGGCTGTTGTTCGAAGCTGCAAATGCGCATCATGCATTGCGCAAATCATCCCCGCAGCGCAACATCGCACAGCAGCTGTTGCTTTGACTTTATCTCGCCGGCGAGCCAGAACGCACTTGCTATTACTCAGCTTTGCTTCCAGTTTCGGCATCACAACGTTGCACAAGAACGTGTTGCCTGCGCTGGGCTGAGCTTGTTTCAACTCATTGACACCTGAAAAGAGTCGGGCATTGTGAGTTCAACACGTTGGAGATGGCGCAGAACAGCTCCTTCCCGTTGCGACATGGAAGCGCAGAAACACCTCGCTTCAAGCAGCCTCGCCATCATTCCCACCTCAAGATGCTGGTGTAAGAGGATGATAAGCGTGGAAAGGAGCCAAGGATTTACTCGGCATGTCTCGCATAGTACGACCTCAGCTGCCGCTTTTTCCCTCCAGTGTCTCGCTCGTTCCAGAGTCAAGCTAAGGGCGCCGCAACCGAAAGACATCCTCTCACTTGGTCGGCGCCGTTCAGTTCGTCCGTGCAAACGTTAAATCGACTCTGTCCCGATCAAAGTCATACAGTCCGCCCGATCGGGTCAGATGCCTCGTGGCTCTCTCAACTTGCTCAGACCACGACCTTCAGCAGCTGGTGTGTTGTAGGACTTTGTGTATAGCGATAAGCATCAATATTGCAAGAAAAAAAGAAAAAAGAAAAAAGAAAAAAGAAAAAAAAACAAAGAACAGACGTGAACCACGACACAGAGATGCAATGCAAAGGAACAAACAAGAGACCATGAAGCCGGGAACTTAGGAGAATGTCGTGCATCAACCCCTAACAACTCGCTCCTCACCACCCTCAACATCAGACCCAACCTCGCTTAGCTCAGCCCAGCTATCCTCTCCTTCACTTGTCACTGAAAACACCTCAATCCCACGTGCAGCTCCCATATCGCTTCCACTAGAGATCGTTGGACTTGGTGGAGCGTGTAGGTGGCTCCATCGGCCTTCTGATCCGGCAGTGTCGCTGAGAACTTCAAAGTCAGGTTCACTCTCGGTGCGACCGGATCGTGTGTCTGTTGAGGGAGCCGTCTGTGGTGGAGAGTGCAATGCGCGGTTCGAGCGATACGGCGAATCCGGTGCATTGAAGGCGTTGGTGCTGTGGCCGTCTTGGTCAAGATCATGGAAAGAATCGTGCTGGTCAGAGAGGGTTTGAGAGAGGCCGTTGGTGTCGAGTACCACGTGGCCTTTGTCGCTGTCGTTGTTGGCTGAGACTGATTCACGATCGCTGAAGACTGCGTGCCAAGATGAAGCTGTGCCGTCCACGATGCTGGTAAAAGAATCTTGATGAGCCGTCTTTTCTCGGTCCGGATCTTTTGCATCATCTAAGTCTGAAGCAGCGGACGAAGCTGTTTGCTGACCAAAGTCGAGACCAAGTAGGCCATTCTTAGCTGCGTGGCTGCGATCGTCTTGAGTCTTGGTCGTGTCGTGTTGAGGTGAGTCGGGCGACTTTGCGATCCCACCGAGGCTTCTGACCGAATTGAAGCGTGAGTCAGCTGGTAGCGACGCTGCGTCGCCGACACTCGGTGAAGCATCCCCCACTCTGTGATGTGGTAGCTCGGGCGATGATGACCTTCTCAGATCAACCACAGGCATCGTCCTCCTGATCCCTTCGGTCTCCTCGTGCTGCCCTTGGCTGTCGCTGTTCGCCGGCCTCCGCTGCCTCAACCCACGACCCTGCTGTTCACTGCCATTAGTGAAGCTCTCGCTCATAGAAGCTCTCAGCCGATCTCGATAAGCAGAAGCCTGACGCTCATGCATCTCAAATTCGTGCTGAACGCTCTCTCGACTCGCCTCTTCCCCTGCACCCCTGCGAAAATCCTCCAATTCGTCATCACTCAGTCGACGATGATGCCTGTTGCCGCCGCTATTGGGCTGAGGACCTTCTCTAAGCGTATGAAAGCCATCTTGGACCTTGTTGACTGCTTCTTCAACTTCGCGGCGAAGCTTGAAAAATTCGTTTCTTACGCCTTGGCCAAAGCCGTGGGGCCAATTCTCGTCACGCCAGGGTCGAAAGACGGCTATCTCGAAGGCTACTGCTGCCCCAATTCCGGCTGTGGCGGCTGCAGTGATGACGAGTGGATGCACCATCGTAGTTGAGAGGCGATGATGGGTTGTCGTTATGTACGGAGTTTGTCAAAAATAGATGGCAAGCGTGCAGGTTCGGGCCCGTGGCCAGATCTACTGTATGGAATTCTGCGCCTTCAACGTGGCAGCATAGTTTTCTTTTTCTGCCCTTCGTCGTTGTGACTGCTTCGGCTGGAATGCTGATGGTGTTGAAAGGTGTCGAGATGCAAAGAAGAAGGCGGAAAGCTTCCCGATGTGAACGAAAGGTCCGCAGGTGCGGCCAAGTAGCTTCTAGACGCTCAACTGAGCAGCAGCAGCAGGAAGGCAGTGCCAGTGAAGTGGAGCTTCCGCTCAGCTCCAAAAAAAGAAAAAAAAAAAGAAAAAAAAAAAAAAAGAAAAAAAAAAAAGAAAAAAAAAAAAGAAAAAAAAAAAAAAGAAAAAGAAAAGAGAACCCTGCATTTCGCTGCAGCGCGCGCAAGGGCTTTCTTCTGTCTAAAATTATCATTCTGTTAGGTTTCGACGAGATAGGGGTCAGACTCTATTGCTTGCAGCCATTCTCGGAGGCTGGTTCAGGATGGCCTCTCACGACAGCATTGCTCGGAATAGTATCACCTCAGATGGCGCTGATGGCGCTTCAGAATGTACAGATGGGCTATCAAACGAGGCAAGGTCGGCTTGAAGACCACATTCTTTATGCATTGCAAACGGAACAATCCATCTATGACCCGTTTGTTTGGAGTTCACTTTTTCCACAAACCCATAAGCTCCTTTTGCAGATCTCTCGCCTTCCTCTCCTTCTCCAGACTCTGCGTACTACGCAGATGACTAATAACATCCCTTGTCTTTCCAAAGTAGACTTCTTGCAGCTGATTACGCATCTTGGCCTCCATGTCCTCGATCATGCGACCCACATTGGACACGTGCGAGACAAAGTCGGGCAAAGCATAGTCGGCTTCAGACTGACGTGTCAAACTGCCGGCAATCTCGACTGTGCCGACTTTGGTGGAAGAAGGTGTCAATTCGGCGGGATCTTCTTCGCCTTGGTCGCGACGGATGAGGCTGAGCATAACGGTTGAGGTAAGCTTGTAGCTCGCACTGGCACCATTTCCGGTCGAGGAGGATTTGGAAGCACCACTTGCACGTTCGGTTGCCTCAAAGACGTGGATTGAGTCCCATGCACCAGAAATACCGTTGCCGCTGTCCTGGCCGATGGCTACCATTTCAAAGCAGAATAGGAACAAGCCTTGAGTCAGTATCTTACATTGGGACAGGAGTGTATGAGCTGTGATCGTTACTGACACTTCTTGAGCAAGACGACACCTGCAAAAGTGCAAGGTGCCTGTGCACCGCCAACGGTTGCATTCGGAAGGGAGCTTGAATCGCTGTCGAGGTCCCAGAGGTAAACACTGGAGAGCGCATTGTCGTAGTAGAGCTTGGCATATGTCTCAAACGCATCATTGGCCTTCAATTCAAGCGATCGTAAAGGTGCGCTAGGCCTTGTCCCTCGTTCTCCATCTGGTGTATCATCAGCATCCGGCGAGATGGGTGGATGATAGGTGTCCGAAATCCACGATCGCCAGCTGTCTCCGTCTTTGTTGTAGTCACAGGACAAGAACTCGCGTCCTGCTCCATGCTTGGAGTTGTCGAGCTTGACCTTGAGTGGCTGATCGACGGACGAATAGAGGTCGTCGGCGTAGGATGGGATGAGCTTGACGATGGATTCGAGGTTCTGCTCCACTTTGGATGGCGGCAAGCGACGCAACAGGTCGAGCGAGAGGTCGAGTGGATCCGTCATATTTGACAGCGCCGCACAAGCAGGAAGGTCGGATAGTTGGATGCGAGGTTAGGATACTAGGTGAATGAATGTGTCTAGTCAGAATGTTCGCCTGCATTGAAGACCAAGCCGAACTCCACCTTTCGGACAAGCGTGACGGCTGACAGCCTTTGCTCTCTGTGGACCGTGCGACGATCTCATCGGTGCACAACAGAGCCGATTCGACTGCCTGATCCGAGATCGAGCTCGTTTGTCTTTGTTAAGCCGAGTGTTCTTGAATTTGCGATTGGCACTAATTGACTGGCGAAGCGAGAGATGAGAGAGAGAGAGAGAGAGAGAGAGAGAGAGAGAGAGAGAGCTGTGCTGCTGCTGCTTCTCTGTTTTTGACGCATGCAAGATTGCGCTCGAGCTCAAGCACGCCATTCTTTGCCATGATGGTGTCGACAGTCTTGTTCGCTCTCGAGACAATAATGAGAAGCTGCTGCAGCTCGGTGCATTCATCTCTTCCCTTTGCTTGCCTGTCTTTGGCTGCCGACGCTCGCCTGTCTCTCGGCTCTTCTCAGTCAGATCGAGACGACGACCCTGTAGATTAACTCAATGGAGCACAGACCAGTTTCGAGAAGAATTGCCCTCCCTCCTGTGAACGACACACTCGCGCTATTTGCCCGAGAGAAGGTATCATCCAGCCCCAATTGACAGCCGAGATGGCTCCCAAGAAAAACACCGACACAGAAAAGCACAGGTAAGAGTGATTAAGATGTCGGCTTTGCATTCTGGCTGCCGAAGCTGGCTTTCAATGAACACTTTGCATAGAGCAGCAGGAGACCCTCTGCTGAGCACCCAACACTGCACCACTTTGGCACCCTTTCAAGGATCCTTCTTGGCTCCTGGGCCTCAATCTTGGTTGGGCTAGAGGAAGAGAAGAAGCCAAGCCTCGTTAGGAGCACCTTGTCTGCCCTCGACTTTTTAGGTCCTCTTTGCGAGAAGAAAGAGCCCTCTGCCGCCGTGCCAGAGTGTCGGTATGCGTGCTCCTTAGAACCAGTCAATTGAACAAAGTGCCGACGTCGCCGTTGCTGTGAAAGCATGAGGCCTTGAGCGGACCAAAAGCAACTCGACCACCCCTTGGCCCGTCCGCCCTCTCCTCATGGATCAATATATACAACAGAGACTTGTCGTCATCGTCCCCTCACAAACCACCATCTTCTCTCCCCTCCTCTCCTCTGCTCTATCCTTTTCCTTTCCCTCAAGCAAGACTCGATAGTCAAAAATGTCGCAGCACGCTTCCAACTTCGACACACTCCAGCTGCACGCTGGTCAGGAGGTGGACCCTGTCACCAACGCTCTTGCCGTGCCTATCTACGCCAACTCGTCGTTCGCCTTCAATGACTCGGCTCACGGTGCTGACCTTTTCGGTCTTCGCAAGTTCGGTAACATGTGAGTAACATCCTCTGCAAAAATAGGTCTGGCATTGCTGAGGCTCTTTCATTTGCTGCATCTGGCAGTGTATGCGAAGAGCAGCAGATTGCATGCAACTAAAGCTGCGGTTGATGGCAATCGCTTGCTGACATTTCGCTCTCACCTTTTCACCTCTCTGTATGGAATGATGCAGCTACTCTCGTCTCATGAACCCTACCAACGATGTGTTTGAGAAGCGAATTGCTGCTCTTGAGGGTGGTGCCGCCGCTCTCGCTACCTCGTCCGGTCAGGCCGCTCAGGGTATGGTCGTCATGGGTCTCTGCGGAACTGGTGACAACATTGTCTCCTCCTCGTACCTCTACGGTGGTACGTACAACGCCTGGGCCAACCTCTTCCCCCGTCTTGGCATCACCACCAAGTTTGTCAAGTCCGAGAAGCCCGAGGACTACAAGGCTGCCATTGACGCCAAGACCAAGGCCATCTACATCGAGTCGATCGCCAACCCCAAGTACCTTGTTCACGACATCGCTGCCATCGCCAAGGTTGCTCACGATGCGGGGATTCCTTTGATTGTCGACAACACTTTCGGTGCCGGTGGATACCTTGTTCGCCCCATCGAGCACGGTGCCGATGTTGTTGTGCACTCTGCTACCAAGTGGATCGGTGGTCACGGTACCACTATCGGTGGTGTGATCGTCGACAGCGGAAAGTTTGATTGGAGCAAGAGCGGCAAGTTCCCTCAGTTCACCGAGCCATCCGCCGGTTACCACGGTCTTAAGTTCTGGGACACTTTCGGACCCATCACTTTTGCCATCTACCTCCGTGTCGTCATTATGCGTGATTTGGGACCTTGCCAGAACCCCTTTGGCTCTTTCCTCTTGCTTCAGGGTCTCGAGACTCTTTCGCTCCGTGTTGGACGTATTGTCGAGAACGCTCTTGCACTCGCTGAATGGCTTGAGGCTCACCCTCAGGTTTCGTGGGTTTCGTACCCTGGTCTTGCCAGCCATCCTTCGCACGAGGTTGCCAAGAAGTACCTCACTCGCGGTTTCGGTGGTGTCCTCTCCTTTGGTATCAAGGGTGATGCCGCTACCGGTAGTGCTTTCGTCGACAGCTTGAAGCTCGCTACCAACTTGGCCAACGTCGGTGATGCCAAGACGCTCATCATTCACCCTGCCTCCACTACACATCAGCAGCTTTCGGATGAGGAGCAACTTTCTTCGGGTGTCACCAAGGACTTGATCCGTGTCAGCGTCGGTTACGAGTGGATCGAGGACATCAAGGCCGACTTTGCTCAGGCTTTCGAGAAGACTTCCGGCGTGAAGGGTAACGTTCCTAGCGGTGAGACTGGCCCTGCTCCTGGTCTTTCCGGCTCTGTGTAAAAAGATTGATACTACTTTGCATAAACGTAATCGAAAATACCATTCCTTGCTCTCAGACTTCCCGATGCGGCTTCTCAACAGGACTGGTGTACCTTTTGCTCTTTCCTGTGCATCTGCCGACATTGTTGGTGCTCTTCAGCTTGCAGCTCTAACCATTGCTCAAAGATGTGAGCCTGAGGCAGATGCCTATGCGAGCTCTTCCTTTGCGACCTGACAGATGTCCTGCTTTAGGGTCGCTGAGGTAGAATGACAGAAGATCGATTTGCTAGGCCTCCTTTTTTTGAGCTGGAATTTCTGGAATGATTTGATTTTCCTTTTTATTTCCTACAGAATGGAAGCCCTGAAGGTGAGAGCAACACGCTGTGCTGTATGAAATCTTGAAGCGCCTTTCTCTCTTTCTAGCTCGCCTGTTCTCGCCCCTCGTCGCGTGTCCTTTTCTCTCTCTCTCTCTCTCTCTTTCTCTCTTTCTCACACACACAACACACACTTACTTGCTCTGGCCGGCGAGCAAGTCTCACTCACACGCGCACACACACACGCGCTTCGCTTGCTGGCTAGTTGGTCGGCTGACTTCAAAATAACGCGCTGCTCCCAGCCCACAACTCCATAAGCGATCTCTGGTCCTGTCTTGCATCTCTCGCCTCCCTTCAAGCTCAGTACTTTCGCTTTCTTACTTCCACCACCCTCCCCGCCAAGGCTCTGATCGTCGTTGTCGTCGATCACTGCGGTCCGTTCTCTTTCACGCAAGCACTACTGCAAACAGCGATCTGCTTCACTTTGAATCGAACACCCCACGCTCGTTACTAGCTCGCAGCATCACCTTTTGGACTAGCAGACTTTCATACCCAAGCATCAACTCGATCTCGAGTGCGGTTTGCGACTGGCTTCCTTGGCGTTCCATACCTTCTGCATCACTGCAGCTGACACAATCTCGATACTAGCATCGCAGTAGCATTTCTCGCACGTTGACCCCTTTACGTCGCGACTTGCAACTCACAAAGCCCATCACCCCCCACCTCTCCTTTCTCCGTAGCATCCTCCGCTACCCAGTAGCACTGCCATCATGGGTTCATCCTTCAGCAAAGCCATGGGCAAAATCTTTGGCAACAAAGAAATGCGTATTCTCATGCTTGGTCTCGACGCAGCAGGAAAAACCACGATCCTCTACAAACTCAAACTCAATCAATCCGTCACAACCATCCCTACGGTAGGCTTCAACGTCGAAACGGTCCAATACAAGAATGTCAAATTCAACGTATGGGATGTGGGTGGACAGGACAAGATCCGACCTCTTTGGCGTCACTACTACACAGGAACTCAGGGGTTGGTCTTTGTAGTAGACAGTCAGGATAGGGATCGAATCGATGAAGCGAGACAGGAGTTGCACAGGATAATCGGCGATAGAGAGATGAGGGATTGCTTGTTGTTGGTCTTTGCGAATAAGCAGGATCTTCCGGGGGCAATGAGTCCAGCGGAAGTAACGGAAAAGCTGGGGTTGCATAGAATGAGGGATAGGAGTTGGTTTGTTCATCCATCCTGTGCGACGAGTGGCGAGGGTCTATATGAGGGATTGAGTTGGTTGAGTCAGAATGTTTCTAGTACTAAGAGCTAGGAGCAATACATGGACAGCTTTACATCACTCCTCCAACAGGGGCGAGGAGCAAGTCTTTCTCAATTGCCCCTCTATGGCTCTTCAGCACGTTGCTATTTCTGTCTACACTCGTTTGCTCTCATCTTTGATGAATAATCATCGTCTAATACCCATTCCCCCCTCATCTCTCGTGCCTTGCTTCCTCCTCAGCCTGATCATGCACACGTCTCTGACTCACCTCCAACCCTGAAATGCATGGCAGCATTTCTCAAACGCACACAAACGCACACAAACGCAAGGAAAGATGGTTCAAAGGTGATGTGAAATGCAATTGCAAACAACAAAACTTCCAATGCAGGTCCACTCAGGTGCGATGGGAAGCAGATCTACCACTGGAAGTACTACTACAGCTATTCGTCCTGGTATTAGCATCCCTCAACCCGGGCGTAACAGTGGCCGTATTTGAGCTCGACGCACTAGACCGCCTCACGCTTCCCCCAGGAGTCCTGAGACCTAACCAACTTGCCCAACCAGCCAAACTATAGTCTCCGCTCGCTCCCGCATTAACGTGGTTCCCGTTGCCACTGGCACTTCCCGCAACACGGCTGTTCCTCGCAGTATTTTGCCTCAACATCCTCTCATACTCGGCCTCGCTCAGTCCACCAGGATAACCGGATCCATCCACACTCGGACTAGGTTGTGGTGACGGGTTATTGTGGTTGAGGGGCTCAAGTAAGCCTCTGTCACTAAGCATACCTAGAACGGCGTTGGCGAGTTGATGTGTACGACCGGATCCGCGACGTGCTTGGTGGTGCGAAGCGGGTGTACCTCCGAGTGCGCCGTGTTCGACTGCGGTTGCGTACGAGGGGGGTGAGTTTGTGCCGCGCTGTGCGGCAGCCGTGGCTGGAAGAGGGTCTGCGGGTGAAGGGGGGGTTGTGGGGAAGTACGAGTCTTCTGCAGCGCTTGCTCGGTTGAATGAATCGGAAAGTGAATGCAGCGAAATATCGAGCCGGTGAGGTGTGGGAGGGTTGGGCGGACTTCCATCAGATGAATCCTCTAGTTCCATGGGTCGGCTTGTAGACCTCGACGTGTGGATAGCAGCCGATGATCCTGCCTGACCGTTCGGCGCGGGGCGCAGGGAAGATGTCCTCGCAGGCGCAGGCGAGCTCGTCGCACCACCCTGACTAGGCAATCTGTTATGAGAGGAAGACGGCGATCTCTCCTCATAAGGCGAGATCGGAGGAGGCGGCGACTCTCTTCCACCCATGCCCGGCTGCAATCCTTGCGCAGAAGACCCCTGTGTTGAATCCGTCGTATTACCCTGACCACTTTCCATCAGGATCGTCCCTCTCTCCTGTCCATACGCAGGTGGCGGAGCCAAGGTCCCAACCATCGGTGCCAGACCCCACTTCTTTACATTCGCCTCAATAAACACAAACCCAGCCTGACCCAAGTTGACGTGAATCTCGCATGCTCCGTCAGCCCCTACTGTCGGGAACAGATTATACCTGTTCAACCCAACAAAAGCATCCTCCAACCTCTTACCGTTCCTCGTGAAGAACACAGTACCCGTCCTCGGCCTGTACCCAATCCCAATCACATCACCCTGCCCATAGGCAGGACCATACGACTGTGCAGCGAAGGGATAGTTATGACACTTGAAGCCATCGCTCGAGAAATAGCCAATCGAGTACTTGCTCCACCCTGGCAACCTAAACTGAGGGTACGGCTTAGTCGTCAATCCCACAGCAACATTCGTAGTGTCGGGCTTGTTGAACATCTTGACTTCCCAATAGTACACCTCGTTGATCTTGGGAAGTGGCAGATTGCTCTGCACACAAACACCGCCGCCTTCTTGAGGAGCCATACCTTGGCCATCTGCGATAAAGGTGATCTCCGTTCGAGCCTCGACAAAGACGGACGGATTGCTCTCGTAATCTGGATCGAAGGACCATGCACTGACGCCCTTTTCCTGAATGCTGAGGAATTGGCTGAGGGTGATATCGGTAGATTGCGTGCCTGGTGGGTAAGCGAGTATCCAATCCTTTGCACGACGGTAGCCACGCTGTGTAGGCTCGTCAACAGTCTCCAACCATCGCTGCTCAATTCCATCCAAGCCACCTGTACCTTCGAGCTCTTCTTCACGACCAACATCGAGCGGACCATCCGAATCGCCAAGCGAGATGCGGGCTCTGCGTCGAACAATAATGACGAGAATGATGAAGAGCAACAAAAGGAAAAGAAGCGTCGAGAGCAAGATCAAGAGCGGAAGGAGGAGCGCAAGGGTATCATCTGCGGTGGGTGGACGCTGATAGACGGGCTCATCTGGAATATTGATGATGTCGAGACGCCGCACTGTGGAACTTGGATCCTGTGCGTGTCCGATGGATTTGACCTGCTGATTGAACATGCGCCCGCCATTGATGCCGAATGGACGCCTGAAGCGGGGCTTTGTTGCTGGAACGGAAAAGTCGTAGATGTCGCCGGAGTCGATGCTGTCATCGTCGTTGTGGGAAGTGAAAGTGAGGAGAGCGTCCATGTCGAGTACTGAATTCCGGAAAGGGAAGCGGTCAGGTTCACCTGGTCTGGAGGCTGACCTGGATTTAGAAGTGGAGGCAAAGATGGCCGAAGATGATGGCTGCAAAGTGTCTTTTGGTGATGATGAGGAGGCGGAGGAAGAGGCTGATAGCGCCTCGTGTGCTGTCGGGCCCTGCATAGTGGAAACCGCCGTCGGCTGCGGTAACGTAACGACAAAAACGGGGATGACTGCGAAATGCTAGCTGTCGCTCAATGGTTGGGCACCGCCATGCCCGGGCGCACGGTCAATGTAGCCGTTGGAGTTAGCGATATGTGAGAGAGAAGTTGTTCAGAGCTAAGCAGAACAAGATACGCCAAAGATGTTGAAATTGCTGCGATCAGCGATTGATGATGAGCGGCGTCAGGGATGAGAGGGTTTGGCGCAGCAGTTGTTCGAAGACAGCCAAGGCTGCGGAAGCTGAAGAAGGAAGAGGATAGGATAGGCGTCGACGCGAATAAAAGGAAAGGTAAGGTAATGGTAATGGTGATGGTGATGGTAATGGTAATGGTAAACCGAAGCAGAGATGGCGAAGAGGGTCGTCTGACTGAACCGAGTTGCGAGTGAGTGAGTGAGAGAGTGCAAGTGGAGCTGGATGTCGTTGGCAGTGGCGGTGAGTGAGTGATTGATTTTGCCTCGTCTGATAGCCCTGAGAGCCAACCGGCTGATGCGTCCAATTTAATCGTTAATTCCAAAAAGGCCTTCAGAGCAGTCAGATTGAATTTGGCTGTCCGCTCAACTCAACGGCTCTGCTCATCTTGCCTTGCTTCTGTGTATATCCCTCTCTCGCTCGCACCGTTGCGCCTCTTGCACTCCAGCGGCCAGATCAATGCATCAGTCTCATCACCATCTTCTCACTTGTCAGTGGTGAGCACTATCTGATGGTGGAGCTGAATGAGCTGTGCCAGCAATGCGAACGTCTGCTGCATCGGTGCATCAAGCTTGCATCAAAGGGGCTCAGCTAGATCGGACAGCCATCGGCTGGGAAAAAAAAAAACCCCCCCGATCCGGCGAAATTCTCGATTCTTTTCTCTTCCTCTGTCCAAAATCGCGAATCTTTGGCTTTTCTGACTCAAAGATGCGTGATCCTGACTCAGCAACTCCTCATCCTTCTCCTCCACCACCACCTTGGACTCCATTTGCGCTCCTTCTCGTTGAAGCTTTCGAGATCGAACTCGAATCATCCACCCATCTAGCTTTTTCATTAAACCAGGCTCGACGTCTACGAGCTACCACCATCCATCCAAGCTAGTCAAGCTTTGAGATCATCCATCCGTGTCAAGTATCGCGTCGGAACGCGTTTGGCTGCCGAATATTACCGCACTCTTTGACATTTCCCGGCAAGAAACCAGAATCACCTCAAAGGACATATCCTCTAAGCGCAATACCGAGCGCTGATTCATCGCATTGACCATGGACTCCCAATCGAAAGACCAGCACAACATGCAGGACGCAGATGCAGACTACAACTGTAAGTATTCGCTGCCTCCGCGTATGGGTGACTGCGCATGACATAATCAACATTCCCGCGCACCCCGCATTGACACCATATTCCTTCTTCCATGAAACAGCCTCGGAGTACACACATAGCAACCTCGACCCCACCATCGAGTCCAACGATCAACCCTCCACCTCCTCAACCGCCCAACAGCAGCAACAGTCAGGTCAGGATGCAGCCCAATCCGAACCTTCAGCCGTCGACCACAGTCACGCAATGGAAGCAGTCATGCAGTTAGCTCAAGCAGCCTCTCAACAGCAATACGATTCCGAACAGCATTCACAGCATGGTCATCTAGAAAATCCCGAGGTCCACCACGAGTCGCTTCCTGTTAACAATGCAGATGGTAGCACTGGTGATGCGAAGCGGGGAGAGAAACGTCGTTCGTCTCAATCCGGTAGCACTTCCGGTGCAGCAGCGGGGGGAAGGAGGGCAAGCAAAGCAGCAAGACAACAGGATGAGGAGCAGCATCTGTCTTCTGCTGCTGCTGCTGCTGCTGCTGCTACCGCTGCCGCTGCAGCTGCTGCTACAGAGGGTGCTTCGCTGCCCTTCCCCGATAGCTGGTCCGAGGGGAACATTCCGGCTGAGATTCAGAAAGCTTATCAACAACACCTTGCTCAAGCCCAGGCCAACCTTGCACAGCAACAACAGCAAACGCAATCTTCGAGCTCTGCTTCATTCTCACACGACGATGCTTCGCAAGCGCAGGGCTCGGGCGGAGCATTCAAACCCACCCGACAGCTCAGCACTTCTAAGCGCGCTGCACAGAACCGTGCCGCACAGCGTGCGTTCCGTGAACGTCGGGATAAGTACGTCAAAGTGCTTGAGTCCAAAGCCACTCGTCTGGAAGCTGCAATTCGCATCGCAACCGAGTGCAAGAGGAGGTATGTAGAGGCCTTGCAGACAATTGATGGGTTGAGGCAGGACAATCATACTCTACGTGTTGCATTGGCGGCGTTGAGTGGCAGTGGAGACAACGCGGGACCGGGCCCGGTTATGAAGGCGGACGATTTGGCCAAGGAGTTACCTGAGATCCCGTTGCTGACGACACAGGAGGAGGAAGAGGTGTTGGGTTCTGTTGGTGGACAAACTGGTATGTCTGGTGGGAGTGCCGGTGGTAGTGGTAGTGGAAGTGCGAGTGCGAGTGGAGGAGGGCAGAGTTTGGATTCGTTGAGTGCTGTGGCTGCTGCTGCTGCGGCAGCTGCACACGGTGATGGGACCGGAGCAGGTACGGACGGTGGTAAGGTGACGCAGCAGCAGCAGCAGCAGCAGGGTGCTGGAGAGGGAGATGAGAGTGTGAGCACCCCTCCTACTCCCACCTCCGCAGGGGAGGGTAAGGGCGTTTCCGCAGCAGCAGCAGTGACAGAGAATACGAATGCCAGTGGAGTGTCGTTGCCCCCTGTACCCTCCGCCACTACTTCTAGCACCACAGGTGGTGCTTCTGCGCAATGAGCCACAGCCATCTGCGGTTGTATGTTCTCGTCTAATCTCAGATGTCACGATCAGAGGTGCAATGAGATGGCATCTTTAAATCAGACTGGCAAGTTGTGTGTATGATCTTGGATATGATTGCTGAGAGTACAACGACAATCTCATCATCAATGACGACTTTAAGCCGTGAGAGGAGAACCCTTGAAACGAGTCTCTTTACAAAAATTACAGCACAATGCGCCCTCGAGACCCTCCTCCGCCTTAACGCTACCTCCTTCTGTACTGGAGGGGATATGCCACCAGTACGGCGAAAAGCGAGTTTTGCAGCTTGAGCATTGTTTTTGCCCCATTACTGTACTTGATGTGCTACTGCGCATCGAAGGAGCAGGAGTAGCTGATTGAGGTGCGGGAGTGGCACTGCCCATTACCAACCCGTTCACCAGCAACGAATCGAATCTCTTTGCTCTCCTTAGTAGCGCATAACTTGTTTCTCCCACCAATGTTCCGACATTAGCTGCTGGAACAGCCAGATGCTTATTGGCGCGGGCAAACATCTGAAGACTCGTCAGGCCAGTCTTCTGATCCACCTCTGCAACATCGTACAGCTTTTTCGACTTGGCGATCTCCTTGTGCTCCTTACACCACACTTGAGGCACCATGTGTCCAGTCTCTCCTTTAAAGGTGAGTGTCGACACAACCTCGCGCCTCGTGCTTTTGACCGGAAGAACCTCGAATGCGAGTGTGAAGGCAGGCAGCTGGTTGTGTGCACAAGACACATGGAAGGTTTTGCGACAGAACGGTTCCGAGCATGTAACGCACGCGCCTTTGGGTGTGTGACAGATGCAGCATTCTGCTTCGTATCTCCATGCCGGCAGATTGCCACAGCTTTCGACGGTCTTGAGTCTCGTAGTATCGGAGAAGACGACCTCAGGAATGAAGACAGCGCACAGCACGTGTGCCCAGTTGTTGCATTCGGTCGGTTTGAAAGCGTCCAACGCACCCAGAGGTGCCTTGAGAACTGCAGGAGAAACTGCGCCTACTTGCTTCTTGAGGCCGTCGTCGCCTGTGTTTGCAGCGGTGGAGACACTCTTGGGTCTGCCTCGAGCTTTGCCTTCTCCACCGCCAGCAGCACTAGCAGCATACTTGGCCGAGTTGGCGGCAGCATCCTCCTGCGCCTGTGGTGAACAAAGAATGCATCGTGGCAACAAGGCTGACTCCTGCGTCTGCTCGTTCCGGCATGGATCGCAATACCACATGTCCATCTCGACCTCTTCTTCCGTCAAGCCGTAACAGCCCTGATGGACGCTGAGAGAACACTGACGGCACTGAGCGAGCTTCTTCTTGGGCTCGATACGCTTGCACATGACGCACTTAAGCGGTTCGGGTTTCGGCACGGAAGGTGGTGCCACGGGTCCAGGTGAAGTTGCTGGTGTCGATCCTTTCGCATCGCGCGAGGTCCGCGAAAGTTTAGCAGGAGGTGCGACTCCAAGGCCGTCTTCAGAGACGCCAAAGGCAGCGACGGCTGCAGCAGCTGTGCCCGACTTGTTGCGTGTGTTGACCGAGACGAGATCCGGGTTGAACGTTTCGGCAGCATACTTCCGCCAGTAGATACCGCAGTTGACGCACAACACACGGTTTGCGAGCGATGCTGGACCCTTGTACCAAATTCGGCTCGAGGTTGTCGAACACATCGCACAAGACGTTGTCGGGCCGGACGGTGGGTCATCTCCATACACGGACAGCGAGGGTGACACTGCACGCGATGTGGTCGGCTTCGGCGTCGGCGTCGGAGCTGGGTTTGTTGAGGAAGTTGTAGATCCATTCACCCTGTTCGCAGCACCCTTCTTGGCCGACGTTGTGGCGAGAGGCTTGCTTGCCTGAATAGCCTCGAGATCAGCCTTGATTCGCTGAATCTTCCAGACGACAAAGTAGCGTACGATCTCAGATACATTTTTGGTAGGGATGAACTTCTTGAGCTGCTTCATATCCGAGTTGACCTGTGCAATGCCCGTGTCGAATTGCTTTGCCTCTTTCGCAGTCCAGTGGCTGATGCGGAGCTGCTTGGTGGTGCTAGTCGACATGGACATTAGTGCTTGAACGGGGTCACCCTCCTTCTGCGTAAAGGTCATGAGCGCACGGTCGATCAAATCGACATGGTGTGGTGGAACGCTCTTGAAGTGAGCCCGTACTGCTTGAAGGTAGGCATCAAGCACTTGTTCGTCTTCAGAGACAGTTGGAAGGAAGATAGGTTCGACGCTCTCGTCGCCACCGCGTTCGAATTCGGGCGGGTCTGAAGGAAGCAACATTTGTGCTGCAGCTGGTGTGCTTGTTCCTGTCGTTGGCGTGTCTGACCTTTCCAATGCTTCTCGTTTACGCTTGAAAGGCCTGCCCTTCTTCTTATGAGAGGTGGGTGCACTTGCTTGGCCGGATGCAGGTGCCACCAATCCAGCTGCGGCATCGTCGCCGTTGCCGACATTGGCTCCTTCCTCTTCTTTGGCCTTCTCCTTTGTGCGGCAGTGGACACCAAGGCCAGCCTCCTTCTGCTCGTCCCATGTTGGCAGTGAAGCTTGGTACTTGGGTCCAAGTCGGGTGGTAGCGATCGGATAGACCGAGTCATGTGGGTCGAGTACGTCCATTGCGTTGGTGTGTTGGCCAAAGTATCGATAGGGCCAGCGCATGAAACAACGGGTTCCGCGGATGTCGTCTGTTGTCTTTTCCGGCATAGGGCTTCCATCAGGAGTGTTGCTTGTCGAAGCAATATCGTCGCCTCTTCTTGGGTGGGAGGGTCGACCGCCTCGACCACGCGGTGCTCCGCGACCTCTGCTGAGGGCGGCGGTGATGTGATGTCTAGGTGGGTTGGAGGTGCTGTCGTTGGTGCTGGAGGAGGTGGAGGTGGATAAGAGTTGACCTCCTGTTTGTAAGGTGAGTTCGACGTCCTGTTCATGTCGACGAGAACAAGGCGCACAGGTCCAACTGTAGCCTTTCGCGGGTTTGGATGCGAGAGGTGGGTTGAGACACTTCATGTGGAAGTACTTTTTACATGTGTCGCAACGCACGGATTCCGGGCCGGAAGCCCATCGATGGCAAACGGCACATCCTCGAAGTGCATCGGTGAGATCGTTGATCATGCCGGCTTCGGCGAGGACGAAAGAGTAGCGATTGCGCAAGGTAGTGAGAACTTCTGGTGGTGCGTTCTGAACCTTTTCGGTGGGGATGACGTCGTAGAAGCGGTGAATGTAGCGGTCGTAGAGCTGGTAATAATAAAAGTGATCCTCCTTTTTCTTCCATTGGCTGACATCGGGAGCGGTGCCTGAGCCTATCAGGTCGCGATGACGCACCTCGCAGATGCCGCGGACGTTCTCGAGACTGAAGACATCGGAATGCATGGTGGCTACGAGAAGGCGAGGGTCGTTGGTGCTGCGAAGGCTGATGTCACGCATGCGTAGGAAGACATTGGCGCGGACTTGCAAGGTGCCCGAAGAGCTAGCCAGTGCAGCTGCGCCACTGCGGGAGGAGGCGGCAGTAACAAACTCCATGACCCTAGCGATCATGTAAGGCTCACCGGCTGCAGGTGCCCATGCTGGTGAGAGGTAGATGTGGTCGTTGATGCCGATCATCTTACCATCTCGAATAGCTACCCTGGTGACGGGCGCTGCGGATTTGGCAGTGGAGGCGGAGGAAGGGGAGGCATCGAGGAGAGCCTGCTGCTGTTGCTGCTGTTGGAGACCGGATTTGGAGGCGGTCAAGCCAGTGGCAGCCAGCGACGAGGTGGCCATGCTGAGTGTAGTGCCGAACGCTGCGAACAGAGAGGAAGCAGTACGGAAACAGCAAGGCGAAGGATGACTGCCTCCTCCGCCACCGCAGCAAGTTGAGCCCTAGGGTTGGGGTGGGGCAACCTGCTGCGTGTTACCAGGTGCACCAGGCTTGAAGGGGGGAAAAGGGAGGTGGAGGGGGCCGAACAAGCTGGGCGCTCCAAAGTGGAGGAGGGAAAGAAGAAAGGGAGCACGGCTAGAGGGTATATGTGAGGAGCAAGACTCGAGCAGTGGACCGAACACGGGCTCGATAAATGAGTGACCCCACGTTTTACCTACCTTCCCGCAGAGTATGCTAGCGCGATATGATGGGGAGCAAAGCGGTGAGGAGGAGGAGAAGAAGAAGAAGAAGAAGCTAGGAAGGTGGTGTGGTGGGAGAGTAGTGGAAGGAAGGGAATGGTGCGGTTTCAAAGAAAAAGGCGATGGTTGAAAGCTGATGGAGGGTCGAGCAAAAATTGCAGCGGGTACGCAGCGACAAGCGAAAGCAAAGTCAACCTGTCCGCTAGTAGAGAGGTATTAGAAGAAAAGAAAGGTGGGAAGGAGGGTGAATCATGAACGGAGGAGGGTCGACATCGACCACAATGGCGAGTCGAAGCAAGGAAGAGAAGGGAGCAAGTTGGTGAGGGAGGTGGTGAGGGAGAGAAGGAGCATATGCGAGCAACACCAGACCGATCGAGCCGGAGGGTTGAGCAAGATCCAAGAAGGAAGGAACGACACAGATGATGAGCGGTTCGACGTTGAGAAAGTTAGGTCCGACAGGCCAAAATGACACAAGTGAGCAAGACAGAAGCGTGTGGATGCAGTCACCATGCGGGCCGAATCAAGGCAAATGAAAAGAGAAAAAGAAAGAAAAAAGGAAAGAAAAAAAAAAGGAAAAAGGAAAAAGGAAAAAGGAAAAAGGAAAAAGGAAAAAGGAAAAAGAACAAAAGGAAGAGGTAAGACAAAGGCGGCGTTGGCGGGAGCGGGCAAGAGGAGCGCAGAGGAGGTAGAAAAAGAAAAAAAAAAAAAAAAAAAAAAAAAAAAAGAAAAAAAAAAAGAAAAAGGTCAGCTTTATGTTGTAAAGTGTGCAGCTTGGAAGGACTACTAGCCGATCAAGGGTGAAGCCGGCCTGGAAAGCCAGAAGAAAGAGTTGGACAGCAGAGCATGCCCGGGGAGGAACGACTGAGTGGCGGGCAAAGCGAAATGCCGTCAAGGAAGCGTCTCGGAGATGGACTCCAGAGAAAGCAACAGAGCGAGAGGGCGCAAGACATGAAACAGGCGATGAAAGAAATGGAGAGTGGGGAAGAACGCTGCAAGCTAAGAAATGTCGAAGCAGTGAAGCAAGGGCAAGCGACAGTATCAAGAGGCCAAACAAGTGGATTGCTCTAGAGCCTCGATCACCTCAGTAGGAGGCAACAGATCGCCCCTCTAGAACTGTCTGGATGTAGAGGCTCAGAAATCTAGGGTAAGGGCAAAGAAGCTGGGAAAAGAGGTGGCAATGTTTTGCTCGTCTTGTCGTGCTTCGCAGCTGAAGCAAAGCCCATATGCAGGTCACATCGAGGGGTCGAGCTCGCTGAAAGTTGAGCCGATCGAGTTGCAGAGGATACATCTCTGTTGGCCCGTCCGTATGCTCACAAAGAGGTCCGCTCAGGCTTATGACCGAATGGACAGAGGCGAGGGTCTACATGACATGTGGCGTAGCAGGGGAAGAAACAGCTCGACATTGAGGCGATGGAGAAGGGGAAGAGACATGAAGCATGGGGCATGCTGCGAGAGAGGGTGTGATGATCGCGAGCACCAGACTGGACTGGATGGGGGAACAAGCAGGAGAACGAGAAGCATACATACCTCCAATCAGCGAAGGTGAAGCGGCTCCACGAACACGTAGATGATGGTGAAGAGGGTGGTGGGTAGACAGGATCAAGAACAAGGGGAAGCTAATTTAACTTAGCTAGAAGCAGTCGGGCGTAAAGAAGCTGTCGATGCGGGACGAGCGATGGAGAGGAGCCAAGGTTTTAGTGAGAAAGAGAGAAAGAGAGGGAGAGAGGGCGTGGCGGGAAGAGTCTGTTCAGTTGTGTGTGTGAGAGAGAGAGAGAGAGAGTGTGTGTGTGTGTGAGTGTGTTGTCTGGGTCAGAGTAGAACACAATGGGGACCGAAACTTGACTTGACCGCTGCCACCAATGCCGCATTATTTGGCTTGGCCTTGTTCGAAGAGGCATTATTTATTGATTGTCACAGACGCAGATGAACCCGACACGCGGCACATTCGCACAAGCAGAAAGAATCAATGGCAGCGGAAATTTTGACACGCATCCTGCAAACAGCTGCCGTGCAAACCTAAAGGGTTCGGTCGTCATCGCTACACGAATCTGCTCAGCATTGCCTTGTTGGACGAGCAAGGTCGTACAGCCATTCATCAGCACTTGGCATATCCTTTCCTCACCGTTTGCTCTGCGGCCCATGATATTGTTGTCGGATTGGCGTTGTCCAAGGGTGGAAGCCAGTTCAGGAGCTGTGAAAGCTCTTCACAAATGCTGGGCCTACCCTACGCAATCTGAGTATTGGACGATTCCAACGACCATACTTTCAATGAGAGGACAGAGACATTGAGACTCTTTGGAGGCCTATAGTCTTTGGCTACCAGAGTCGAGGCGCTCTTGGCGCAAGACAGGACAATGGACCGGGCGCAAGACATACGACCTGGAATTGAAATCGCAACACCCCTACTTTCGTGGAATCTGGCCTCATCAGCACTCCTGCGCCTGTCCAGTAGGGCTAGAGACAAGCATTCTTAAGGCCATTCATGGTGTTACAAGACCGAAAGTCGAGACAGGTCCTTTTATCGTCGCTGCATTCGATGGCGACTGCACTGCACGAGATGATGACCAGGTCACTCGTTCTTCAGACCCTCGATGTCCTGCACGAGAAAGCAGCCATCCTACTGAGTTGGAAGTTATAAACCAAATCATCAGCGCCGCTTCAAGCTTTGTGGACTCATAGCACTGAGTTTGGACGAGGGTGTGATCGGACGGCCGAGGATGGATACGCGCTCGATAATTCGGCCCCTCCCCCGCTGGTCATCCCTGTCATATCTGCTCGTCGACGGTGTCAGCAGCGTCATGTGTAGAAGTGACGTGTGCTCGATGCCACCTCTAGCGGTATGGATCGGTGTGAAGCAGTTTGGCTGGTATTGAGTGCATGATATGGCCCTGGCGGAGGCGGTGCTCAAGTGGATGGCTAACCAGACTCGGATGCGTGGACATGGCGGTGGTGGACATTTTTTTATTTTTTTTCTTTTTCTTTTCTTTTTCTTTTCTTTTCTTTTTCTTTTTCTTTTTCTTTTTCTTTTTCTTTTTCTTTTTCTTTTTTCTTTTTTCTTTTTTCTTTTTTTATCCCTCTCGCTTCTCGGATGTCTGACAACGGGCAGAAAACGAGAGGCAATCTGAAAGCGCAGTGTGCGGCGATTTCTTTGTCAAACGCTCTAATTCTTTCTACTTTTATTTGATTTTGAAAAAAGAAAAACAACAGGTTGCTCACGATCAGGGTCTCGACAGCCACTCACCATGCTTGTCATTATTGACCAGCGCAGCCGATCATGACAGGCTCTACCATCGATTGATAACTATACCGTTACGCTACTGGACGGCAGGAGCCGGCTTCGCTGAATCTGGAACGTCATTCAGACTCATCAGGCACACGTTGGCAAATGGCTTGCGATGTTAGTGATTAAAGAGGGAGATTGGACCTGTCCATCTCATGTGTCTCGGCTACATAAAACGACCAACATCTGAGTGCAGCACTTGTCCGATCGTGCTCTCACGATATCCCCGATTGACATTGCATCGCAAAGCCTCTCGCCCCGATCCCCCGTCTCCTGAGGTGAGCTCTGATGCCTGAGGCTAAGTTATGGTAATCTCCTACGCTAGACTAGGAAAGTGTCATCACAGTCGAGGCTCAAAATTGGCTTAGGGTTAGGCTCGGTATTCACACGGCCATGCTCAGGGCAGCTGCCCCGAAAAGCACAGAATCACAAAAATGTGGAGCAGCCAAAGCTTTGCTCTGCTCAAGTGCCTCCTAAGATGTAATATTGGTGCAGAGGCGTGCATGCATTGGTCTCGACTGCGCTGACGTGCCTCTCTCTCTCTCTTTTGCACACTGCGCAAGGGAATGACAGTTACCACATGCCCAAAGCGTATCGACACTCGATTCACTGTATCATTTCTATCTTACTCCCTTGACATCGGATCACATCCGACACCGTTTCTCACCAAAGCTGAGTTCCGTCTGTCACTTTTATCATCTTTATCTCCATCATCGACATCGCCATCGACATCGCCATCGACATCGCCATCCGTCGCAGCCCTCTTCCTTCGCTCTGTCTTTTCGTACTGCTATACATTCCCTTGAAAGTTACATCACGCTAGACTAGAACAAAACCTCCATAATCATCGTCGCTCCTTTCGATCTGTTCTCGATCCCATCATCTGATGAGATAACGTCGCTCGAATATCTCAAGCTCAGCACACCTATCGTGCTTTGCTGCGCTTACCGAGTTCGCATCGGAGGGCACTTGCTGGCCCTCATCCGTCAGTCAGCATGACTCGCGGAGTGGAGCATATCAATCCCGACCCAGACATCATCCCAGCTCGCGTCAATATCCATCATCTCCAGCTCCGTGACCTTCTTCAACCGACTGGCATCAAAGACAAGGTCCTGTTCGTCAGTCGACTCCAAGTCGAGCAAGCTGATTTCACTACCCTCAAGCAGCCTTCCACCTACTGCACACTTGACTTCCAGCCCAACTGTCTTGCTACAGGATGCGGTCTCCTCGCTGCGGGCGGTCAACACGGTGAGCTTGCACTTCGGCCTCTACACTCTCCTGTCTCTTCAGTATCGCATCTTCAGCTCGATCCATCCTATGGCGGAGAGAGGCCACCAGCACCATGGCTCTTGCGCACACCAACAGGAGGTTCAATCAACAATGCCATCGCCATTCAGCATGATCTCAATCACCCATCGAGCAGCCGTCTCTCTTCCTCCCATACCTCAGGATCAGCTTCTGCAACCCCATCTAAAGCAGACATTGTCGATGCAAGCCCACCATTCGACTCTCCTTCTCACTATCACTGGGCAAGAGACGAGCCTTGCTCTTCGAGCTATGTCGCCAGACCAGGTCTGCTCTTTGGTGACCAAGAGATGCAGTCTGAACTCTCACACAGTGTATTCCAAGAGCTTGCAGCAGCATATGGCTTTGATCCCTCCTCCGTCAACCGCAGTTCTCGTTGGCGTAGCTCTCCGGCCACTCGTGCAGCCGCCACTTCCTCCTCGGCAACGATCAAGAGCTCCCAACCAGCTTTCAGCCCCAACGCAGCCCCAATCAAAGTCATGGTCTGCAATAACGATCAATCGATCAAGCTCTACAAGCTTCGTCCGCCCAAACACCACCTGCACAGCATCAACAACCGCATCGAATCTGGTCTTCCCGGTCTCTCACGCAATACCACCCTTCATTTCCCTACGGCGATCAACCATTCTTCCCTCAGCCCTGATCAACGCACCCTAATTGCAGTTGGGGATACACCCGACGTCTTCATCCACAGTGTCGCGCGTTCGGGGGAGCATGTGAAAGTTGCGACCTATAGTGCGAGTAGTGATGCGTGTTTCAGTACAACTTGGTCTCCTGATGGGAGCAAATTTGCGGTTGCTAGTCAAGACGGTATCGTTTCGGTATGGGATGTTAGGAGTAGTACAAGGTTGGCCGCTGTCAGTACGAGTCAAGCTAGTGTGGCGAGTGGGAGTGGAGCTGCGAGGGTGGTAAAGTTTTCGCCCTGTGGCAGGTTTTTAGCGTTTACAGAGCATAGGAACCATTGGGGTATAACCGACACGGTCACTTTTCAAGAGACGCAGAGGCTTGTTGCTCCCCAATTGTCCAGTGTTTATCCAGGAGAAGGCTGGAATAGTGCAAGCAGGCCTGCAAGTATTGAGGATAGGTTTAGCTTGTTGACTGGCGGAGCAGGTGTGCAAGAGACGATTGCGAGGGATAGGGAGAGAAGGTCTATGATTCATGCCACTTTTATGCGCGAGTGGAATCGAGCCATCAATCTTGTCGATAGAGGTCCAGAATCTGCCTCATCCGTTATTAACCCTTTCTCTACCGCTTCTGGCAATACCGCTTCCATCACAGCCAGTGCCGGTAGTAGAGGATCTAACTACTTCCCAGACTGGCTAACAAATCCAACCTCCACCACATCCGTCGAAAGCAGCATCCGAAGGAGGGAAGACCTTCTCGCTGCTGCTCTCACACAAGGTGGTGCAGGATATAGACCTTCCTCCACTTTCGAGGGTCATACTTGTTCCTCTTCCACCAACATCTCTGGGTTGTGTTGGGATCCTGATGGAGAATCCGTTTTCGTTTCAACGGAGAGAGTTGTTGCAAAGTATAATGTTAACGATACCAGACTTTCTTGCTCTAACGCTACACTGCTCTAAGATATCACCATGTCCATTCGCTATGCGCTCAGCTCGTTCAGCTCGTTCAGCTCGTTCAGCTCGTTCAGCTCGTTCAGCTCGTTCAGCTCGTTCAGCTCGTTCAGCTCGTTCAGCTCGCTCAGATATCAAAGCATACCAGATCATCACTCATTTGTCTAGCCTCAGCCTCAGTCTCAGTTTTTGCATGCAATCAGTCATCGTTACAGCCATAAAAAATAAAAATAAAAAAAAAGTGTGCGTGTTGTGACAAATGTATTGAGATGGGTGCAGAAATGCTAGATGCTGACGAGAAAATGTTTTTCTTACAATGTGATACGATGAGACTAAACGAGACCGGCAAAAGAGAACATGCTTAAAAGTACAAATTGTGCGTGCTTGAGTGCGAGACAAGAGACCTGAACAAATGTGATGAGAGAGTCGTTGAGACTGTTGTGTCATAGAAGGCTATGAGCGAATGAGCAAATGAGCGAACGTGTGGATGCGGGCAAGGAGGCGCTTAGTATCGGATGAAGAGAGGATCGACGTAGTGTGCTTCCGCGTTGTTGAAAGGCGCATGAGCAGCCTGGTTGACCGCAGAGAATTGAGGGTAGGTGCTGTAAGCACGGTGTTGCTTAGCGGTGTAGTGGTGGTGAGGCTGGTGGTGGTGAGGCTGGTGGTGGTGAGGCTGGTGGTGCAAGGGTGAGAAGGCGTCGATGGGAGGGGTGGGGTATGGTGTGGTGGTGGCCAAGGTTTTACGCATCATTGTTGCGTCCTCACCATTCAACTGCTGTGCCTCGGCATGCGATGGCTGCCAGTGGAAGTAGTCGCTCTGGCAAGCAATCGGTGCTGGCATGTGGACACCCAAGATACCCCGGTCGTAACCAGCAGCTAGCTGCCAGTAAGCCAAGGGGTGATGCTTGGCCTGCATACCCGCACCAGCTCCTGCCTGCTGCTGCATCACGTAAGGAGCCAACAGCGTGTTGGGTGTCGATACCAAAGGCTCAAACACCGACCTAGGGCAAGGCTGAGCGAAGGGAGGGCTCAAGCCATAGTTGCGTGTTGCCGAAGTGAAGGCGTGCAGAGCTCGGTCGCGGTCGTCGCTGCCAGCCATGGCACGTCGCTTGTTGCTGCCGCGGTCCGGTGAAGGTGTGTGGAAGCAGTGCGTCTCGCTGAGTGGGCTTGTCGAGTCATGCTGAGCATAGGTCCTCTTGGCGCCAGCTGTGCAACGCTCGGGTGCAAGCTGAAGCAGCCTCGGGTCGGCCGACGACGAAGCAGGAGTAGGGTAGCCGGCGCTGTTCATGATAGCCTGCACGCTTGCAGCATCGATATCAAACCTTGGTATGGCAAGAGCAGGTGCCGATGCGTAGACGTGGCTTAGGTGGCTGGTAGCAGCGGCGGGTGATGAGCGAGGTCGAGAGTCGAGAGAAAGCTGTTCTGGCGACCAAGAGCGAGACTGGCCGGCACGCGAGTTGGCAGCAATACGGCGAGGAGCGTCGCAGATGGCCGAAAGACCGGGTGCTGAGTGTGGGTGCAAGAGTGTTGGCTGGAGCGGTCGTGCCGACTGGTGGTGAAGGAGGCCATGCTGACGAAGAGCAGCTTGACGAGCCTTCTCAGCCTCATGAGCGCCGAGGGCGAGCTGGCGTCGCTCGGCAAGAATCTCAAGTGTTCCAATCCAGCTGCGAAAGTCGGCATCGGAAGCGTGGATGTTGGAGGAAAGACCAAGCCAGAACTCGATCTCCATCTTGGTGACATCCTTGAGCTTGAGTCCTGAGAGCTCGGACCAAGTCTTGTTGGTGTAGGTGTGGTCATCGAGAAACTTGTTGGCAAGCATGAGGGCGGTGACAAAGAGGCGGAACTCGCTGCCATCCTGACCACGAAGACCAGGGTTCTTGGACTTGAGCCTGTGGATGTAGAGCAAGGCGAGGATGATGACCGACTTGGAGACCTGGGTGGTGTGGAGTATGTTGCGAACAAAGTCGGTGAAGCGGCGTCGGGGAAAGAGACGAAGTGTTCGTGGGTCGTTGGATCGTTCGCTGGCGCTAGGTCGTGAGCGACAGGAGTCGACAGCAGATCGGGCATGGGCCTCGACAGCATTGTGAAGATCGCGCACCGAGAAGGAGACGGCCTCAGAAAGGCTGCCGAGGCTGAGCTTCTTGGAGTGACGCTTAGTGGGGGTGGTGGGTGAGCTGGCGACAGAAAGGCGACCGTGACGAGAGACAGGGCTGGAAGCGGCGGAGAGCGAGTAGCTAGGCTCGTGGTTGTCGATACCGCTGAACCAAATGTAGCAGACCATCTGAGCACACCAGTCGCTAACCGAAGTGGACGACTTGAGATCCGAATCGTCGGTCGAAGAGGCTTTGGCAGCAGGAGCTGGAGCGGTGGCTGCCTCTACCTCGGCGTCCGAGTCCGAGGTTGTTGGGAAGGGGACAGGAGCAAGGGAGGCAGCGCATTCTGTTGCTTGTTGCTTTGCCGCCGACTGCTTGCGGGATCGTGGCCAATTTTGCTTGCCAAAGTAGACGGCATCACAAGGCAGATCGTTGCGGAAGCCGTCTGCAATTGAAAGCGCGGACTGAGGTTGTGCTACGTAGACCATGTTGAGCAACGACGAGGGCGGGCAGGATCAAGTCGAGTCGGTGAGCTACCAGAGCTACTAAGCTAATGTTGCAGAGGACAAGGAATGGTTTGTCTGTTGGTGAATGCTTGGTTCAAGCCAAAAGTGCGGATGGCAGCATGGAAGAAGAATCGAGAGGTAGGGTAGACCGGTGTTTTGGTGCGGAAGGTACGCTAGCAAGCTGATGACGATTAGGAAGTGGTGGTGAGAAGGTCGGCTGGGAACGTCAAGCAAGGTACAGCTGTCGAATCGTGTATGTGTGATGGGGAGAGCTGGAGTCGACGCCGTGACGAAAGGGGGAAGAGTGTCGATGCAAACGGTCGAGAAGAAAGATGCTCGGTGCAAAGAGTAGAGAGAGGTTTGAGCGAGCAGTGGGAGGAATGTAGAGGCTAGACGAGCGAACAATGACGAGAACAAGTGCGAACTAAGAGATGCTGGAAGGTGAGCAAGGTGAGGGAAGTTGAGCAAGGTGAGGGATGTGAGCAAGGTGAGCAAGGTGATGATGGTTGGGATAGAAGACGATGGTGATGAGAGAAGTAGATGAGCAAGCAGGCCAACGACGAGCACCTTCAAGGAGCTAGGAGCTGAGCACGGTGAAAGACGAGAGGAGAAGGAGGAGAAGAACCAAAACGTAGGAGGCAGGTGATGATTGCCAGAGTGTGTGATGGGAGGAAGAGGAGGATAGAAGATAGAGAATGGAGGACGAGGCTGAGGGAGGAAGGCTCCGAAGCATTGAAAGGAAGCGCAAGTGCAATATCGGCGGAACAGCAAAGGCAACCAAAAGGAGACCAAGAAGAGACAGACGTAGAGAGAGCAGTATACACATACACAAACACAAACACATACACATACACATACACACACGCACACGCACACGCACAATAGACTCAAGGCGACGGCTGCACCGATGGACAGGCACCGCCAAAGGAGTGCGGAAAGTCAATCCATCAACCAAATCGTGAGCCCATACCCAGGTATCAACATCGGTTATGTCTGATGGGATTTGGGCTCTTTTGGTGGTGGTGGAGGCGGAGAAATGACACAAAATGAGGCGGAGCCAAAAGGTAAGAAGAGGGTCAAAGCGAGACAGCGACAGCTGTGAAAGCAGTCAGTCAGAAACAGAAGAGAAGCCTGGCTGTCAAAGGGGGAAAAAGTGTGACGAAAGGGAGCGGACGAGGAGAGGTGGGCGGAAGTCCTGCTTTGGCTCTCTCGGCTCTTCCGCAAGAGATTGCGCTCTGAGCCTCGGTTCAGTCAAACTCAGATATCGTTTCAGGCGGTGATTTGGCAGAGGGTGAGAGTGGGAGAAGGAGGCGGGAGGGGGAAAGCGAGTCTAAGCTCAGCCAAGAGGCTTGACCTGGGTGTCGACCGAACAGCCAGTCGGTCGATGGAACGAATCTGGGTTCTAGCGGCGCCTTGATCCAGAAAGGTGTGCGCAGTTGCCGCATGGTTGGATTATGTATATGTCGCTTTTTTCTTTTTCTTTTTCTTTTTCTTTTTCTTTTTCTTTTTCTTTTTTTCTTTTGCCATTTGGCCCTTTGTGTCCCAGCCAACGAGTTGGAATTTTGCCAGTTGACGGTTCCACCAAGCTTTGAGAGAAAGAGAAAGAGAGGCAAAACAGTTGGGGGGAAATCACTACAAAACGCTAGGCGAGGCGAACTCTCACAAAATCACACACACACACGCACAAAGCGGAATGGTCGCCGACCCCCAAGCATGGGCCCCTCCCTGCATGCAAGGTATGCATGCCACAATATGCTATTTTTTTCTCTTTCGGTGGCCTAGACACTAACTACTGAACACACACACTCGAACTACGGTAAGCTACCAGTACAGATGAAAGCGGAGCAACTGCCGCTTCATACACAGTCGATTGTGATACTGTATTCGCCCGTCGAGATGTCAGGCAACAAGCCAAGTCTCGATCGAGCACATTTTCATGTTGCTTAAACCCATCTGTGTCTGACTCAAGGCTTTCAGAGAGAGAGAGAGAGAGAGAGGGACAACCACTTGGAACCCACTCAGAACCAAACGACTTGAAAGCAGCCTTCCTGTGTGTCGGGCACATTCGATCAATATCTACTGCAACATCAGTCGAAGGAAGCGAGAGTGTTGGAGAACGCGGGCCAGGCCTGATACTGTAGCTGATGCACGCTCAAATCCCACCTGCAAGAGGTGCCCTGCTGCTGCGCTTGGCTGTGTTGGGTGCTGCACTGCACTGCAAAGTGGGCTTGGATTGCATCTGCAGCGGCGGAAGCGGCCGCTTTTCATCAACGCCAGCAAGCAGCAAGCAGCAAGCAGCACGCACCCCCTTCCCCTTTGATCGCGGTCTCGCATTGGTGGTTTAGAGAAAATATCTAAATTAGACGAGACCATGGATCACAAAGCTTGTTTCAGGCGAGGCATAGAGGAAGCAAGTGCAAGCTTGTTTGACTCTAAACTGGTGGTACGCGAATCTCGAAGTCAGAAAGAGATTATTTTTTTTTGTGGCGGAAATCCAAAATGGTCCAACTTCGGCGTAATATGTGTCAAAGTGATCCAAAACGGGAGAGGCTTTCCAGATTAATGGATTGCTTGCTTGCTTACTTCGTCGACGTTACCTTTTTCGATGCCGAAGATACGAAAATGCAGAACAACCAGAGAGCGTGACAAAGTAGACTCACAGCTGAACCACAGCGTCTACAGCGTCTACAGGATGGTGCCGCGAGACAGGAAGCCAGTTAGAACAAGAGCCGTGCGCCTGGAGTCGGAGCAGCAAGACGAATCCATACAAAACGGACGGGCAAGCAGAAATTGCTGCCGAAGCAACGCAGTCGCAGCATGTGGCCGACGGCAAAATGATTTCCATAGGCCATTTTACAAGAAAGAAAGAAAAAAAAAGAAAAAAAAAAAAAAAAAAAAAAAAAAAAAAGAGGACCGATAGAGGAAAAGAGAGTCAAGCACAACACACGCAGGTCAAGTCGCTACGGGAAGCCTTGCGTCGCCTCAGTGGAAGCATGAAAGAAAAACGATGAGCAGCCAGCCACCTTTCGCTCATTTTCTCGCTGGGCTTGCTTCTACATTGGATCGCCGGTATACCAAACCCAACTCGTTCACTGCTGGGCAAGCCAAGCTTTTCAGTTGCACATGTGCAGTTCCATTTGATACGTTTCAACCCTCGCACACACACTTGGACTCGATTGCTTGATTGGTTGTTGTCCCGCATACCTCATTGCCGTGGCGGTGTAACTAGTTGGCGGTGGGGTGGGATTCCTCTTTGTTACTGCAAGATCAAGCCGCAAGAGAGAGAGCCGACGCCGGTCTTGAACATGCCAAAACCCTGCCTGTTCCGATAACAGAAGCCAAGACTGGCACCTCCTTTTATTTGTGCAAGGGCCTGCTAGGATGAGCTGTGGCGAGCACCGTGCCACGCTCCTGGTGGGATGTTGTCATTTTTTGGCAACATGAAGCGCACAGCTAGCTAACAGCACAGCTTCTTGCTGACCAGTGATCAGTAATAATACGACACTGATGCAACGCCAAGGGGAACACAGCGTAGAAGCATCGCATGGCAACTATCGATCCACAAAGTGAAATCTTGTTCGCAGATGCGAGGCCAAGCGGGCCGTTCTTGCTATTGTTCCTCTCACAAGCTCAGGGAGCCGCATGCTTTCGCTCCCTTTTCGGAGATCCGAACCATCAATTCATACCATAGCATAGACAATACGAGAGCATAAAGGAACGTTAAGATTGCGGGATGAGCGCAAGAGAGCGTCAAGGCAAGGGGAATACAGGGTGAGAAAAACACTTGAAGAAACGGCGAGCTTCTGCTAAGCGAGCAAGCTGCGAAAATGGGGGTTGATTGGAGAGGTAGCTGCGCCATGACTTGGCAGGATTTCTAACCTCGGATCACACCACGTGACTTTTCTCACGTGATTACCAAACCAACTGACGTATGTGCAGGCGAGCGAGATCGAGATTCTTGTGCCCTAAGGCAGCATTAGCTTCATCACCATCATCGTCCGTCGGCATCCAGAACGACCTCGCCAGCAGAGCTGTACCAATTCACATCTGTTCTTTCTTCTGAGCTAGCTAAGCTTCCTGAGAGTTGTGTCGCGACAGATACAACGTGTGAAGTCTCTTGTCGAACCAGCGATGCAAGACGGTGTTCCACGGGCGAAAGCATGTAACGAGGTGCGTCCAGGAAAACAACCTCGGTGACAACTTGCATGATGCGTGTTCCCATTTCGGCGCCCAAATCGTGCCTCGACTATCGTCCAATCTCTTCTAACACTTACAGTAGGCCGAGAAAAGGCAAGGTCGAGGTATGCAAACTCTTCGGCTAAAATCGAAAGAAATCACCAAGAAAATGATCCAAAAAAAGGCAACAAATGAAATTAATCAGGCAAGCCTCACGGAACCTGTGAAAGGTCAGATTGCGAGGTGAACGGCGAGGACACGGGTCCAGTAGCGAGGTCAAATTAAACTTTGGATTCGCTTTGGTCTTCATTTGGCGGAACAACACCACAGCAACCAACGCAACGACGTCCGAGTTGGCGGAGCAACGCTGCTCATCGCCACACCGAAAATGATTTGGTGTCCCTTCCACTTGCTGTCTACACTCTTGGCTGCTGTGAGTTGCTGTCCCTCTCGGACGTAGTATGTAGAATTTTCTTTCAACAATCCGGCAACACTCGCTACGCACACCTTGCCACCCTTTCATCCTCGACTACTATACACAGAACTCTTGCATTCAAACTATCTGCTGCTGAAGACCGTGTACACGGCAGACAGACAAAGACCATAAGATGATGCTGCTGCGACCAAGCCGAAAAGCATTATTGTCAGCTGCATGCGATCATTCTCCTGAAGCACTCGAGTCAGGCTCGCAGATCAGATCATCGCAGCCAGCAATCTCAGCAGGACAAGCTACGATGAAACAGTAAGAGGTTTGCTCGTCAGTTTGGTTTGGCAGTCACAGAGAAGGCGATACTGCAGAACGGCTGACAGCCACTGTCGAGATCGGGTCACCGCACGAGGCTTCTAGCCTGCAGGTTCCTCAGCTCCGACTACAGTCATCATTCTGCGTTAGCATTGTTCGGTTTGCTTTGCGATCAGAGGACTGCACTCTGCTACTACTGAAAAAAAAAAGAAAAAAAAAGAAAAAAAAAAGAAAAAAAAAAAAAGATGACCTGTCTTGTCAGCATTCAGTTCAAATCAAACCCAAGCACGCGACCCAGCCAGCCGCAATTTTGCATCGCTTCCTGTCCACATTTCGAGCCCCGCTCGCCTCTATGCTCCTTCTCCTCATTTTTGTCCTCGACTCGTCTCAAGCCTCGCCAACACAGGTCGCCTCCTCCTTGCCTCAGCTACTCACATGATGTCAACCCTACCTGCTGCCGCTAACCCAACCAAGCAATCCATCTCCGCCCAGACGGCCAGCTGGTACCAAACCACGTCTCCCGCATGCCATCCAATCTCCTTCGCTTTCCAAAGTACGGATGATCTGTTTTGAAATGTCATCGCTGCGTCCCTTTGTGCCTGAATTCAGACCCAACGGAAATCACTTTCGCTCCTCAAATTGGTGATCCCCACTCATCGGTCACCTTACGCCTACTCCTGCTCACCCTGCTTGCTTTGCTTCTCAGGGTCTTTTGTCCGCCAACACAAAGAAAAAGGCAGAACTGAGCCTGTTGTTCGCTGTTTCGAATGCTGGAGATCGCGAGGTCGTCGCTCCTGGCCTCATGTCGCTTGTGGCTTGCCTAACTTCCTGGTGGCTCCCCACCATTGTTCTCGGCTGCGGCGACAAAAACCTTGCTTGCTAATTGGGCTGAATCTGGTGGCACTTTGCTCTTACACAAAGACTCGCTCATAAAGTATCTGCCACAGTCCTCTGCACCCATGCCAGAGACGATAGACAGCGATCAGGCACGAGCTTTGACCCCCTGAATCAGACGTGCCGAATCAGTTCTCTGGCTCCTGCCCATCGGAGCCGCAAGTGCCAAGCCGACTATACAGAGGCGTGATAAGGCACCAGACAACGTATTGTGCAGCTTGCTAGTCGTCGGAAGTCAGTCTAAAACGCAATTACAGTTACATGGGACAACGCATTTGGACGAGGTTCTGAGGTCGGCGGACGTGGAAACCGGCAAACGGATCCTTCCAACCTCATTCTTTTCGTACAAACGAGTGTGTTGCGAATCAGGAGGGGGAAAAAGAGTCTCGGCGGAATGGGCATCCCAGCCTCAAGGTCTCGGCACCTAGCCTTGTCCATCCAGGGCGGATCTGCTTGACAAGACGAGATACAGCTGTTGCTGCTGCCGAGACCGCCAGCTAAGAACGGCCAGCAGCGCAGGGACGCTCACTGACGGGGAGGGGAAAAAAAAAAAAAAAAAAAAAAAAAAAAAAAGAAAAAAAAAAAAAAAAAAGAAATGTCATCACAAACTAACACGTCTGAGCCTACTGTTCCAAGCTTATACTCAATTTCGAGCCTCGCCAACGTCGCTTCTCCTCGCCTCAATTCTTAGTTTGTGCCAAGCGTGTGAGAGACCGGTCGACTTTCTTTTTCTTATAGCTGCTTACTTGGCCCTGCTGAAAGTCCTATCAACATAAGTGCTTGTCACTGTGAGATTGAGCGCGAGCGTGAACACAGGCAATCTTGGGTGTCCCGCGTGGCTTCCTGCGTTGACCTCTAGCACAGCACACAACACACACACAGCGTACAGTGTAGAGCACACAAGCTTGATTTGATGCCTTGCGCCGTCGTCGGGCCGTCACCTCTGCTGCGCTGGATGCTACGTCGACGAAGCTCGGCAATGCTCCTCGGATATTCGTACTGGCCTGAACTAGTTCGTCACTTGTAACCTTACCTCCTACAACAGAGGCTCGCTTCACAGGAACGACTCCGCCGAGGCTTGCCGTCAACCTGAACAGCATGTGATTCTGCACTACCACCGCATCGCCACAGCGCCACACTCGTATTTTTGAAGGGCCGCACAATGGTGCAAAAGCTATTCCGGCCCGGAGAATGATGATTGCTGCTGCTGATGTTGCTGCTTCTGCCGATCTGAAAAGCTTTATGCCGGAGACATTTGGAGGTCAAGCGGCCGGGAACAAGATTGCCAAAATGATGCCGAACGACAACTATGGAACTTCTCAAATCGGCGATTTCGTAGATGATCGGGTTTATGTTAGATCTAACATATGCTAACCATTTACTCTCACCTGATCGCTCTCCTCGCTCTTGGTTGCCGTGTCAAGCTGAAGCTAACAAGTGTTGGTATTGGTTGGCTTTTCGCAATTGACCGACCTTGACAAACCCTCGACTTGACCATCTGACACAGGGCAACAACCAGAACGCCGCCCCTTTCCCAACCTCACGACATCCTGCGACACGATACAGACTCTGGCCGCCTTCCGATAAGGCATTGACACTACAAAAGCCCTCTGCAGACTCTGATTTGCGGCTTCAGCAAATTACGAGAATTGCACGGACGGTACCGTTGAGGGCGACGATGCAGACCGAATCCAAAGCACTTCCTTCCATACCGAAAAAAGGCTCGTCACTGAGCCGCAGCAAGGTCGCGTTGCACGTCGAGGTCCGATTACGGCCGAGCTCTACCGCAAGAAACGAGGAGGTGCGAGCGGAAGTCACTTCTTTCTTGACAACTGACGAAACAATACATGGCGAGTCCGAAGTAAGAGACTTGTCAGCCTCGCCTTTCCTTACAGCCAACGTCGATAGGATACGAATAGGAGAGATCGCATCAGCACCAGATCATAGACCTGTACACATCAATGATGTCAAGCTCGAGGTACACGTGTACCAACCCTCATCGACCGACATTGTAGATGAATTCTCCGCCGCTGACCCAAATGCAGACGAAGGCGACGAGACGACAGCTGCCAGCGTGGCCGAGCTTCCCAACCGCAGTCTTGATGGAGTCTGGGATACACTGGTCTACGAAGACGGTATCAAATCAAAGCTGCTCAACTATATTTACACCACATTGCTCTTCTCGGATGCCAACGTCGACTTCAACCTCGTCTCGTGGAATCGCGTCGTCCTCCTCCATGGCCCGCCAGGCACAGGCAAGACAAGTCTTTGCAAAGCATTAGCTCAGAAGCTCGCAATACGTCTCTCAGATCGCTACTCACACGGCAAGCTAGTCGAGATCAACAGTCATTCACTTTTCTCTAAATGGTTCTCAGAATCCGGCAAACTTGTTCAGCGCCTATTCAGTATGATCACAGAAATGGTCGAAGACGAAGACGCCTTTGTTGTCGTGCTGATCGACGAGGTCGAGTCGCTCACTGCTGCTCGTAGCGCTGCTGCATCAGGGACGGAGCCAACCGACTCGATTCGTGTCGTGAATGCTCTTCTCACACAGCTGGACAAACTCAAGCACCGCAAAAATGTGCTCATCATGACGACCTCCAACATCACCGAATCCATCGATACAGCCTTTATCGACCGTGCAGATATCAAGCAGTACGTCGGTCTTCCACCGCCGAAAGCCATCTATTGCATCCTCGAGAGCTGTCTTCGAGAGCTGATCCGTGTCGGTCTCATCGCACCGATAGCGCTACCTTCCTACGACGTCTCACTCAGCCAGCATCAAGCGATACACCAAGGGGCACATACATCGGAAATGAGCGCGTCGAGTATGGCCGGCGTACAGCTGCTCAACATTGCATACGGATGCAAGGGGATGTCCGGACGCTCTTTGCGGAGACTTCCCGTCTTGGCGCACGCACATCATATCGGCATGGCAGAGGCACCAATCGATTGCGAGTTGTGGTTAGAAGCCATGGCCAAGGCGTTCAGAGAGATTCAGGGCGAGCAGCAGAGTACAGTGAATGGAAGCCACGGCGCAAACAGCACCGAGCTCTAGATCGTTGACACAGAAGACGATCGATTCGAAGCACATGCTGTTCGTTCACCACACCTACTTTTTTTTTTTTTTTTTTTTTGGTATTTGTAGTTGAATGGTACCAGTCACCGACGCCAATCATTGCCTCTTTGCATCTTGCACCGCAAGGTAGCCTCATACCTATGTGAAAGTCTGCCAGGCTGTCGGTTGTGATCCTATGCTAGGGCATGCGAGTTTGGAATATGTGCCTGACGGACAAGCCAGCCGGGTCTGGTCTGTGAGGTGTGAGGACCTTCGTGTTACTCAGCAAGGTGATGAGCCCGAAACTCGAAAAAAGGAAGCAAAATTAAGCATCGAAAATGAGGGTCTCGAAAACGATCTTCGGTTAAAAAGGACACAGAGGCTGGTACTAAGTTACTCACACTACTTGAGCTCTCAGGCATAGGCACAGGCACAGAGTGAGGCTTTTGCTGCGCGTGAAAGTCGTCAGTCGCGCACACACACACACTATTTGACGGGCCGGATGTATGCACAAGACCCTTGGTACCACCGAGGATAAGGCTGTGGTACCCTCTTCCAACACTATCTTCTTGGGACACCACCAACATCTTTCTCCCCTGGAACGTCCCTACACATCGTCACCTTTTCCCTCAACCCCTTCGACCCACTTGGATCGATCACAAGGGCCCCACGGATTGTCTTCAGTAGAACTCACACCGCATAGAGCCATCTCTTGTGTGCATATCCTCTTCCTGGAACACAAACGGACCCTCCTACATCACCTCAATCGTAGATCCCAAATCGCTACAAGTCTCCACAAGATGGCCACCGAAGCCCTTCTCCCCATCGGCGCTGCCTACTCCGGCGCCACCCAGAGTGACCTCGACCGTGCCAAAGCGCAAGCGGGCGAAAAGTACTTCCCCACCGTCTTCAACCCTGCCACGGTCCACAAGAAGGGTCGTGCAGTTGTCGGTAAAGGCCGTGCCTCTCTCACCAAAAATGGTTCCAAAGATGGTTTCGAACTATACTACGAGGTGCACGGCAAAGGACCCATCAAAGTCGTCTTTGTCATGGGTCTCAACAACTCTTGCTTTGGCTGGTTGCCACAAGTCGAGCACCTCTGCAAGGATGAACGCTACTCTTGCCTTGTGTACGACAACCGAGGTGTCAGCAACTCCGAGACCCCAGCTGGGTGGTACAAGACCTCCGACATGGCTGAGGATGCCTTCGACCTTCTCGAATCCCTTGGCTGGATCCAGCCCGGCAAACGCAGCGTCCACGTCGCTGGTGTATCCATGGGCGGCATGATCGGGCTCGAAATGGCACGACAGCGACCAGAAGTCATCATCTCACTCTCCCTCATCTCCACTGCCCCCGGTCGACGATTCCGCACTCCCACCTACGGACTTACCTCCCTCATCCGAGTCCTCGGTGGCCGAACTCTAGGCTTCGATAGCGAACAATACCGTCTCAATCGACTCATCACTACCCTCTTCCCCAAATCATGGCTCGCCGAGAAATCCCCCAAGGACACCTCACCAGGACGCACAAACCAAGAGGTGCTCTACGACATGTTCAAATGGCGCTACGCCTTCACCACTCGCCAATCCCTCCATGGAGCAGTGAGCCAAATCAAGGCGGCTCTGACACATTACATCCCCAACGCCGATCTTGAGCGCATCAACCGTTCCGTTGCCAAAATCTGCATCTTGACTGGTGACACGGACTACTTGGTGGATCCTCGCAACTCGGAGTATTTGAGCATCAAGTTGACCAAGGCCGAGTATCATAAGTTTGAGAATGCGGGTCATGCACTGGGTAATCAGATTGCGGATAAGGTCAGCGAGATTTTGGAGAAGGTCATTGCTGAGGGAATCGCTGTTGTCGAGAAGGGAGTTTGAGGGCTAGCGATACACTCTCATGATCTCCGACCACCGCCACAACACATGGACTGCATACACATACAACTCGCATACACGCATACACTTCCATGGAAACCTCTTTGTTCCTAAGGAATCGAGAAAAGTAGAGTTACAATCGCATCTCCTTGACGTCTGTGATATCCAATGTGGTCTTGACATGATAAGTTCCGGCTTCCTTCCTTCTTGTCCTTTCCTGAATTGATGTTGTTGCATTGCTCGACTCAAGCCTTCTTAGCAGTCACGCTGCGAATGGCCTTGTTGCTCGCAATCGGCCTCGGTGCCGGAGCCTGTGGCGCAAGCACGTGCAACCAAAGCGCTCTCAAGAAGAAGCATGATCCAATGACCAACGAAATGACTGCCTTTCCTCCCTCCTGGCTCAACAATCCCGCTGGCTTACCATGAATGTACGCCAACACACCGCCATAGCCCGGATGACTCAACGTCAACACTCCAAACACAGCACTTGCCAATGCTGGAGCGATGATATCCGTAAACTCCACCAACGACTTCGCTTTAAGGAACGGCGGAGTACCGAAGCTCCATCCCACAGGATCAAACACATGGAGCGTGAAGGCACTGATACCACCACCACAAGCTGAGATAGTACCGATGATGATCTGCAACAGCAAACTCGATCGAGCCACCGGGTTGGTGTGGTTCAAGACCATGTTGATACCTCCATATGTTGCTGCTGTGCGCGTTGCACCGTCCACTACGGGCAAAGCTAGATCGAGAAGCTTAGCAGAAGGAGCACCAAAGCTCGAGACGATCAAGGTGGTGGCTAGGTAGACAGAGAGATAGTTGATCCAAGGCCAGATGGTGAGGAGTTGGCCAGGGATCTGACAGAGAACGTAGTTGGCGATCACTCCACCACCCCATGCCATGACGAGGAAACCTGAAGCATCGCGAAGCCAGGACACGCGAAGATCGGCAGGTGAAGCGCGACCTTCAGCTCGTCGTCGGGAGAGGAAACCGGCACAGATGCTTCGGTAGGCAATGGCAACGCGAAGGGCGTGCAGGGTGGTTGCGAGTGGGAAGGGATAGAGTGTTGGGTGAACGGGCTGGGCCAGGCGCGCATTGAAGCTGGCCAAGGGAGCAAGCGCTGCTGCAAGCATCTCCCTTGAGACTGCTTGTCCAGTAATACAAGTGTGTGGTGAAGAGATGGTGGTTGCAGTGTAGGTAGATGTGAGAGAGGATGGAAGATCTTTTTGTGCGACCCTATCTTGGCTTGCTCGGCCCACTTGGCCGGATATCACGCACCAAAGTATATCATGGCTCGTGTGGGGAAGAAGCCGCGGCCTGCTGCCTTTTGTTTGCATGTGCACAGATCACTGACTTCCGCGCGTTAATCCATCACACTTCTTCTCAGTACTCAGCATCTTTACCTGACAGCTTCTGACATCTCGACTGTTGCGTGTCTCATCCTGACGGTGGAGTCCTGACACGCAAGGCTTCCTCGTCCAAAATGCCACAAGTCAACCCAGAGGTGTTTCATGGTGAGTTTCCAAACCCAGCGTCCATCCTCACTCCTCCTGCTGACACCAGACACCTCCCGCCTCTTCACTCCTGTGCTTACAGCCAAAGTCTACGACATCACCCGCCTCATCCCCCACGGCCGAGTCACCTCCTACGGTCACATAGCCAAGCTCACCGGTCACCCCTCACACTCCCGTTTGGTAGGCTCAGCACTCAAATTCCTCCAAGACCCCACCGTACCATGGCATCGCGTAATCAGCTCTTCTGGAGCCATAGCTGACCGAGGAGACGGCGGAGACGCAGCAGCACGCCAAGCACAATGCCTACAGGAAGAAGGTGTGACGATCATCCATGGACGAGGAGAAGGCGTAACCATCGACTTTGGACATGCAAATCCCAATGCAAAGTACAAAGTGAACATGGCTAGATTCGGCTGGTTCCCTGACCAAGTGCATTTAGAAGGATACGATGAGCAGGTTCAACGAGACAGAGATCGACACAGGAGCGAGAGGATGGAGGACAGACACGATGGGTCGGATTCAGAGTTGAGCGAGCTTACCAATGAAGAAGAATAGCCACCTCATCCACAATTTCTCTTTTCGCTTACTGTGGAACTCATCGCAACTTGATACCCGCCGCAATCGACGGCACAGTTTCACATTGGTTTCCTTTCGATCTTCTCACACAGTGTGCTTCGCCCGATGATGTTTGCTTTTCATGAGATGTCAAATCGCAAATGATTTTGGAGTACGATATGATGGTCAGTGGGACAGCTCGGCCGCTCAACGACGCTTCTTCTTAGATCCACCATCCTCGTCATCAGACCCACCCTGCTGGCGTCGCTTCTTCTCATCAGCACGAGCAGCCTTCTTCTCCAACTCATCCCAATCCTCGCCCTCTTCACTCTCATCCTCGAAGCCTTCGGACCCACTCTCGTCCTCTGCCGAGTCGCCGAAGTCACTAGCGGATTCTGACTCTTCATCCGTCTCCTCCTGTCCATCATCCATATCACTGCCGAACTCGGATCCAGACTCGCTCTCATCCGAACCCTCGTCATCCGAGTCGGCCTGCAAGAAGCCCCAACCGCCTTCGACAAAGAAGTCGTATGGATCCTCGTTGACCGTCTTCATGATGGCACCCCAGTTGAGGTTGACCGCTCCTTCGGTCACACAGATGTCAACGGAGTCCAACCACTGCTTGACATCGTCCAACGATGTCGTCGGAATCGAAGTGATGTGCATCGGCGCACGCGAGAAGTCCGAAAAGACGAAGACCATATCGAACGACTGTAAACCGAACTGCACACGTTCTAGATGAACAATCTCGACGTCCGTCAAAGTGATGACCAAGAAAGGTGGATCTGTGAGATGAACCAAGCAGTCGGTCGTAGGCTGCAAAAGCACATTAGTACGGAAGGGTACACCACTGAATCCAAGCTCGCGATAAGGAACATCAACGCTGACACGGCCCTCGGAAGCCTCAGCAATGCGCTCGGCAAACACCTTGAATTCCTTGTTGAGCTGCGACCTGCGTCGACGCTCCTCCTGTTCGAGCTCGATCTCGTCCTCGTCTCCCGAACGGTACTTGCGCTTACGGTTTCCGGTCTCGTCGAACTGAACATCGGATGCCTCGCGGTAGAACTGGATATCTTTGGCCTTTCTCTTGCCAATCATGATGGGCGACTTGAGGTGCACGTGCACAATGACGATGAGCTCCTTGTCACATGGCTGGAAGAAGAGGTGCTTCATGTTAGAGAAGAGCAAGTCGATCTTCTGATCCGGTCGCAATGGTGACGAGAATCGCAAACCATTCTGGTGGATGGTAAGGTCACCAGGAACACGTTTGCCTTCCATAGCAGGTCGTGGAAAGACTTCGGGAAGTGTGTACGTGCGCGACTTGGACAGGATGAGCTTGTCTTGCTCGACGACATCGGCGAGCTCCTTCTCCTCAGCTTCACGCTTGGTTGCCGACTTTCGCAACTCGGTGATCTCGCGGTAGAGTTCCGTGAAGCGCTGCGAATCAGTCGAGCGGTAGCTCATGCTACGCACGAATGTTGCATCAGGGTCATCGAATGGCACATCCTCCTTCTTACCAGCGATCTGGCCAGGTGTGACAAAGTTGAGACGCAAATAGGTGTACTCGCCCTCATCGCTCTTGCTGACGTTCTTGAGTGTATTGATGTGGAACGGCACCGCATAGCCGTAAATGGGGAGGATAATCGACTGAGCTCGATGATCGACCATAATCTTGAGATCCGCCACCTTGGATGGTAGCAAATTCTCTCGCTTGTAACTCTCGAATTTCTTGAACACCTTCTCATTGGCAGCATTGCCTTCACCGTCTTCGCCAGCGAAACGCGCCAAACCATCCTCCTGCTTTTGTTTGGCGAGCTCCTTCTGATGCGCTTTCATCTTTTCTGCAGCCGTGTCATCGATCGTGCCGCGGTTCTTGTTCCTGAGCACCTTTCCACCTGATGTTATTTTGCCGTCCGTCTTGACAGGGCTCCTGCGTTCCTCGACTTGCTCTTCCTCCTCGTCATCCTTGAAGAAGAAAGCCATGTCGTTGGTGCCGCGAACTCGATCGGTGAGGAAAGTAGCGGCACCGTCGTCATTGATGCGAAGGGTGTCGATGAGGAGAAGCGAGTAGACTTGACCCTTGTGGTTCGGGTCATCGAGATCTTGGAAGCCGACAGAGAGGTTGATGACCATGTCGCGCTTGAGTGTACGGTTGTTCTTACCAGACAGCACATAGGCACCGTCACGGAACTCGAGACCAATACCGAAACCGATGTTCTTGACAAAGGACTGAACGAGCTTCTCGTCCTTGGCACGAACAATCTCGACCGCCTTGGTGTAGATATCCTTGCATGTCGCTCCTGCACGGAGATGTTTGTCGGCGAGCTCTGTCTGAAGCTCGTGCAAGAAGGCGTACATCTTTTGCTGGCTGTTGTGTGGGTCGATGAGGTAGGTCCTGCCGATGTTGGAGCAGTAGTTGCGATACTTGATGCCCATGCTGGCAATGACGACACCGCCGTTACCGTCGGCACCTTGGAGACGCTTGGTAGTGGAGACGGCGGATGTCTTGAGATCATACTCGCCTCCGGACTGGACAATGGGTGTATAGCACCAGTCAGCGAGCGAGAGATCAGCACCTTCGAGACCTTTGACCTTCTTCCACATCTTTGAGTCATCGAGCTTGCCCTCGATACGTTCCGATAGTTGCTCGTGTGTGACCTTCTTGCCCTCATCGAGGATGGTAGACATCTCGTTTTCAAAGTAGCCAGACATGACAATCGAGCTCATCCTGGAAGCGTACTTGATAGCCTTGACCTCGTCCTCATCTTTGGAGGCCCATACGGCGCTGACCGAAGCACTGACGTCGACAGTCTTAATGTCCTTGCTCTTCTGGTGCTTTTCAAAAACATGCTGCCATTCGTCGGCGAACTTGCCGACAGGCTTGTCCTTGGGGAAGCTGCCGACCTTGCTGCCTTCTGCATCGATGCGGGAGATGAGATCATCCCAGATGGCGCGGTTGGCTGCTTCGTCTTTGGATCGCTTCAAGATGTTTATATCGAAGGAAGTGCTGCTCTTCTTAAGAGCTTCAAGGTGAACGGCCTTTGAGGCACTGGTGACAAAAGTGACGGCCTTTTTGGTGAAAAGAATGACGGTAGAGGGGAATTCGTAGCCGAGGAGCCATGAGTGGATGGCAGTGGTTTTAGAGTAGACCAAGTCGTCGTTCTGACCACCCATGACGACAAGGAGTGAGTCGACCTCTGCGAGCTGTTCAAAGTCACCGCTGCCATCTTTCCAAGCAAAAAGAAGTTTGTTGACCCTTCGCTGGAAGGCATCAGCATCGATCTGGACCTGCTCCGACATGATGGTCAATCTCTATCTGATGGGCAGCTGATGCAACAGAGTCTGGCGCTGCTTGGCCTTCGATCCGGGGAGGAGTCTGTGTTGCCTTGTCCAAAAGAATCAAAGGATCTTGCGCTTTGCACCAACTGAGCCTGTCGAAGGGTTTGCTGCTCGTGTGACCTGGACGTTTTCTGGTTTCTTTCCAAGACGTCAACAGCGAATAAAGCTGAAGAGGGGGGGGGGGGGGTGATGGAGGAGGAAGTATGAGGCTGAGTCAAGGTTGTGCGCAAAGTTGGCTTTGGACTCGCTCTTCCACAACGAAGTGGCTTGTGCAGCCAACATTCGACTCTGCTGCTGCTGCGCATCGTTCTGGGAGAGTGGGAGCGTGTCGCATTTCTTCCAACAGAGCGCGTCTCAGTCACAAGGGGGTATCAAAGTTTTTGCGATTTTAAAAATGCGGGTTTTTTCGAGAGCGCATTTTTGGAGGGAATTTGAACCCCCCCCAAGGAAAAGCAGGTTTCCAAAAACACAATGAAATCATACGGCCGATAAAATACATAACCTAACAGTGGTCATGTTACTTGTCACTCTTGTTGCTATTACCCATTGCTTGCTTATATCTTGCTTTCCTCTTCACACAATGCACTCAATGTAATGTTTCATATGGTGGTGAGAAGAATTGTATTGAACAGAAGAAGAGAGAGTGCCTGTCAGATTGAGAATGGTTGTGTCAAGACTTGCTCCTGTCTCCGAGCTGATGCACTTTGAGTCATGGCAATGTAGTCCACAGTAGTCCTCTCATGATGTCGAGACAATGCAGTAGTGTCTTCCTCATTGCACCCAGTGGATCTGAACAGTGCCTGGAACAAACCCTCTTGAAGATCATGTGCAGCAGAACTTCAAAGTCTTGACACTGCATACTGTGACATTCCTTGTGTTGCAGTGGCAAGATCCAGTTCATATTCCTGCTGATTTGTGCATCTTGTCCTCCTGAGCTCTTGTGTATCACTGGCATCAAGTTGGAGGCTTTGAACAACCTCACTCACCTCATCCTCAGAGAAAGAGGGCAACAGCAGGTCGGCAATATCAGCAGGATGGTCATATTGACTTGCAAAGGTGTGGGCAACAATACAGGCTTGGATCATCTTGGCAGCAGTGATGCAGTCCTTGAAACAGTAGATGTTACCATGATAGCCTGTAAGGCACTGGAAGCGGTTCTTCAGGTATGCAATGGCATGTTTGACTCGTACTTGGACTTGAGAGAGCATGTAGTTGAAGTGTCGAAGGTCTCGACTCTTGTTGGCAGCAATGTGAGAGAATGGTCCAACTGTGAAGGCAGAATGGCCATATCCACCATCAACCCAGATGAACTCACCTTCGTCAAGGTACAGGCGAGGCTTCTTCAGGATGTTGCTGTCTGAGGCCCAAACCTTTGAATCCTGAACACTGCCAGGCTGTCCAACAACTGATTCAACAATCTGCAGTGAGTGTGGCAGGATCACCAGTGCTACATTGATGCTGTGGAAGCCTTTGTAGCAGAAGTGCTCTCGACTGAGCACTCCTGGCTTCCAGGCAAGAGGGATGTGTGTGCCATCCACCACAAGCCAGCCCTTACCCCACTCTTCAACCCCATTTGTATTGCACACCCAGGCAGAAGCATGTTGTCTCTCTCCCTCTGAAGCAAACTGCATGACCTTGTTGTTTAGCTCAAGGAGGCCAGTGACTGTGTGATTGGTGTATCCAACAATGCTCCCAACACTGCAACCACATTGCAAAGCAGCATCACATTCACCACCTCCATTTCCAGAATGGCCGAGTCTGTACAAAGCCACTGAAAGAATCTCTTGCACTTTGTTGAGAGACATCACACCTGAGCTGCTGTAGTTCCACCGGAAAGCCTCTGTTTGCTGGAGTCAGATGGCGAGATTGTTGAATGCTTCAGGTGACATATGAACAAGTCCATGAAACATCCTATGATTGCTTGATTCGTACCTGTTGAGAAGGTGGATAAGCTTATTGGCATGGCCAAGAGGAGTGCAACATGTGATTGTGTACCTTTGCTTGCATATGAAAGTGTACAAGCAGACAAGGTGTTGTGAGAGCAGAATTGGGTCACCATCATCATCCAAGTTGTTGATGTCAGTGCTGCAGGAGTGCTGCACTCTGTTGGTGTTTTGGATGACCTCTGCAGGTATAGAGAGCTCGAGAGTGTGGACAATGTCATTGAGAATTACTTGCTTGTCACTGTAGTGCACCATGGCTGGAAGGAGGAAGGGAGTTGGAGAGGGAGCATGGAGAGGGGGAATGGAGAGGGGGGATGGAGAGGGGGGATGGCAGCAAGAGCAATGCCAAAAGGTTGCAGAGTGGAGTGGTGGTAGTAATGGAAGAGGTGTGAGAGTGAAATTTTTTGTTTAAATGCTTTTGAGCTCATTATGTGACTGTGCTGCACATCATTTTTATTCACCTCATACTTGCACTCTACAGAAAAACACTCAGAAATGACTTTGCATTGAGACCAGATGATAGTACATGTAATGCTACAAGACAGGAAGATTGAATGAAGAGTCCATGTTGTTGTTGTTGCTGGTGTTCTGACAAGCATCCTGTTCGATGCTGGCCTGAGAAGCAAGGAGGTGCACCATCTCCATCACCATTTCACGATCACATGTGCAAACACATTCATTGCACTCTTTCTCCTCCCTCTCATGATGCAGGCACATCTCCTCATGCTTGGTACACTCAGCCTCCAGTATTTTCTCATGTCTGGTGCATTCCTGTTCAAGCTGCAGGTGGATCTGAAGGGTATCAATGGAAGAACAATAGAAAGCTTCAGCAAGTGTGTCGCACTTGTGATCAAGGGCACCTTGCTTGTGCTTGGTGCTGGGAGAGAGCTGGGCTGAAGATTGAGAAGAGGTGGAATCAGAGACATCCAAACTGCCAGCAGTGGAGGAAGGTGGTCGAGCCTGCAAAGGTGAAGGTGAAGATGTGTTAAAGATGTCATCATCACCAGCGCCAGCAAAGGATGCACCAGAAGTGGATGCTGTCAGGGGTCTCGCGCCTGAAACCCAGGTCGGTCTGTCGAGATACTCGGTGACTATCAAACTGTGTGACAGCTATTGTCTCGGTATCGGTGACTATCAAGTTGCACAGTGACAACAGGTGGTGTTCGTTGTATATACTATCGTAGGTTTTGGCTGACCTCTGTGGACACTCCGTTCAGGGGTAGCTTGGCATGATCAATATCAATGCTTTGGTTATGATGACACCAAGGTCTGGTGTGAGTGTTGATGATGATGAGGTTGATGATGTTGGTGATAAGGTTGGTGAGTGTTGATGATAATGAGGTTGATGGTGTTGGTGATAAGGTTGGTGGCATCAACACGAGTGTCCAGTGTGTTGACTTGATGCTTGAAGTGATCCCCGGACTGCAGTGGACTACTGCCTTCGGTTCTATCTTGATCTGGACTGCTAACCTGCTATGGGCACCTTCAGATGTCAGGTAGTGGTGATACAACACACACACTACGATGAGGAGCAACCTTGATAGATTGCTGCTATGCTGACTGAAACTAATATATACTTATGCTGAAGTGATAACTAGTTATGGTGAGTAGAGTGGATGAGGATCCACTCGACCTTTGATGATGAGAAAGCATGGTTATATACCTCTTCACAGCATCGCCAGCGATGCTGCTCCTGCTCTCTACTCCAGAGAGTACCTTCTTCATTGAGTACTGTTCAGGGGCCTCTCCTGCCTGCTTGGTACCCCTGTGCCTCTTGAACTGTGTCAACTCCTTCGACACTGCTCCTCCTCCTTGCTACCCTGCTTGTTTGGCACCCTTGTGCCTCCTGAGTGATGTTGACTCCTTCGACACTGCTCCTCCTCCTCAGGACCTGTCGACCCTGCTCTTCTCGAGCCCCTGAGTGGTAACCATCTGCATGCTCCTTGAGCTTGGTCCTCTTCGTGGCTGTGCCTGGCCCTCCTCGCATCTGGGCTCGGTCCTCCTTTGCATGTGAGTCCATAGGAGTCCATGGTCTCCATGGAGACTGCACTACGACCATGCTCTCTAATGGTATCGACTAGATCTTTGATACCTGTGCTCCTTCCATATGAACCAGTGACCCTCCTGCTTCTTGAGCATCCAGGCCCATGACAGATGCAACAGCAGCCGGGGGGTTGGTGGGTTTGATCAAGTCGAGAATAGGAGGCAAACCACAGCTGTGAGTGCTGTGATCGTACAGCTCACTGCCACAAATATCCATGGGTATGTCAGCTGAGCCATTCAAAGGCATGTCAGGCTCGTCATTGCTGGTGAAGTCAAGACTGGGAGTTGTGATAAGTGCTTCAGGATCAGCATTGAATTGGCCATTCATCATCTCATGCATCCTTTCAAACCAAGCATACTTTGTTGACAGGGCAATGCGAGATACATAGGACTGTTTAAAATTGAAAGTATGAATCAGCATCCAAGCATACTATTGCAAGCAACAAAGATCACCAAAACTTACTGGGTTGGATGCATCCATGTCCTCCAGCAGTGTACCAGCTCCAGTGGGTGAAAGCTTCTTCTTCTCCCTGTAGTATGTCTCTAGCAGCCACCTCAGCTTGGACTTGATGCGATTGGGATCGACAGATGTGCCTGGGAAAATCATCTTGGAGATATCCTGAAAAATGGGATGTTTGCAAAGTTTGAGGGCTGGATTGCTCTCAGCCGATTCTCGAGATGGCAGCAGAGTGTGCTGGTAGGAGTCATTGTTGTAGAGGATAGTGACAAGGTGAAGAACATTGGCACCTGACCATGTCAAGTTCTTCTTGCCTGTGGCAGATCTAGAGGCTTGAGTTGGACAGGAAGTGTGGATGTCAGGAGCACTTGTAGAACCAGATTGAGACAGCACAGGCACGCTTTTGGTCTGAGTTGCAGAGCTTGTAGGTGTAGTGGATTGGCATAACAACTCTGCAGAGATGTCACCAGAATCATCAGTGGAGGAGGTCATGTTGAATGAGCACAAGGAAGAGGGAGTGAGCAAAAGTGCAACAAGAGTGAGGAAAGGAGAGAAGATGTGGAGTGATAAAAAAACCACGTTTTTGCAAATGCACCTCCTGAGGTGCATTTTTGAAAATGCGGTTTTTTTTCCCCTTTGCAGAGCTTATGTAAGCTTTTGCGTTTTTTTGAAAAACATGCTCTTGAAAAAACCTGGGTTTTTAAAAATGCAAAAACTTTGATACCCCCTACAGTCAAAATTGATCATCTTGTATGTCCCGATCTCGAGCAGCATCGGCGATGACCAAAAAAAAAAAAAAGCCTAACAGAGCTTGATGGACTATGCAAACGCATGAGAGCAGCATCGAAAATCACGTTATGGTACTTAGCTCGGCTGAGCCTTTTCTGCTGAGGGAAATGATCCAATGATGCAAGTTGACATAAGCCATTATGGGAGGGATCGGGGCAAACCAATCTGACTGGAAATGGAGCAAGGACCGATCCAATCAGAGATTGGCTACAACACAGTCCCACACATTGTCAAGCTAGGTCATGAAGAAGGATGCTCCCACACTCGGCATGAGCCATGATGATGTATAAATATCAAGCTGAGAGCACTAGGCTCTCACCATGTTCCTTTGGCCAATTGAGTATAATTGTTTCTGTCTAAAAACTAGCAGTGACATTGTACTTAGACTCTACCTGATTGCCAGTTATCGGGACCAAACTCCAACATTAGGGGGTTTCAGGTTGTTTTTTTTTTTTTTTTTTTTTTTTTTTTTTTTTTTTGAGTTTTCACTTGCGTCGAATATTCATTACTTACGTAAGCTCTGCCATTTTGGAAAATACCCTAGTTTTTGAAAACACTGCCTCAGTAGTACCAATGCAGCAGAGTTTTCAGAATTGGACCTGAATTTTCACTCACATGATGTTGCATGTGATGTTGCACGTGATCTACTTGCACAAATGCCTCCACTTTTCCTGCACAGCTTGTTTTGCATGAACCCACAGTGTCAATAATGACTGTATATACTTTGATTGTGTGACAAGAGTGTTAAAGATGGTGGAGCTACAAGGTGGTTTGGATTTCGGAACTGCTTCATTTTCCGGCCGACACTACCCTCCCTTTGTTGGCTTCAAAAATTAACCCTCTAAAAACACAGCTTACATTTGGGGGCATCAATTTTCTGAGCTTTTTTTAGTATTGGAAGACTCTAGTTTTCGTGGGCAAAAAAAAACTGAAACCCCCTATTTTCAGAGTGCAACACACCAAACAGGGTTCAGCGCTCTTTCGCTCGTTTTTATTATTTTATTATTTTATTTTTATTTTTATATATTATATGAGAAAGAAAAGAAAGGGTCCTCCTGGCTGAGCACGGCAAGTGGTCCGTGAATGGCGAGAGAGAGGGAAAGCCCAGCTGATATGTGGAGCGTGCGTTGTTGCACTGCGCGCGTGTGTTCAGCCAGTCAATCAAGTGTGCGGATGGAGCAGCCGTTCATCCCCTGCTCAGCCTCGCTCCTCCTCCACACTTGCCCAGCTACGGTCACCATCTCTATCTCCATCCGTCGTTGCTACTCTATCTTCAACATTACGACCATCACCAACACATCAACACTTTCGTCTTTGCTTCGGTCTCGCCACCTTGATCACAATTCTGCAAGTCATCTTGCCGCTGATAACAACGTACACGACATAGACTTGGTTCGATAGTCCTCCTGCCCTTGCTATCCTTTTGATAACGGGTGAAGCTTTCAACGGCTTCCGCTCTTGAAGCACTTTTCCAACTTCGAGGTTGGATCCTTGTATTGTTTGCATTCGCAAGCGCACTCCTCACCGATCCTTGAGGTCAAGGCGTAAGCGACTCTTCGGTGAACCGATAACAACGGCCTTCTCCCACACGTCTCGGAACAAGTTCAGCATCTGCTGAATCCACATATTCACCACAATCAGTTTCCAAGATGCGCTCAGCTTTCAAGAACGAGCACTCATTTGAGAAGCGCAAGGCCGAGGCGGAGCGTATTCGTCAAAAGTACCCTGATCGCATCCCTGTCATCTGCGAAAAGGCGGATCGCACCGATATCCCAACGATTGACAAGAAGAAGTATCTTGTGCCCTCAGATCTAACCGTGGGCCAGTTTGTCTACGTCATTCGCAAGCGAATCAAGCTCGCACCCGAAAAGGCCATCTTCATCTTTGTCGACGAAGTCCTGCCTGCCACCGCAGCACTCATGTCAGCCATCTACGAAGAGCACAAAGACGAGGATGGCTTCTTGTACGTCTCCTACTCTGGCGAGAACACTTTTGGCGATCTTTGACGTCGGACCACCGTCTGAAGGCCTATGTCGAGAGTGTCTGTACTTGGCTTAAGCCTCAAGGGAGCGCCGATTGTGCATCGAACTCACATCTCTGCCCCAATCCATCTTGCGGTTCCTGGAGACTACGCTCGCTGCAGCCAACGCCACATCAATCGCACAGTGGCTCACAGTTTTAGGCTTCATTGCTGGTTGGGCGTTGGTTTCTTTACGCCCGATGGCCTTAACAAAGCTAACCGCTCCTGGACAATCCTTACCTCCAATCTGTCCAGCACGCTTTCCGCTTCTCCTTCCGCATCAATGTCCTATCTCGACTCGCCTTTTAGTCGTCCTGACATGCTCTCTTCCGCTTCGTTCTGTTTGTAATCTACGTATCTTTCGCTCCGGCCCTGTCTTGCTATCAAATCATCTACTGCACTGTCCTGCTCGTGGCTACGTACTCGATCGTTCCTGCTTTCGGCTCAACTTTTCTGAGCCAACGGCGAAGCGTAAAGTCGTCACTCGCTCGACCAAACGAGGTAAGGCTTCCCTCAACGATTACGGCGGATCGTCTCTCAATGGGTGTCAATAGCCCCACATCATAGCTCGATCGATACCGGACAGACAATCAATGGTGGAAGCAAGTCTATCAAACGGCTTTGCTCACTGTGTAATGCACTTAATATATATAGCAAGTACAGTATGCCAAAACGTGGAGGCTACTGGCGAAGCGTTGCCAGTTGCTGTCGAGACTTGTCGAGGAAGGCTAGCTTAATTTGTTTGTTTCTTCGTTCGGACCGCTGCTTGGGCGTTGATTGGCGCACAAAGGGTTCATACAAATCCACAAACAACGTCGGGTGACGAGGAGTAACTCAAGAGCTGTAGACTGCAAAGATCGACACAGCACAGCGTGATAGAGTTGCTGATCTTGCTGTTAGCGTGGTGTGTTGACGTTCGACTCGTCCGGTTATGCCTTGTCGAGATCTTGCCAATATCCAGCTTTTTCCCTTTTTTTCTTTTTTTTTTTTTTTTCTTTTTTCTTTTTTCTTTTTTCTTTTTTTCTTTTTTTCTTTCTTTTTCCAGCTGAGAAGCGCAGCAGCAAACAGTAACACTGAGCAACAGCAAAGACACTCAGAGCTCGTGAAGGAAATCGGGCACGGCGGAAAGGCGGAAAATGGAAGTGATGATTGGTCTGGAGACCTTTCTCATTTGCTCGCGATGAAGATCCTTTCCTCGTCCTCGACATCCTGCCAAAGACGTGCATCATCATCAGTTTAGCTTCGGCACCGTCCTGGTCACAACAACAGCAAAAGGCCTCATTTGACGAGTGCCGAACCACCATAAACGACATCTTCCTAACTTCCTCTTTCGAAACGCCATCTCCAAAAAGTGCGGAACGCGACCAAGGCGCAGCACGATCCTCGACTTGCTGCGATTTCTCTCCTCGCCGGTCTTTCTGAAGGAGCTTGACAACGCTCACCTAGCCTCACTTCTCATCCATATCAACATTCTCCAACGTCCTATCCATAATCATGTCTTGTATCTGAAGCTTTCGAAATATCGGCTCAAATCACAAGACGAGTGCAATTTGACTCGCATCATTGTCTGCATCTCTCTAACCACTCAGCAGTCACGCCCTGAACGATACTGGTCCAATCGTTCGCTTGCCAGATAGGATACGTTTGCCATCATCAGAAGCACCCGAACATTCATATTTACCATGGCTGAAGAACGTCCTAAAGAGCCAGAGATCAAGGTCTCGGAAGATGGCATTAACGCCAATTTCAGCCTGTCGCCCAGACTCGATCAGCCTCCTTCACGACCGATCGGCTCAGCGCTTCGAGGCAGACATCACCACCACAACCGCAACCACTCGATCGACACAAAGGATCGCACCAGCCCCATCCTAGGTTTCGCTCCCTTGCAATCTTCGGATCGATCCTGGAGCGTTGCCGACCTGGGCGGTGCCGACCAACACTCCTCCTCCTCTTCCTCCGACTCGGCATCTTTGGATCCATCTCGTGCTCTGAACAGCTCCAGCGACCATCCACGATCCAAATCAGCATCTGCCATCAACCTGTCCGCTTCCGCCTCGCCCAACCTGTACCCATCGTCAGCACGAAAAGTCAGCGCTGGTTCTAGCTCGAGCAGCAGTAGCACCGGCAGCACCTCGCCTGATGCAAACTTCTCATCCGAGTCACGGCGATCTGGAGCTCGCACCGCAGATCGATATCAGCCCAATGGATCCACACACCATCTCACTGAAGGCAGCAACCGACGCACTGCCTCTCCCGCCCGCAGCTTCGCCGGTGCTCCCATCTCGCCACGCTTGCAGTCCACCATGTCGGCACACGCTGGCCTCGCCCATGTCCGTCGCACCAGTGCTGATCTCTCGCCAGCACCCTTCCGAGCTCCTTCGCCGATCTTCCTTCCATCCGTATCTCCGCCCCCTGGGCCCACAAATCCTGACCCACAACACAGCTGGGATTCAGTTTGGCCACGCTCTTCGACTCCAGATCGTACCGATCAGCTCCGTCGCATGGGCTCCTGCTCTCCCGTGGCCGCTTCTCCTGGTGGTGCATCCCCCTCTGCGCTGTCAGATTCAATGAACCTGTCCAGGTCTCCTTCGACTTCGTTTGAGTCAAGCTCTCCAGCTGGATCCTCTAACACGGTACTCGGTAGACCCAAGGCAAGACGACCGCATGAGCTGCGTGGATCATCCTCATCGCCCATCCTGCGCATCAGCCCCAGCGGCCTTCGCGACAACCATGACTCGTCCAAAAACCCTCGCAGAAGTCTGGAAGCGGCCAAAACAGAACCTAGCATCAGGATCGGCTTCACTCCGCCAGCTGCGCAAGGCGCTCCCGGAGAGACTTGGCGGCCGTCAAGTGCTGGCGCTGCCGTTTCTTCTCAGAGCCCAGCAAGTCGCGTGCTCTCACCAGCCACGGAAGCAACACCCCAAGTCGATGCAGCAACTGCAACTGTGTCCCATCGCTCTAGTGGCGCCTCGGGTCTCTCATGGATGCCAGAACGCGCCGAATCTCCTTCAGCAACTTACGCTGCCGATCCAAGGAAGCGATCGACCTCGGTGCCTGTGCCGCACGCACTACCACTCCCAACCAGAACGCCGTCGCCCAAGATCTCGCCTACTTCGCCCTTCCTTGAGCTGTCTGCTTCATCCGCTATGGGATCCAACAGCTCCAATATGGGTCTCAGCGAAAGCCCGCCCAAGACACGCAGCTTCATCGCCATGCCGCCTCGGTCGGGCTACGAACTCAGCGACGATCCAGATGACGTCGGTTCTGAGGAGGATGGCTCTAACTCGGAGAGGGAAAGCGTGGGTACCAACGACGAGGACCTTGAAGGGTCTGAATACGATGATGAGGACGCCGCCGACGACGGTGATGCCATGGACCACGATAATGATGATGAGGAGGACGATGACGACGGCGAGCGTCGCGAAATGCCGGCAGATGACGAGGAAGGTCAAGTTAATGGCACATATGCATATGATGACTCGCATAATCAAGATGCAGGATCACAACAAGAAAGGTCCTCGCAGTCCAACGACATCACAGCACCTGAACGACCTACGCTACCGAAGCGACCTAGTCTCACCCGATCTGGCGTGGTGCCGCCTCCCATCACCGTTGTCGACCACATACGCAGTCCCTTAGATCCACTCGCCCAAGCTGAGAACTCTGCTCGAGCGCTTGCTGCGCAAAAAGGATCGACTGGCAGTGCCATGCTCAACTTCTTCCGTGACGAGCCCAGCGCGCAAGATTCGCAGCAGCTTGGTCTCAGCGGCGATGCTCAGGTCGGAGATGCCGTCATGCCCTCGGCCCTCGGTCTTGATGCAGGCGAGGCACAGCCTCTCGACGCCATGATGGAGGAAGGCGGTAGCGGTCTCGCCGGAGATGAGGACGACGACGACGATGACGAGCATGGCTTCGGTGGACTCGAGAACGCAGAAGAGGGCCTCAACACGCTCGAGCGCATCTTCTTATTCGCCAAAAGCGACCAGGCCTACCACAGAGTCTTGGTGTCGCAGTCGCTGCCGGAATGGATCCGCGAAGTGGAGCTCAACGATGCGGTCGAGTACATCATCCCGTTGCTCAACGGCCTCGCCACGGACGAGCTCGACGTGTGCGCTGCGTTCGCACCTGAGATTGGCCGCGTCATGTGGTTCTTCTTCCGCAACTGTCCCATCGCTGAGCTCGCCGACGAGTCGACCGAGATGCACAACGCAGACGACGAGGAGTCAGAAAGGGCGTCGCGACCCAAAATCAGCCTCACAGCCTTCACGACACTGCTATGTGCTCTGTTGCTCAACCAGAACACCATCATTGCCGGCGCTACCCAGCAGTCCCTTGTACATCTCTTCTATCGCCTCGACCGACGCGACCTCGAGTACTCCAAGGAGGAGCTTGCAGAAAAAAGCCAGGAGGAGATCCAGGCTCGACAGCAAGAGCAGGATCTCGAGAGCTACGTTACACATGCTTCTGGCAGAGATGGCCAGCCCGTACCCCACGAAGACTACCACTTTGACGACAACGCCCGCTTCGCCGTCAAAAACGAGCTTCTTGAGAATGTGGCGCTCGCGCTCGCACAACTCAATCACGGTCGCAGTGGCGCTGAACAGGGAGAGCAGGAGAGCCAAAATAGCAACGTTTCATCCGAGCCGATGTCTGGCGAAGCAGATGGTCAGCACCAAGCACAATCCTCGAATACCGAAGATCAGGCCATGGAGGAGGACAAGGCAGACAGCGCAGAGAAGAACGAATTCACTGCCGCATTAACAGAGTCGTCAGAGACCCAAGCGGCTACAAACGACGCAATGGACGAAGAGCAAGATCTGGAAGTGGCAAACTCGTGGGGTCAGAGCGGCAACAACATGTTTGGTCACCAGAGCGACGGCTCAGGCAGTGATGTTCAGATCGACGAGGATGAAGAGTCGGCTGTTGGCCGCATGGCCTCGGTCAGCCTTCTCGCGGCCCTTGCTGCTGACGAGCTCATCCCACAAGACACGCTTCTGAACCGTTTCGCCCCCGAGGTGCTCAAGCTCATCGACGACGGTGCCTTCTACGTACGCAAAGAGGTGGCTAGCTCGCTTGGACCGTTGTCACGCAACATGACAGTTGAGTCCGTTGAGAACACGGTGCTACCAGCACTGAACAAGGCGATCCATGACCGCAACTGGCACGTCCGTCAAGCTGCATGCTTCTCAATCCCCGCCATCCTTGGAAGACTCAACGAGAAACTGCGTCGCGACCAGACTCTCCTCTTCATGCGGGCGCTGATCAATGATGTCTCACGTCAGCTAAGGATGGCTGCGCTCGAGATCATCGGCGAGGTGATCTATATGTTCCACAATACCGAAGTCGGCGTGCCCGAGGAGCTCATTCGGTTCTTCCTTGGTGAGCCATTCGATGGTCCACCGCAGCAAGGCGATGCGTCGTTGACATTCGACAAGACGAGCGATCAGACCGGAACCGAGGCGCTTTTTGAGGAAGAGAGCGCTATGATGATGGACGGCAATGTCGATCTCGGCGTGCCCTCGTCTCCGCGAGATGACCAGGACTCGCTTCTAGCCAGCTTCGGGTACGGTGGTAACGACAGCTCGATGATGGATGCTGATCCGTGGGACACCAAATTCCGCGTCGACAACTATGATCCAGAACGTCCTCTTGTGGTTGCCTACAACCTTCCTGCTGTGGTGCTCACGCTAGGCGCAAACCAGTGGAGCCGACTCAAGCTGACCCATGCCGAGCTGACCAGAAGCCACAGGCCGAAAGTCAGGAAGAGCTTGGCGGCGTCCTTGCATGAGATCGCTAAGATCATTGGCCAAGAAGCGACGCGCGATGATCTGCTGCCGGCAGCAACGCGATTCATCAGCGACGACGACGCTGAAGTACGTACGGCCATGTTCGACAACATCGACGTGTTCCTGTCCTGCTTGCCTCAGGCTGGTGCTGAAAATATGCTCTGGGAGCTCCTTTCACAGTGGTCTTCGGGCTCGTTGAAGGACTGGCGTTTGCGAGAACGTCTGGCGCTGCACATCCCAAGCATGGCTAAGCAATTCTTGCTGAACGACGAAGATGGCAACTTGGTGTCGTTGATGCAGCTTGCACTTGCCGACCCTATCAGCGCCGTTCGAGATGCGGGTATTCACTGTGTGCCAAATTTGTACAAGGCATTCGCGGAGCACGATCAGGTGATAGCGGATGGCTTCTTGGGCATGGTCAGCGATCTCGGAGAGAGCCCAGGCTACCGACTGCGTGTGGCCTGTCTGCTCTGCATCGGTGCTTTGGTTGAGTCGGGCATGCAGAGGTCATCTTGCGAACTATTGCTGCTTAGCCGACTCAATCAGATGGGCAACGACAGTGTGGTGGATGTTCGCATCGCTCTCTCTCGTACACTGGGACAGATGTGCCGCAAGGATGAGCTGTACGCGCTTCCTCAGTCTCGATCAGAGGAACTCAACAAGCTGATCGCTAAGCTCGCACACGATGAAGCGGACGAGGTCCGACAACCTTTGACCGGGATCCTGTCAGAAGAGGAGCTCAGTCGCTTCGCCACGCTTCCACGACCGGAAGGCGCAACAAGGGAAGCTACACGCAAGCTTGTGCTTGGACCTGCGGATGGTAGACCGCATCGTCCCGAGGGCGAAGGTGGCTTGACCAACAACTTTGTCGATGCAGATGAAGATGACAGCGACATCAATGTGTTCCACATGGATGACGAGAGCAATACGGGCGAGGAGGCTCCAGGTGACGACAAGCACGACGATAAAGAGAGTCAGGCAGGAATGGAAGCCGACTCAAACTTGCCTGGTCACCTGAGTCAAGCACAGTCGGCTCAGCATCTGGAAATGTCTCGTGCGAGCATCTTTGGTGGGGCTAAGCGACAGACGGATCTGGACTTTGGCTCGGACTGGGTCAACGCCAACGGACCTGCGTTCTTCGACTATGGCGACAAGGATGATGCCGACGAGATTGAAGATGAGGAGGGGCTGGATGAGGAGCCTCACCATCTGCTGAATGTGGACCGGGACTCGAGTGGCTCTGGCGAGTTGATTGAGCACGATGCGCTCAACGAAGACGGCCAGACGCAGAACAGCGAGAAGGAAGCCGAGGGAGCGGATGCAAACGGTCAAAAAGAGGATGAGGAATTGCAACAAGCAGCGGACAAGAGCATGGAAGAGGCAGATGCGGATCACGGGATCACGCTCTCTTCACCTCAACGTGGACTCGTCGGAGCCACAGGTTTTGGCGGTGAGGGCGATACTTCATCGGATAGCCCTAGCCGACCGAGCTCTTGTGCTGCTGCTGCTGCTGCTGCTGCAGGCAGTGGACAGAACAAAGCAGCTGATCCGTTCCTCGCCTTTGTCGCTGGATGCCGATCGCAAGACCTCTCGAAGCTGCATTTGGATCTGAGCGGTCGCGAACCTCGCTTGGGTGCGACGAAACGTTGCCGATTGTCAAATGGTACAGCCGCACGCCAAGGCGAGGAGGGCGGCGATGAGGGAGAAGTCCTGCAAAGTCCAAATGGAGATGAAGAGATGATGGGCTCTACGCGATATTTTTCCAAGTCTTCAGGCGACTGGTCGCAGCTTCGAGGCGATGCTCCTCCGCAGCAAAGCACAAGTCAAGGCAGCGGCGAGACTGGATGGGAAGCGGAAGCTGGCGAAGACGACTTTGTTCAAGTCTAGGAGGGTTCACATCTAGGATCTCTCGATTCTGGTTCGTGAACATGAATCAGCACCTTGGTAGCATGTTGGATTTCTCATATGTACTTTATGTCTGCTAGCACCCAAGCACGTTGAGATGCTTTAAGTTAGTCAAGTCTGCGGCAGAACGTGGGCACTACTTTGTCGGCTGACAGGTGAGAGAGAACAACAACAAAAAAAAAAAAAAAAAAAAAAAAAAAAAAAAGAAAGGGGGAGAAATGCCGTCTGGACTCAATCGCACGAAATAAAACCGAGAAAGTATAAACCTAACACGAACAAACCAAGTCAAAGACCCGGGCTTTGGTGAAGAGAGGAGCGGAGAAGCGGAACAATTTGATTGTTAAGTCCAGCCCAGACGCCCCGGCCTTCAGGACTGACTGATCACGTGATGCATTCACCCTTGCAAGAGGGTTCAAATTGCAACTGTCAATCATCTGATCTGACAAGTGGAAAGCGCTTTTCTACCAATCCTACTCGGCTGGTTCTTGGCTCGCTATCAACTGGTCAGGCCGGGCACACACGCGCCCCTTACGGCAAGGAAGGATAGCCTTTGATCGGTGTCTCGCTTCCATCTTTCTCCCTTTATCTGCGCGCCCGGCATTTGACTGCTTGGTTGTTTTGTTTCTCTGTTTCTTGGTTTGATCCGAGAGAGTAGAGTTGAAGTTGCTAGACTGGAGAAAGGAAAGTGAAGGAGAAGAGAAGAGAAGAGGAGCGATATTCGAGCCTAAGGTGATGGTATCATTCCGTATCTTGCCTGTTCCCTTGGCATCGTGAGCGATGAGAAGAAAGGAAAGCTCCAGTCTCTTGTGTGAAGCAAGGTTGAGAGCAGTCAAGCCTTTGCTACTGTCACTGTGAGTGTGCGCTTACCACGGTTCCTAACTGCCTCACCACTGTCAAGCCTCGTTTCTGTGACCAAAAAGAAAGCGTAAAACATTATTTACAGTCTCTTCCACTGCTGACTGCGATGTGCGGCCCTGGCTTAAGCGAGGATACAGTTCAATTCCCCACTCTCTCATGGGAATGTGCTTGCTGTAACTTGACTCCATTCGCACAGAGTTGAAACCAAAGACGCCAAGCTACAGAAGCGCAAGATTCGCTGTGCTCTGCTCTGTGTGTGTGTATGTATGTGTTTGTGTGTGTGTGTGTACGTGCGCTCGTGCCTCGTTACACGGGGTCCCTGTGCCCTGTGCCCTGTGCCCTGTGCCTGTCCCGTTGGTCGATTGCGCAGTTGCAGCAGAGTGGCACAAGCCAAGGTCACCACAGCGTTCCGATTTGCTTGCGGTTGGTTGCTAAGTGCGAGGCAAGCGTATCTTGAGTGTCTGCTTGCCGCCGTCTTCGCCGCTGTCCCCTCTTGCCTTGCCTGTCAAGCCTTTCTCAACTTGACTGTTCGTCGCTTCCTTGCTATCTGTTTCACCATCTTGGTTTCGTTTGCCAATCATCACCTTACCACACTTTCATCCTCCCCTTTGTCTTCAGCTTCACCCTTCATCCTTCCTATCACCGTCACTACGGCGACCGTTCGGAGGACTTGGATTCACTCTTTCTACTTGCAACTTATCATCACCTTGCATCGCCACCTCTCCCATCTTCCTCCTCGCCTCTGGTTCGCATCTGGCCCATCGGATTCCCTCGTTTCCGGATCTTCAAGGCCGCTTTTCACCACCTTTCCACCTGCAGTGCTTGACGTGTTCTGCCTTCATCTTTGCTCAACACCCACCTCGCACTGCACAGCTGGCCTCCTTCTATCCGGCTCGTTGTACTTTCAACCTCACCATTTTGGCTCTGCCACCACCACCACCCACACCGACATGAACCCTGCATCAGCTAGACCCACCACCGGTCGTTCCACCACAGCGCGGCCAACGACTGGCAGGCCTACTACAGGTCGTCCTGGTACACGTGCTGGTACCGCTGCCGCTCGTCCACCCACACACGGTCAAGGTGCTGCTGCTTACCCCTCACAAGAACACCAACAGCACCACCAATACATTCACGAAGAATGGGATGAGCAAGGCTACGAGTCTGATGATGATGATGGCCATGTCTTTGCCTTTGTTCCTCCCGATCTTGGCCCAGCACCCGAACTGCAGCATAACCCACTCGACCCCTCGATAGACAACCAGAACCGTCAACAGCAGCCACAACACCAAGACTATGCTGCACAACAGAATGCCGCCACCCCCAGTCCTCCTGCTGCTGCTGCCGCCGACGAGAATGAGACCTATTACTTTGACGAAGCTACCGGCGCTGTCTATGATTCGCAAGGTCGACTCGTCCATGTCTCGGCTCAAAACTTGGCAGCAGCAACTGCACAGCCAGATTCCCCATCTCATTCCCAAGTGCGTGGCCTGCAACAACAACAACAACAAGATCCCGACCCAAGAGCTTCCCCAGCCTCCGAGATCACCATGAACGACATTGCTGGCCAACGTGCAGTCGATCCTTCACAGTCGCTCAAACCAAGAGTTTCCACCGACAGCCGTTCCTACGACTCAGCAAGCACTTTCACCCGTGATGCATCAGTCCAGCCTCTCAACCACGCTCGTTCCTACGCCGCCTTCCCGTCTATGGACGCGCTCCCCGAAGTCGACTCTCTCCCCGCCAGTCGTAGTGGCACTTCCGACATGCGTGCTGCCCTCCCCCACGGCACACGAGATATCGGCACCACTGCAAGTGGCGGCATCTCCCTAGACCAAGCCATCCCCGCCCAGGGCAAACGTCAATCCGCACAAATCGACACTTACGCCTCCTCTCTTCCCGAGCTTCGCCGCAGCCCCGAAAGCGACGAGATCAAATACCCCCTCGATGCAGGAGACTACACCTACGAAGATGCCTACAAGGATGAATTCCACATGGTCAACTTTAACGATCTTGGCCAAGGTCACGGGTTGGTTCATCCCGCGATCCAGTCTGCCGAGGTTGGGTCGCGAGGTGTTAGGATGGTAGAGTTGGAGATGGAGATGGAAGAAGATTCGCCTTATCCGGAAGTGCGTGCTTCAGTTTCGAACATCGATGATACCGAGATGCCGGCGAATACATTGAGAATGTGGTTCATTTCTTTCCTCTTGACGATTGTCGCGGCGGGTGCGAATATGTTCTTCTCGCTACGATACCCTGCTCCGACATTTACGAGTACTATTGTGTTGCTGGTAGCATATCCGATCGGGAAACTGTTGGCAGCCATCATGCCCATCCGCGTCTGGACTCTGCCACGATGGCTAGGAGGTGCCGAATTCTCCCTCAACCCGGGTATCTATAACATCAAAGAACACGCCCTAACCTCGATCATGGCCAGCATCGCCATCGTTACCGCCTACTCTTTCAACGTCATCATCGTTCAAGATTCCGAACGATTCTACGGCGAACCGCGTCCGATTGGGTTTGATATCCTCTTCGTTTTGAGCGCACAAACCATCGGTTTTGGTCTCGCCGGAATGTGTCGCCGCTTCCTCGTTTGGCCAGCAAGCATGATCTGGCCACAAAACCTCGTCTCAGCTACCATTTTAAACACTTTGCATGCAGAAGAAGACGGTACAGATGGAAGCATGACCCGCTTCCGGTTCTTTACTGTTGTTGCCACAGGTGCTTTCTTTTTCTACTTTGTTCCCGGCTACCTTTTCACCGCATTGTCGTTCTTCAACTGGGTTTGCTGGATTTGGCCAAACTCCATTCCTGTAAACCTTGTCTTTGGTACAGTAAGAGGGCTAGGGTTCTCAGTGCTCACGTTCGACTGGACGCAGATCATCTTTATCGGATCGCCATTGGTTACACCTTGGTGGGCAGAGTGTAATATCTTTGCTGGTTTCGTTGGGTTCTTTTGGATTATTGCGCCCATTATGTATTTCAAGAATGTTTGGTATCAGTCTTACCTGCCGTTCAACAGTTCGGCCTCTTGGGATCGGTTCGGTAGACCTTACAACATCTCCCGCGTCATTCCGAATGGGTTGGATCTGGATAAGGAGGCTTATGAAGCATATTCCCCGCTCTACCTCAGCACTACTCTATCCCTCGTCTACACAACCGGGTTTGCCATGCTTACTTCGGTATTGACCCACACCGCTCTTTATCACGGCAAGGCCTTAAAGAAAGGATTGCAGAGGATTAGGACAGAAGAGGACGACGTACACGCAAAGTTCATGCGTCACTATCCCGAAACTCCCGATTGGTGGTATGCATGCGTTTTCCTCGTCGCCCTCGTATTCGGCGTTGTAATGGTCGAAATTTACCATACTGGTCTTCCCATCTGGGGCTTGGCCATCTCAGTCCTCATCCCAGCGATCTACATCCTACCTACAGGCTTCGTATATGCTATGACAGGTCAAGCGATCGGAACGAACCTAATCGGAGAACTTATCGTTGGGTATATGCTTCCTGGAAAACCACTGCCGAATATGATCTTTAAGGCTTTCGCCCTGCAGGGATTGATTGGAGGATTGCAGTTTGTACAGGATCTAAAGTTGGGGCATTATATGAAAATCCCTCCTCGCTTGACCTTCATCGCACAGCTAACCGGGGTTGTGGTCGCTTGTTTCGTCCAACTCGGAGTGAAGACTTGGATGTTTTCCAACATTGATGGCCTCTGTAGTCCGAATCAAGCGGATAGCTTTACCTGTCCTCATATCAGTGTTTTCTATACCGCCAGTTTGGTATGGGGAGCAATTGGACCAGCGAGGATGTTCGGTACGGAATCCATATACCGGCCTATGTACTGGGCGATGCTGTTTGGCGCTCTTATCCCTATTCCATTCTGGCTTCTGGCTCGACGATTTCCCCGATCATGGATCCGCTATATCAGCTGGCCGGTGATTTTCGCAGGCGTAAGCTACATCCCTCCGGCCTCAGGCCTCAACTACGCAGCATGGTTCAGCGTCGCTTTTGTCTTCCAATACCTCGTCCGCAAGTATAACTTCAGATGGTGGAGCAAGTATAACTTCGTTTTGGCAGCAGCCTTGGATTCAGGAACAATTATTAGCACAATTGTCGTCTTTTTCGCATTACTCTTGCCGAAAAATGGTAGTTTGCAGTTGAATTGGTGGGGAAATAAAGTAGTTGCTACAACTTTCGATTCTAGAGGATATGCGCTCGATAATGTTCCTTACGGTGGTTTTGGTGATACTCCTCACTACTGAGCAAACGACACATTTGCTTTTGTTAGTTGGCATTGCTTGGTTGCAATTTTATACTCCAGTGTTCATCCAGATTTCGCTTTTCCTTTTCGTTTGTACTGTACTGTACGCAATCATATGGTTTAAATGCCAAGCTAATGAATAACACAGCAAGCGTCACTGCTGACTTGCGTCCATCACAAGCAAGCACTCAGCTGTTACTCACTCCTCCCAATCGCAGCTAGCCAACACAATCGTCAGCAAAACTTGCAAGATCACACTTCGTGCATCAACTGTTCGCAGATCGTCATGTTTCTTCTTCAGTCTTGGGCTCACATACCGTTCTCAAGACGGGAAAAAGCTCATTCGCAGCACAAACTAAACCGGCTTCCTTCGGCTTCCTTCGGCTTCCTTCGGCTTTCTTCTGAACACACAACCGCTTAAAAGAATACAGTTTCCAATTACTCCCAGAAAGACAAAGCGTTATTCACAAATACAAAGCCTTTCCCCAGCCCTCTCTTTTCCCCCTTCGATGCCACCTAGAGAGGAAGGATTAACACTCAATACGCATCCCTTTCTCAGCCATAACAAATCTAACTCCCAACCCGGCACTTTCTTCCTCCTCACAAAGCTCGTCCAGAATCTTTTGTGGAGCTGTTCTTGTATCCAGCTTCGGCTCTGCATCCATCTCCAATTCTCGTTCTTCCTCGCCGTGAGCAGCTACGTTAGTACTTGAAGTAGCTGAAGTAGGTGTACCTGGAACGGATCTACCGGAAACTTCTGGGTCTGGATGTTGGACGAACATTGGAAACAAAGCTGGTTTGACGTGGATGACGATAACTCCCAATCCAGCTAACTGGCCGCCAAGTTCGGAGTCTTGGTCGTAAACGTTGCCCCCTAGAATATCGGTTTGTTCGGGTTGACGAGTTGAAACTGCTGCTGTGCCCAACGGGGAGGGCGCTAGGTGTGGATGTGTGAATCTTGCATCTCCGTTAGGTTTACCAGTTGAACCAGCACCACCGCCGTTATGACTCGTACTGGTGCTATTATGACCTGTAGACCGAGAAGAAGCATTGGACCCACGTCTCATCTTTTCCCTATACCTCTTGACCATTTGCGCTAGCACCCTGAGCTCATCGAACAGATGCTCGACCGACAAATGCCCGTAGAGCAACTCTGTCGGATGGTTCTTAGGGAAACTACACTCTAAAAAGATCGCATGCAGCTTTCCTTCGGCAAATCGCTCAGCTGCGTGACTCCAAACCTGTCGATTCCGCGGCGACTTTGAAACGCAGTCCGGTTCAACATCGCCAAAAAACAGAACATCTTTGTCGTGACCTTTGTGAGTGATGAAGAAAGCAGTGGAATCGAGGGGAGGCGGTGAACGGTCAATCGAGACTCGACGAGGTGGTTGTCGTGTGTGAGAAGGGGCTGCTGTGGAGGAGGATGAGGGAGGGTTGGCGGTGCCACTGCTGCTAGCACCGGAGGAAGAGCCGGGAGGACACCAAGCGGAAGGAGGCGAAGAACGTCGTTCGGAACCTTGTGCTGTGCGAGGTCGACGGGCTTTCAAAGGTCTCTCGGGCCACTTGTTGGCCGGTTGCTGCATTGAAGCTTGCTCTGAGTCCCCCAATGTGCGTGTTGGAATGCCTGGACCATCACTTGTCGAAGGCAGCATCGCCACCGAAGACCAGGGTCTTGAAGACGACGACGCTGAAGTAGTGTTTGCAGCTGCACTCGCATTCGCAGGTGAGGCTCGAGGCGAGACTGGTTCGCCAGGTTTGAGACCTGATGCATCGAGTGGATTCAACGACGCAATTCTGGTATTGTAGCCGTGACTGCTGGTGTTGGTGCTGTTGTTGGTGCTGTTGTTGGTGCTGTTGTTGGTGCTGTTGTTGGTGCTGTTGTTGGTGCTGTTGTTGGTGCTGTTGTTGGTGCTGTTGTTGGTGCTGTTGTTGGTGCTGTTGTTGGTGCTGTTGTTGGTGCTGTTGTTGGTGCTGTTGTTGGTGCTGTTGTTTGCGCTGCTGAAGGGACTGTTGTTGAACGAGGGTCGACGAAGCGCTGCCATGTTGGATTCACCTGCTTGTGAGATGCTCTCAAGAGTGCGATCGGAGCATCGCGAGAGTGAGGAAGAAGCCATCTGCGTACTGATGGGCAACGACATTCTCTTACTGAAGTAGTTCTGGTTGAGTTGAGCTGGTGCATAGGTTGGCGTGGGCGGGGCTGGCGGTTCGGAAGGGTTGAGACCATGGGAAAGCGCAAATGGCAGCACACTCAACGTCTCGCTAACCGAGAAAGATCGCTGGTTGTCGAGGCTGCGCATGTGATACATGGTGTGGGGCTCGTCTTCCTTCCAGGATGCCAGCTTGGGCCAGATCTTGCCATTGAACATATCGAGGATGTTTTCGAGCGTTGGCTTCAAACCAAAGACGGCCCTCTTGCCAGGCAATGAAGCCGATCCGAGCACAAGGCCGAGAATGTGATCGAGATGGGCGTGGGATATCAAAAAGGCTCGGGAGAAGGAAGCCATGAGACCGGCACGAAGGTAGGCGGAAGGCGTGGTGGAAGGGAACTCGAAATCGTGGAAAGCCGAGTCGGGACCATGTTGCTCCAGAACGTCGGTGAGCGCACCAAGCCAAGAACCGCCTTCGACGACGATAGATCCATCTTGCCAATGGGCATCTGCTGGTTTGAGGAGGTAGCAGGAGCAATCGGCTTCGAGAGGACCACCACCAGTGCCGAGGCAGACAAAGCTGAAGGAAGCAGGTTGATCTTCTGGATGGAGTGCAACACGAGGATGTTTCCGCCTGCGATAGTCAGGAGCTGAGTAGAAAGACTGATCGGAATAGGCAGAAGCTCTACGTTGTGCAAGTCGACTGCTGCTTCGACTGGCGCTGCTGCTAGTGGTGGCCGTGGCTGCGGTTGTAGTTGGGTGCTGAGATGAGGAAGCGAGTGGGTGCAGAGCGTCGTGCCGGGAGGAGGTGGAAGATATCGTCATCGTGGATGCAAAGGCTTGTGTGCCTTTTGAAGTGTGTAGTCAGATGATGGGGCGATGTGTCTGTGGGTGTGCAAGCGTCGAGTTGGACCTGAGCACGTGCCGTTCGCCCACCTTGGAAGGAGAGTAGCGGGTGCAACTTTGTTCGATATGAAGACGAAGCGGTTGCTGGGTGATTATGAGGCAAGGCAGAAGTTTGCACGAGCACGTGGTGTCCAAGTCAGATGACAAAGAGCAGTGACGAGCGAAAGGTTGAAGTGATGTCAAATCGGGTCGGTGGATTTTAAGCAGAAGACGTTGTGCTTGGCGAGGAAGCGAACAAGTCAAAACAAGAGGCCAGGCCGGTCGAGTGGAGATGCCAACGTGGTCTCGAGTTCGGAACACGGGAATCACTTGGTGGAGTTGGACGGAAGCAAACCGTTCTTGACGACTGTCTGAATGATAGCGCTTCTTACCGACACAATAGGATGAACGACGGCTGTTGCGTATCAATGGTGCGAATCCTTGGCAGAGTGCCAATCCAAGCCAATCTTGCTTCTCGTCGAATGAAAACCAGTCGGAGCTGCCGAAAGCTGAGTCAAGCCGGCAAAGTCGCTCTGTTGGGCAGATGATGTAGACGTCGGAAGAAGCCGAAAAGCGAATTCAGCACCACTTCATTTCGCCTGAACGCCGGTAAAATATGGGGTGACAATCGCCTGATCTAATGCAAAGGAGAAATGGTGGTTGCCTGTTGCAATGTCCTGGTGGAGCTGTTGCGATCACAAAGGACGATATCACTGTTGGCGCGCAGGACGGCCGAATGATGGCAGTGAATGTCGAAGAAAGCAAGCCAAACAAAAGGGTGCAAAAGGCAAAAACAAAGCAAAACAAAGAGCCCTTACCCTTGTAGTGAGGGTTTGCAATCCAAGTGGCCAGGCAGACGAGTCAGTCGATCAACGCCCACAAGCAGACTCCTCCTTCACTCCACGGAGAGAGAGACAGACGGAGAGAGAGACAGACCGAGAGAGAGAGAGACAGACCGAGAGAGAGAGACAGACCGAGAGAGAGACAGACCGAGGGATTGACAGACCGAGGGATTGACGGAGTTGCAAGTGTTGCACAACTCAAACGGCCAAAAGGTTCTGGACCCAAGCTCGCTCACCATTGTTGCTGCTGTTGCTTCTGCTGCTTAGTAGCGGTAAAGCCGACAAGGCGAAAGGCGGACGACAGGCAGAGTTGGCGCGAGGCAGAAGGTGAGCAGCAACAGAGGTAAATTGGCTTGATGCCCATCGACCCGAGCCCAAAATTAGTCCCTCACACAGTCACGCACATAGAGTGACTCGCTACAGAAAACGCGATAAGCGGGAAAAAGCAATTTCCCAAAGAAACACAGGCTTGCAGCAGCTTGACAGAGAGAGAGAGAGAGAGAGAGAGAGAGAGAGAGAGAGAAAGAGAGAAAGAGAGAAAAGCATGGCCTGGTCTTTCTGTCTCTGCTTCGCTTACCCCCTTCGCAGCGGCGCATCCTTAGGCGAAATACGTAAGCGAGCCATTTTGACGATCTCTCTTGAATGACTGACTGACTTTGCGTGGTTTCCTTTGTCCAATCCGAAAACAGAAGAGACACAAGTCGCATACAGCCCGCAGCTCACTCTCTCCCACACTCTTCCCCGTAGACGGGAGGTAGCCAAACCGTAGAGGAAGCAAGTGACTTTGAGATGCCTACAAGCAACATGCGCCTCTCGCCACCTGACTTGTCGCGCTCAGTTGAGGTCGCAAGTGAGGCAAGTGAGGCTGGTTGCCGTTACGCCAAACACCACCTCTCTTCATCGACGCTGCGACTGACTGCGTAGCTAGGATCACCCTCAGATGCTCCATAGGTGGACTTTTCGCTCACAACGGTCATCTTTCAAGCTGCCATCATATCGCTCCGAGAAGAGAGAAAGAACCTTCCAAGCTGATTCCATTGGTTCGAGCTGCAGAAGAGACGGCATCCCTGATCCATTCTCTCTTCTGGTACACATTTCCTACATTTGCCATCCAGCGGCGTAGCCGAGAGAGCGAGGGTCTAGACAACTTTTCCTCAAGTCAAAGCACGCGAGCATCTCCCCCTAAAAGCCCCAACTATCGATTGTTAGAGCCGCACTGGGTTGGCGCACAGCTCGGAACCTTCTTGGGCTATCAAGGTCCGATCTCAGGCAGCCCATCAACCATCTGCACATTTCGGTTCCAAGCATGCAACTCGACATGGCAAGCTTAACAACCTCGTGTGAACGGGGCATTGTCTAGTCTGCAGGTACGGAAGCGTGAGACGCAACGAGGTGAAAGGATCGCTGCAAACGCGTGGTATAATATTGCATAGCAACCCACGTTTTTTTTTTTTTTTTTTTTCTCGTCCCGTCTGGACTCAATCGCACGAAACAAATCGAAATTGTATCTACCTAACATGAACAAAACTAAGTGAATTGCAGGCAAAGACCCGTGAGGTCCTCGAAGCTCGACAAGCAGGCTCCCTGCCCGCCATAACAGGGGCCCCGTCGAGCGCAGAAACGAGCGGCAAGGGAGGGGTATACAGGGAGGGCAAAAACGACGAACCAGGCTGCTAATAGTGATTGCCTGAGTTGAAGATGCATCGGCATCCCAATGGGGTTCACAGAATAATATGGAGTCCATGGAACAAGAGCTAGTTCTCGATTAAGAGGAGATGCACATGAATGGCAATGCATGTGGGATGCACATATGTTGTCATAGTGACACACAGGAAATCACAACTCAGGGGCAACAATGAGAGGTGACTCATCATGGATTGATGAACTTTGGAGGTGATCACCAGGTATATATACATAACCATGTACATAGTAGCATGCAGTTTAAAATTTTAAGACTTTTTACATGAAAACTATACACTTGTGTTAGGTGCTTGTTAGTAGCCCAACTTAGTGTACAGGATTTGTATATCTTCAACTGCCTGGCTTTGGTCAAGATGATGGTAGTAAAGAGAGGAGCGGAGAGCAAAATGATGATGTGAAGAGCAGAGCGGAGAAGCGGAACAATTCGATTGTTGAGTCCAGCCCAGACGCGCACGCCTTCATGACTTATCACGTGATGCAAAATTCAGACGACGTCCGACAGCTCAAGCACGTCCAACCGGATCCCTTCTCTGATCTATTCAATGATGAGTACACGTCGCTCTGGTGAGCATGGATGGCAAGGGCTAGGGCTAACTCGTTTCGATCACCATCAGATTCGGATGTGCGCCGCAGCTTGCAATAGTGTTGCTTCTTTCTTGACTCTAGACCCAAGCGCCAACACCGCCTCTCAATAGCCATTCAAACTCGTTACCCTGCATCACCCAAGTCTGTAGCATCGCATGTCAAAGACACGCCACGCCACGCCACGCCGGCGAATGAAAGTCAAAGCAAACCAATTGCTATGCTTGATAATGTGTGTGTTGTGCTAGTTACAGATGTGATATGATGCTTGTAAACTCTTTTGGACGATCAACGTCCAGTCATGATATAGTCGAGAGCACGAAGACTTCGCAGCAGCACCGCTTGGGCATTTGCTGGGCTTGCCAACGTCGCCAACGCCTTCGACTCAATTCGCTGCGCTCCGCTCATCGCCGACAGACGATCCGTCACTGTAGGTCCGCTAATCACGATGCCCGATTGTGTCACACCAGCTGAGGCTGCTGCCGCTGCTGCTGTTGCGGCTGCAGCAACCGAGGGTGTCTCTGTCAAGCTGCTTCCACCGTTCTCAGCTCCAGAGGCTGTCTTCTTCTCCGCTTCCTCCTCCTCGTCCTCCTCAACAGGCTCTGGAAGTGTCGAGAGCAAAGCATCCAGGTCCGTCACCAACGCCTTCGACGCTTCATTCGCTTGTGTCTGCAACGCTCCGCAGATCGTGTCTCGAGCTCCATCTATCATCGACAAGTGTGAAGCCACCGCCAATGTGTGCTGGAAGCCTTTGCTTGACACTGCAGTCGCCAGAGGCTTGACAATGTTGCAAAGTCGATCAGCAGGTACTAGAGGCGTAGCAGACAAAGACCCGTCAGCTGCGGCTGCGGCGCTTGCCGCTTCTGTGGCCTTCGTTGTGGATAGCACCTCGTTGTTGCCAGGGGCAGCACTGATACCTGCTACAGCTCTCGCCGGCGCAGCTTCGTTGCTAGTGTTTGCTCCAGCACCAACAATCGCGGGACCGGCACCGTCGCTTCGAACCATTTCGGTGCTCGTGGCTGCCTCGCTGTTCGTCTGCTCCGTCGCGTTGCTGGATTGCTTGGCGTCCTCAGGCTTGGGGGATACCGCCAGCAAAGGCTTGGTCACCGTGCTCAACAGTGCCAGGAGCGAGTCGACCAGCTGACTGTTAGCCAAAATTGTCTCCTTAGACAACAGACCTAACAACACATTGAGCGGTGCTGCACCACGCTCCGTAGCATCCTTCTCCTTCTCTTTCTCCTTGCCTTTGGATCGCTTAGGCGGGCGCAAGTCGTCTCGCAAGAAGTAGAGCGCTGCTTGTGTGTTGACAGCCGTCAAGTGAAGAAGCGTGTCGATGCTGCGCGAGGCGATCAAGAATGGAGCCTCGTCACCGGTCTTCGACAGCGGCGCAGTCGAGCTCTGACCGCCAGGAGTGGAGGCGTGGCCATGGAAAGCGCTGGCAGGACCCGAGTTGGCTCGCTTGGGAGTTGGTCTCGAGGGAGTTGCGTGCATGCGGTTGGCGCGATTGCTCATCGAAACGAACGAGCGGTCCACTGCATGTGCATCCACCGATCCTTCCGACAGAACCATCAGCAAAAGGTTGAGCAACTCCGATCGCGTCTTGGCGTTCTCGGACAAGTTGGCGAGCACCTTGTGTAGAGCTGTCTGCTTGGCGTTCATCTGTGGGAAGAACAGCAAACGCACCAGCGTGGCCACACCAGACTTGTCGAGTAGCTGGATCGCATCACGAGGACCAGGCTTCTTTGACGCATCCGTGTTAGCAGCGTCGATACCGCCGTTCGGTGCGCCGAGTCGTGGCCCACCTGTCACATCGAGCACACGAATGGGCAAGTCACCAAGACGGCGAGCGGCCGCCGAAGCTGGCAATGCACGAACTGTGCCGTTCGACACATCTTGGCTGTCGTCCTCCTCGTCGAAGCGACGATGCTGTCGTGGTCTGCCATCGGCATTTTCACCTCCCAAGCTGCCTCCCATTGGCAAGATGTCGAGGAGCTGCTCGTCATCTCTGAGCATCTCTTCGATAGCATCATCGCCGAAGGAGAATCCTCGAGTGTCTCCACTCTGGCCAGCAGAGCCTGAGCTCTGTCCAGCGGGTCGCGATGAAGATGTGGAAGATGCATCCTCCGTCGTGGGTCGGCCTGCACCTTGGCCAGATCGCTCGTTGCCTTGAGCTGCCATCTGCTCGCGAATCCTACGGCGAGAGGTCTCGATGGCCTCCTGGTGGATCACTTCGGCGCGAAGCTCAGGTGGCAAAGCGTCGAGGAACTCGGGCGCGATGCTCGTAGGCTGAGGAAGGTTGCTGGTGGCTTCGGTGGCTCGACGCTCTCGGAAGTGCTGGTTGAGCACCTCTTCTCGCAGATCGTCGGGAAGCGCCTCTAGGAAGGTCGGATCGATGCCGGTGTCGGTGATGTCGATCTCCTCGCCGTTGATGGTGATCGTGGCACGCTCTGCAGCTGGAGCATCCGCTTGTCCGCTGCTAGCGCCAGCAGGCGGTTCCGCAGGCTGTGCCGAGGACGAGCTTGCCTCTGCGCCTCCAGCAACACTCGCGGCTGACGGAGCGGGGGCAGGTTCAGCGTCGGTCATCTCGACGTCATCGGTGGCTGGTGCAGCATTTTCAAGGGCTGCAGCAGGTGCGATAGTTTCAGAAGCCGATGAGGTAGTTGCGGAGGCGTTCGTTTGCTGCTGGTCGGCTGCAGCATCCGAAGTTGATGTTTCGGCAGCTGGCGTCAAGTCTGGAGAACAATCGGCGGCAACCGTTGCCCTGGCTGCGGCAAGTCCTTCACGTAGCCTCTCGCGTGCCTCTTCCAGCTCCTTTTCCGTGCGCTCCTTGCTTTCGCGCAGACGCTTGAGCTCGGTCTCGGCCTGCTCTCGGGTCTGCTTGGCCTCTTCGAGCTTCTTGCGGTCTTCCTCGAGCTTTCGACGAGTCTCGAGACGGCTCTTCTTGAAGCCTGGCAGCAATGCATTGATGAGGTGGGCGCGCATCTTCGAGGTTCGCTCGCTCGAGACAGGCGAAGATGGGAGTAGAATAAGCGCCTCTTCGGACCAACGAGTGATGGTAGGCATAGGAGTGAACGACTGTGCAAGGACAACAGGATCGCTCATCGCGGCAGCTTGTCGGCTGCTGGGGGCTCGTTGGCCCTCACCGCCGAGCATGGCCTGACCTTGGTGCGTGTGGCTGTGATGATGGTGGTGATGGTGACGAGCTCGTCCAAGATGGCCGCCAACGTTGACGCCATCGATGCGCATTCGTCCGCCGTCACCGACCTCGATGCGAATACCCTGGTTGGCGCCACCTCGGCTGAGAAGGTTCTCCAGGAACTGCAGAGCGCCTTCTCCGACAAAGTCTTCCACTGACTGTGCCCAATCGGCATAGCCTGAAGGCAACTGTCCGCCGCCGGAAGCACGGCGTGTGGCACGCCCAGCGTGACGGCTAGCATCAGCATCTGACTGGTCGACAAGCAAGGGATGGGTGGAGATCTCGTCGGAAGGAGGTGCTGCACGACGAGGACCCATCATCGAGTCAAAGTCAAGCAATCCGCGTCGACGATGACCGCCCGTGCCACCAGCCATGTTGGCGATGGCGTTAGGAAGGAAAAAGTTGGGCGGGAACACGCCAGCGCTGCGAGGTCGGTCGCCGGACGCGCCAGAGCTTGCAGTACGAGGGTCAGGAACAGCGGTCCAGCCCCAGTTGGCTCCGAAACGGTCATCGACAGGAGCAGCATATTCTTCAGCGAGCTCGAGTTGAGATAGCTCGTCTCCGTCCATGCCACCGTCCATCGAATCTTCCTCGAGCATCTCGATCTCTTCCTCGTCATCCATGAGCGGGTCGGCGCCGTCAAAAGCAGCCGACTCGTCTTCTGGCTCGTACTCTTCTGGGATGGGAGGCATGCCTTCCTCACCATCTTCAAAAACAAAGTCAAGCGCTTCCTCGAAGTCGAGTGGCTCTCCGTCTTCGCCTTCCAGATCGTCACCATCCTCGTCCTCGTCATCCTCATCCGTCCATCCGTCGTCCTCACCGTCGATGCTGATGTCGTCGCCGTGACTGCCGTGACCATGAGAGTGGGTGTGACCGTCATCATCAGAGTCAGAGTCCTCATCACTCGAGTCATCCATGTCAGTGTCGGAATCAGTGATCTCGATAACGCGCGGATTGTCGCCGTCCTCGCCTTCCAGCTCTTCGTCACTGGACAGCTCACTACCGGTCTCGGTATCGAAGTCCTCCATATCCATGTCCTCGTCGTCATCCATGTTCTCATCCGACATCTCATCGTCGTCGTAGCCGGTCTCCATCTCACCGGTGTGCATGCCAAGTGACGAGTTGCGGTAGAAGTCTGGCGTGTCCTCGCGCTCTATGTCTTCATCGTCCTCATCCTCGTCATCGAACTCGTCCTCCATGTCGTAGTCCGAAGAGAAGTCGGTCTCTTCTTCAGACTCGTCGACGACAGCACGGTTGCCGTTCTTGTCCTTTGCCTTACCCATCTTGATCGCGATTTTTGTCAAATGCTCGAGTGGTCGCAAGATGGCTTCAAGCAACGACTTGACAGTGGGCAGGTTGAGGTCGACATCGGCGATGGCGCTGGTGAGTACGGTGACGTAGTTCTTCTCCAGCATGGTCTTGGCCATATGAAGGGTGAGATCTTCGGTCTGCTTGCCACCGGTACTGTTGGGGCGAGCAATGAGCAGTCGGTAGCATAGGTCGCTGAGAGCGTAGAGACGGCCATACCTGACTTCGATGGGCTCAGAGCATGAAGCGGCTTCCTTGATGGCTCGAGCGATTGCATCCAGTACAGTCTTGCGCACAGCAATAAGATCAGCGGGCACCTCCTTGACGTCGATGTGCACGGTCACGTCGGCTGTGAGCGCAACGAGCACCGACATAGCCCAGTTCGACAGTGTCATCTTTCTGCGCAGTTCGGCGTTGCCGTATGAGCTGAGGAAGCCTGCTGGTACAAGGTCGGTCAAGAACGTGCCGAGGATGCCTGCTCGTGATCGACCAGTCTCTTTGGCGCCAGGTGTTCCTGGTGCAAATGTGGCAGAGCTCGAAGGGCCAGCAGCAGGAGTGGCGACATGTGTAGCGATGGTACCTGCAGCTGCGGCGAAGAGGCGCTTCTTACTGAAGTTGGTGAAAGAGGTCTTGCAGGTCGAGTACGACGACAGCAGCTCAGTAAGACACTGCATGAGGAAGGAAGAATAGAAGAAGGCGATGTCGTCTTGCTTCTGCTCCTCGGTCTTCTCCTTCTCCTTCTCAGGGACTGCAGATGTCGTAGAGGAAACAGAGGGCTCAGCAGAGGCCGAAGTAGCGTCAGAAGCATTGGCGGTGGGGCCGTTGGCCGAAGTCTCGGACATATCCTTGATGTCATTCGAAGCGGTACACGAAGACTGAGTCTTTCTGCTTGTGGTCTTGAGCAGCTCTGTCAGCAAAAAGCCCATCAAGCCATCCACCTCCTCGGAGGGCACGTTTGTGGGCGTAGCTTGAGGCGTGGACTTGAAGAAGGAGGCCAGCTCATCGGCGGTCTTTGCATTACCACCATCAGCTGCACCTTTCATTGGCTCGTCACCGAGACGAAGACTTGCCAAGCTGGTTTGTCCGTTGCCAGCGAGGTCGGATGGCGACTCTTTAGGACCGCTTTCGGTAGCACTAGGTTCCTGGAGCAGCTTGATGTGGCCACTGCCTTTGGTCGGCGAGTACTCGGTCATCTCCACCTTGGCAACAGCCGATTCTAGGAAGACGTTGGGATCACGCAGTACCGCGCAGTCGAGCTGACGAACGAGAGTGGAAGTGTCGCTTGTCTTGTTGCGCGATTGGGCGACAAGACTGTGAATCTCTTGCGCCATCACCGTAGCTAACGTCTGGGCGTCTTCGACGATGTGACGTAGGACGATCGCGACGAAGGGCTGGCAACCGGACACTTGCTTGGGCTCTAGCACCCTAAAGGGCTCAAAGATCAAGCGGACTCCACCCTCGCGTGCAAAGCGCGCTGCATACGAGTGGTTCCGGGTCAGGACTGTCAAGAGGCGGAAAGCAGCCAGGAGATCGTTGCGCTCGAGCGTCGTGGCCTCGCGGAAGATTTGCACAGTGAAATGAAAGAGGGCATCCGAGATGGGCACCGATCCGACACGCACGCGCGGCAGAGTTGGCTCTTCCGGGGAGGAGCTAGCAGATGACGGACCGTCGGCAGCAGCCTCTTGCGGCTTTGAGCTGGACTCGCCACTTCCGCTTGCAGCCTTGGACTCAGCTTCCACAGAAACATCCAAGAAGGCATCGTCAGTCTTGACTTCGACGATGTCCTCCGAGAAGCCGAGGATGCCGACCAAGGCAAGAATGAGTGATGCAAGCCACTTTGGCGTTGCTGTAGAAGGCTTTTGCTGAACAGAAGCCGGTGTGTTCTGAGACAAATCAGCTGATTGAGTCGCGGAGGAGCTATCTGTGCCAGTGTTGGAATGCGAACGGTTTCCATAAAGCTGAACGAGGCCTTCCAAAGCTCGAAGCACAGTGGTAGCCATGTCACGGTCGAGCTGCTTGAAGATCTGCTCGTCGTGCAAGACAAGAGCGAGCAGCTGCATTCGCAATGCCACAAATTCGGCCTTGAGGCCAAAAGCACCAGATGCTTCCGATTCGATGAGCTTGGCGAGCGTCTCAACGTACTTCATGGTCTTGACGCGGTCAGAAGCCTCGAGCAAAATGGCGGACTTGACCTCGAAGACTAGAGCCGGATGATGATCAGCAAGCTCGAGACCACGCTCGACAAGTGAGGATCGAAGTAGGCTACGCTGTTGCTCCAACTCTACCTTCATCTTTGCAACTTTGTCGGAGTCCATGGTGTCGTCCTTCTCGGTGCGGCTTGTGGAGTCAGTAGCGTTCGACCTGTCAGCAGCATCAGTCATGGCTGCATCCTGCACGTCGCCAGATGCATCTGTGGAAGCTGCTGCTGCATTCGCTGCTGGCGTTGGAGCGTCTGTCATTTGGTCCTCCCAATCGTCGGCATCGCCGTCTGTAGCTGCAGTCCCGGCCGCTGGAGTAGCGGCTGCTTCATCAGTGGCAGTGGCATCGGGGCCTGTTGCTGTCGACTCAGCAGCCGCAGGAGCTCCAGTTTGCCCTCTAGCCGGGCCAGTGGCGCCTTCGTCGTTCCAAGAACGGTTTGGGTTGTCTCGGTACTGAACAACGAGATCGTCATGCATGAGTAGGTATTCGGTTGCAGCGTTGAGGTTGTTCTGACAACGAGATAAGGCGTGGCGTGCTGCATTCTCAGGGAAGCCCATGTCAACCATGGTGCGAACACGATCCTCATTTGGTGCTCTTCGAACTGGCGCAGGAACGACACGCGGAGCACTTCCAAAGGCAAAGGGGTTGCGCATATTCATGAGCCCTTGCAGACCTGACTCGAGCGTGGCAGCTGTGGATGAGGAGCCTGGTGGCGTGCTCTTCTTGGCGGTAGGCACATTCTCGTTCTGAGCTTTCAGAATGGTGAGGAGGTTCTGCAGCATCAGACGGTTGACCGAAGCCGGCAAGGACGGAAGCCAGGGCTTGTCCCAGACAAAGAGCAATAGCGAGAGCACTTGAGAGCGAATATTGATCAGGTAGGCGTGTGGTTCGAAGACATCCTTGCCGCCTTCGCGCACGAGCTGTGTCGTCTGTGCAGAGTCGATGAGTCCTTTGCAATGTACGAGCTTGAGTAGCAAGCCCAAAGTGACCTTGAGACCACCACATGTGTGACCGAGCTTGATCCCGGCTTCGTCAAAGTCAGCTGCCGAAGGATCGACGCGGTTGCCGTGTCCATTGTAGAAGCGATCGATCTCTGCCACATAGCGACGGAAGAGATCGAAGAGCGCTTCGAGACCGCCTTGCTTGTCGAAGGCACGCAAGATGGCCGAATAAACTACTGGCGAGCTTGGACGCTCATCAAAGAGGAGACAGCTTGTCTGGCAGATCATGAGCGTGGCAAAGGCGAAGCTGTTGATGCCGTTGCTCGATTCACGCCATGTGAGATGCTCCTTGAGGGACTTGGCGATCTCGACTGAGACGGTGTGGGCTGCAGCTTTGTGGGCTGTGTCGACACTGCGACGCGGCGCAAGGTATCGAACCGTCTCTTCAAAGAGCGAGGTCAGCGAAGAGGGGATCTGCGATGCGACGTATCGAAGAGCAGCCGCATTTCGCTGCCTTGGGTCTTGCTCTTGCGTCTGCGGAGAGACTGCAGTGCGTGTCTGCTCCACCGTACCAGCGAGGTCCTGCAACAGATCGTCAGGCACACCATGCTGAGAAGGACGTTGCACCTGAGTCGCTGGCGCAGACGTACCTGACGCGCCATTTATGGCTGAGGAGAAGGAGGTCGCGCTGGTCTGACCAGCAGCATTCGATGAGGATGGCTGTCCCTCAGAGCCTTGCGATTCAGCCTGCGAAGCCTCACCGTCTTTGCTCTCATTGGCTGTGGCTGTCGACGCTGACGGTGGTATCGGTGGAGGTAGCGAGGTCTTGAGCAACATGTTCTCCCAAGCACAGGCACGGTGAATGGCACCGAGCTCTGCGATGCTCATCGTGCCGGACGAGGCGCTTGAGACAAGCGTCTGCAGGAAGATCGAGGGAAGTTTGTGACCCACGTAGCTGATCGAGCAGACATCAGTGAATAGATGACTGCGCGAGCACAGACCGGCAAGCTTGCGGAAGGCCAGGTTGGCACGCTCTGCTTCAGCATCATCCCTTGGTGTGGCCATCCAGAGAAGACGTGAGGTGGCATTGTGGTATGTCATCGAAGCGAACGACTTGTCAGATACACCGAAGAGCTCTGCGACTTCCTCCGAAGCATTCTTGACATCGCGGAGCATTGCGATGAGGACAGTGCTGGGACTGATCTCGGCCATGAAGCGGATCAAAGTGACGAGGGGGTCGGCAAGAAGCGACTGAGGGAAGTCGTATGGCAAACAAGGTAACGAGTAGAAGCCGAGCAGCTTATCGAGACCGTCGAGCTTGATGAAGTCCTTGCAATGCGAAACGGTTTGGAAGAGACCCTCTAGGAAGCGGGCGATCACATCGATAGACGTGATGACCGGATTCGATTCGAGTTTGGTGCTGTCCTCTTTCCGGATCGGGTCGGGCTCGTCGGTGACGACATCAGCCAATGCAACAGAACGACCGTTGGTTGTACCAGTGGAGGCGGCGGCGGCTGCTTCATCCGCTGCAGCATCGCCGACAGGAAGCAGACCGTAAGCAGCACGTGCCTTGAGATCCTGCGGAAGTTCAAAGTTGCGACCCATCTCCTTGATCTCCTCTAGTGAACGCATGATCGAGTCCATGACGATCGTCTTGACACTGGGCTGGTGACGCATGAGCTCGTCAATGGCAGCACCGAAAGCATTGGCATTGTCACGGTCCTGGAAGACCTTGCTGTGACGCTCCGAGGTGAAGAGCGAGAAAAGCTTGGGGATGATGGGACGTGCGTTGAAAAGATCAAGACCTGCCTGGTTGAGACAGATGGCTCCGACAGCGTTGGGAATCGAGTAGATGACGTCCCAGTGCGCCTCGATATCGGCCTCGATAGCGTCAAAGAAGGCTTCCGGGATCTTGGCTTCCTGGAGGATGGCGAGCGAAGTGGGCTCGTTGTGGATGAAAGTAGCCATGATGTTGATGGCCAATGCAAAGACCTGGGGACCGAAGATGGAACGGTGCTCGATGATGCGCTTGAGTGAAGTTGGAAGCGACGTGTTGATGAGATTGCGAAGACCATCGCCTGTGCCTGTGGAAGACATCATCTGAGTGATGGACTTGAACATGGCGCGAAGCAGAGAAGCGCGACCGAAAGCGAGGCGGCCATAGATGTTGTCAGGACCCGGCTCGCCAAACACACGGACGCTCATGCGATCCGCCGAGCCATCGTCGATGTCACGTTCGACCTCGGCCTCGATGCGCTCGACCATAACATCCAGACCTCTGGCGTTGCAGAAGAGATCGAAAGCCTGCGGTACAGCATAAGTGAGGCTGTCGATGAGGCCAGTAGCACGCGAGATGGTGCGCTGCACCATATAACAATCTGGCGTGGGGACGTTGACGAGCTCGATGAGGAGGGGAATCAGACCTGCTCCAACGATCATGTGGCTGCCAACGGATGTGGAGGCGATGAAAGCGACAAAGCTGAGGACAGAGTCGACGTAGTGATCGCTCGAGTTGGGCTGGTCGGTGCGCAGATCTTGGATGAGGTTTCGCAGGACACTCAGGATGATGCCGTGGTTGACTGAAGCATTGACAGAGTTGAGCACCACGCTGACCTTGTTGCGGTAGCGTCCAAGACTGTCAAGGGCATAGAAGGCGCTGCTCTGGACGCTCATGTCGAGCTTCTGGACTGGGTCAACAAGAGAAGCTATGCGCTGCACTAGGTCGGGCTCATACAGAAAGAGCTGTGTGTTGGCAACGGACTCGTTGATGACAAGGCCGTAACATGCGATGGCGAGGAGACGGCAAATGAGAAGCTGCTTGCGTTCGTGCTGATTAGGGAAGCCGAGAGCGAGACGTATGCGCTGGAAGAGTTCGAAGCGCTCTTCGGGAGGGATCTCGTAGGTCTCGACCGCCTTGGCAAGCAAATCAGCAGGATCGCCACTTGCAGTACTAATTTTGCCAAGATCGACAGTCATTAGACCTTCACGACGTGCCGACGCGGAGGCTGAGCCCGACTGGGTTGCGCTGTTGCCACCATCGTTCCTGTCATCTGCGCGAGTTGGGGTCGCAGGCAGCGCACCGGTAGACAGTGCAGGAAGCATCGCAGGACGGTTGTCCCTGTGCCGCGAGCGTGTAGGTGTCGATGTCGACTGATCATGATGCTGCTGCTGATGATGGCGGGGCTGATGTGGGGAGGCAAAATTTCTGGCCTGTGTTGATGATGATGTTGATGATGCAAAGGGCTGCGAAAAGGTGGAAGCACCCTGGGAAGCGGTTCCACTGCGTTTGAAGAACTGGAAGCGAACATGCGAGAGCTCTGAAGGCAACGCAGTATCGGGCTGAGCAATGTCGACAAGGGAAAGGCCATGGTCTCGAGGCGTCCAGATCATAGCCAGAGTGGTAAGGCGATCCTTAGAGATCTGGAAGTCGTGTCGAGGATGATGGCTGCTGTGCTGCTGCGCGGCCCTGAGGACGAGACGAAGAGCAGCTTCGAGAATGTCAAGATCGCGTGTGTACAAAAGCTCGTTGAGATGCTCGAAGGAATTGTAGAGCTTGCGGTTGGTGCAGTTCTCGATGAGAAGACGAGAGAAGCGCAAGATGCTGAAGACGAGACGCTTGGTGAGCGGCGTAAAGTGGTTGACCTGAATCGAAGAGAGTTCGTAGTCACGGCAGACGACTTCTAGAATGGTATCAAAGCGATTGAGCACGCCAGTCCAGTAGTAGAGATCGCCTCGAGGCCAGCACCATTCCGAGATGTTGTCGAGTGCCTCCGGCAGCTCGTCGTCGGAAGACTTGAGAATGCGATCTTGCAATGCCAGCACCTCTGGGGCCTGTTACCAAGTCAAGCAGGTAAGAGAGTCATGGATCGGACTGTCAGTCATTCGTTTTAAAGATAGCATCATGCTTCGACAAAGTACTTACAGCTGGCACCAGACGCTTGGGCGACTTTGTAATCTTCATGATGGGAGACGTAAAGAAGGAGGTCGGCGGCTAGTGTAACAGCTGCTGCGTCTAGCGGGCTGGCGCCGCACCTCTAGCTGAAGGTAGGAGTATCTTGACTGAGAGTGGTAGTAGTATGCTTTCAGGAGTGTTGGCAGAAAGCGAGATGGGCTAGATGCGCAGCAGGTGGTGGTGAGATTGTGAGCTGCCAAGTGAATGCCAGTCGTTCCAGTCGACGCGGTCAGGAGCGTATCCGGAGTTCTGACGATACAAGCCTGCAGTGGTCAATGTCGAAACAGGCGAGCAAGAGTCGTCGATCTCGTCGTTGTCTTTGTCGAGGTGGAAGGCCGGAGAGACGAAAGTCGCGGAAGCCAAGTGAAAAGTCACCAAGCGCTCGCTTCAAAGGCTTCAGCAACACGCAACCCAAACACACTACTCTGTAAAGCAAACCAGGCTCACAGCTCACTCACTACAGTAACTTACTTGCGAATTCAAGTCGATCACGCTCTCGTCTTTGCTCCACTTTTTCTCACACTGCGCTCTGCTGCCGAAGGAAGCAATCCAATATGATGATAAAAGCTGACATAAGCCTGATCGGAGATATATCGGAGCCGATCTACCCATAGATCGGGTACAACACCGGTGTCAAGGTCGATCATTAAGTAGGGTTGGTTGAGGGTGTTGAAGTGAGTGATGGGCTTGGATGGTAGGATGCGGTTGATTACGTATGTCGATGATGAACAGTATGTACAAGAGGATGGATGATGATGAAACAAACTGATCGACTTTGGACACTATATATACACATCTCAACACTGACAAGATGTAGGAGGAGGTCTGGAGCATGAGAGGCATTAGAGCCCTCAAGGGGAGTTCTGACAGAGGCTTACTATTGTCAGCGGTCGCACACCTGAAACCTGAGATCAGTAGTAGTATCAGTACTATCACTGATTCTGTCGAGTTATGCGACAGCACTAGTGGTATTACGATTCCTAGTGTAATATGTGACAGAACCATCTCTGCCGCTTTTCTTGTTGGAATCTGTAGTTGTACTGATGTTGTAACAGATTTTGACTGACCACTGTGGACACTCCATCCAGAGGTAGCTTGGCACGATCAAACTACAATATGACTCTAAGTGAACTTGATGTTGACACCAATGGTCTGGTGTGAGTATGGATAGATGACGTTGACACAAGTGTCCAGTGTGTTGACTAACACTTGAAGTGATCCCTGGACTGCAGTGGATGACTGCCTTCAGTTCTATCGATATCCGGACTGCTGGTTTGCTAGAACTGCCTTTGGATGTCAGGAAACGGTGATACAACACATGTGCTTCGATGAGGAGCAATCTGTTGATTACTACTATGCTGACTGTGAACTAATGATACTTATTGCTTGAAGTAATACTAGTTTGTTTGATGAGTAGAGTGGATGAGGATCCACTCAACCACTTAGTGATGAGAAGGTATGGCTTTATACCTCTTCGCAGTGCTGCCAGCGCCACTGCTCCAACTCTCTCTCCAGAGAGTACCTCCTTCATTGAGTGCTATGCAGGAGTCCCTGTAACCCTACTCCTGTCCCTCTTGAGCTGTGTGTTGACCTCCTCGACACAGCTCTTCTTCCTCATGAACTATATGCTGGTGTCCTTGACACAGTTCTCCTTCCTCCTAACTGGCGACTGTTCTCTTGACTCCTATCTTGTGAACCCCTGAGTGGTAACCAGCTGCAATTTACTGAGCTCGGTCCCTGTCTTGGCAGAGCTTGGTCCTCTGCACGTGTGAATTCTTCGTATGAACATCCTTGTCACTGATCTCCGTGGAATCTACTATACAACCTCTCCTACTACTGATCTCATCAGAATTCATGATATCATCCTTGTTCGTACTGATCTCACTGAGATCTGTCATAGAGCTGATTCTACTGCAGATCTCGGCAACTTCTGCTGCAAATCCTACAATCCGCCCAATCCCCTGATTCCTGTGCTCCCTTCATATGAACTAGTGGTTCTTCCTGCTTCCTGCACACTCAGGCCCATGATATTACCCCCCTCTTAAAAGCCAAGCTCCGTTGAGGCAAGTCCTGTGCCATGTCTGTTCTTACCACTACCAAACCATGTTGTCGCCACCCAACTTATTGTGCAACATGGTGTCTCCTCGTTACTGTACCCACTCATGCACTGCTGCAGAGGAAACCTCTTCTGAAAGGACTGTGGCTCCTTCCAGACATCGGCGGATTGTTGTCTGCCTTCGTCCTTGTGACGTCGTAGCTGACACCGCTGAGCCCACTGCCTCCTCACCCCTGGCCCGGTTGGCCAATCCTCTCGCGTCCCCGATGGTACCTTCCTCTCCATTGGTGCCACTGTTTCTGGGAATGGACGACGACATGGTCATCCAGAGTCCTCCTGGCTCTCCTCCCCCTGCTCGTGTTGTGCCAGGTCTCTCGGGAGAAGACTACTCTCCGGCCTCTCCTCCTCCTCACGACTTGAACAAGGTTGGTATGAGTCGTCCTGCTCAGGAGCTGACCACTCCCAAGCGTCAAGCCATGTGGGAAGCTGAGCTGGCTCGCTCCCCCACCCCTCCTCCAACTGCCGATGAAATAGTCAATGCCATCCTGGCTCCTCCTCATGCTGTCACCCTGGAGTATCGGTTGAATGTGCAACCACTTACTCCTCCTCCTCACTGGCGTGGTCGCCAGACTCTGCCCCCCCCTCCTCCTGACCGCCATTTCCCGACAAACAGTGAGATCGTGGAATGGGCTGAACTGTTCATGGTTGCTGACCTTTTGGTCAGAGTCGTGGACTGCCACTTCCCCCTTGACTGGGATGTCCCCACTGGGTCTTTGCTGGAGCACTGGTTACATCGCCTGGTCATGTTGCATTTGACTGAAGGCTGTATGCCTTGGCCAAGCTGGCAATGTCGCCGCTGCTTCCAGCTGCAGGTTCCATAAGTGTCTTTTGCCATATATGACTACCTTTCCTATTTGTCCCTAACCCCTTTCTCTTTTACCAGTTGTTTTGCCTCCACTTTCACCAACCCATTTGGTGAGAGGAACAGGGTGCCCCGTGCTTGCACACATTGTTACCTGGCTGGTCTGGGTAATTGTGAGTGCAGTATCCCTGCCCATCCTGGCATGGAGTACCTAGGTGACAGTACTCCAAGCATGCAGCCTTGTGGTTTGCACCAAGCCAAAAGAGCCCATTTGACAGTTGCAAATGGGTATGGCCCCAGGTTTGTGCAGTCGGAGGAATGGGTTTTGGACCCCATTATGTCCATGGGTTGGGCCACGGCCATGTGGGTCATATGGCATTTGCCCAACTTGAACTGGGTGAGTTCTGTTTTGCATACCCTTCAGGACTTTGTCACCCACCACAACAGGTTGTATTTGGAGTGACAACCACATGAGTCGGTAACCATGCCTGGTGGCCCCCTGGATTCCATTGATACTTGGGTGGCCCCTATGGACGAGGAGCTGGTGATCCAATCATCTCTTGCTCCTCCCCCTGCTCCTTCTTCCTATGTCAACATATAGCGACATCTTTCAATATCAGCCTTCTGTTCCTTCCAATCCCTTTAAGTCTGTGTCCTGACCCTTGTGTGATTGCTCCTGACCTTGTTACATTGGTCACCTCATCTTTGGTCTCTCATGTGTGTGGGAAAAACCCATCCTCTCCCACTCTTGTTGTGAAAATGTCATAGCACTACTACAATTACTGATTTCCACGTAATCTGTAATAGTGCTGCTATTCTTGCAGATTTCGCTCAAATCTGTCCCAACTTCCTCCTTACTGCTTCTGCCTTCTCCTCATGTTTGTTAACCTCATCCCCCCACCAAAACCTCATACTCCCAGATGAGGTCAGAACAATTGAGGTTTGACACTGGCTCCCAGGAGGCAGCTTCCTCTGGGTATCCTCACCATAAGACCTTGTATTCAGTCATTCGATTGCATGTGCATTTACCGATGAGTGCTTCCACTTCGAATTCGAGGTCTTCATCTGGTAGTGATGGTACCACTGGTTGTTTCGACCATTGAGGGAGTGAGCTTGTCTTTGCTGGCTCGAGCATTGACACATGGAAGACATCATGGACTCTGAGGTTTGCTGGCAATGTAATCCTATATGCTTGGCAGCCCACCCTTTCTTGAACTGGGTAAGGTCCTGCAAACCTGGTATCCAGTTTCGGTGTGGGTTGTCTCATCTTCCAGTTCCAGCGATTGATATAAACCATGTCGCCTACCTTAAATTCGATGTCTTTGTGTTTCTGGTTGTATTGTTCCACCGTTCGACGCTGTGCTCTCCTAATCTGGTCCTGGAGGTATTTGCCACATTCCTTCCCATCAACGAGGTACTCGAAATGATCTGGGTCATTGACTCCCAGCCACTGAGGTATGTCCAGATGGGCCTTCGGATTCCAACTGTAGCAAGCGAAGAACAGTCAGACACCGATACTATTGTGGACTGTGTTATTATACATGAACGCCGCTGTCTTGAGCAAGTCAGCCCAATCGTCCTGCTCATAGTTGCAATACATTCACAAGTACTGCTCCACTACTTGGTTGACCCTCTCAGTTTGTCCATCAGTTTGTGGGTGATAAGCTGTGCTGAGGGAGTGCTTAGCACCTATGCCCATAGTGAACACTTTCCATGCTTTTGAAATGAACTGTCTGTCAGGGGTCTCGCGCCTGAAACCCAGGTCGGTCTGTCGAGATACTCGGTGACTATCAAACTGCGCAACAGCTATTGTCTCGGTATCGGTGACTATCAAGTTGTGCAGTGACAGCAGGTGGCATTCGTTGTATATACTATTGTAGGTTTCGGCTGACCTCTGTGGACACTCCATTCAGGGGTAGCTCGGCATGATCAATATCAATGTTATGATGACACCAAGGTCTGGTGTGAGTGTTGATGATGATGAGGTTGATGGTGTTGGTGATGAGATTGGTGATGTCGATGATAATGAGGTTGATGGTGTTGGTGATAAGGTTGGTGGCGTCAACACGAGTGTCCAGTGTGTTGACTTGA